GGTATGCTTGACAATAAAATCAGATATTAAATGTCTAACACACATGCTGGAACTGTACGGTAGATGCATAGAACAATGCACGAGCATTTATACAATGCACCTTATTTTCTTCAAATTAAAAGCACTTTTATTAATGTCCTGATTGTCACGCTTTCATTACCTATAAATTTCAATCAGCTTGTTCATATGGATTTCACATTTGAAAACATCAAAACTGGGCTTCTATACACAAAAAAAAAAAACTCAGTTGATTACAAAAGATTTAAAATGTATCTTAATTCCAACCCATTGAAAAAAAATGATTTATTCCAGCACATGTAGGCCAAAAAAAAACAACCAGGAACTATGTGTAAATATAAATACAACATAATACCTACAGCTGACTTATACTGTATGTGCTGATCATGCTGATAGTCACTTAACCTATTATTGAATTACAAAAAAAAAAGGTACACTGCAAATAACGGTGACTACAGTATATATGATATATGACCTTGAAGATCTATAGTAAAATATGTGTTTGTAGCCTTCGGAAGATATCAAACCTTCAACTGAATGTAGTGTATTATTTGGCATGTATAGTGTATTAGTGTATTATTTGGCATGTATGGCTTAAAAGAGTCAAACTCAAATTCAATACTATACAGTACATTTCAAATAAATTACAAGTTTTGTTAATTCTGTGCAACTATTTCACATGAAAGAGTATAAATCCAGGTATTTATTCCTTGCAGGGCTGAATTATGACAATGAACTATTTGAGTATTTTCATATAAAAATGTAATGCTTAAAGCTGTATACATTTATACAATTTCACCAGTATACCAAAACAATGTATATACAAAGAAAAATTTATAAACAGTCATAATTACAAATAAATGAAGATCATAACAATTTCAATGACTTCCCTACTGAACGAAAAATGTCCAAGAACTTATCCATTTAAGTAACAGTTTATGCAGAATCATGATGTTGTCCAGGATTCTATATTCCAGTAATATTAAGTGTTGAATACAATTTATACATATAGGCAGTGTCCCCTTATATGTGCTATTTAAAATATAAAGTAATAATTCCTTATAGAATATTTGAACATTGGAAACATATCCCTTATCTGAGGATATGTAACGAAGTCATTTGTGGAGCTGTATCACATTGGCAAACATGTGACAAACACTGATGAGGTTTCTGAGAGGCACATGAACATTTAGTAGGTTAAAGCTATATTTTAAATGATCTCAATCCTCCATATTTTTTAATGCTCGCCAGTTGAATAACAAAAAGCACACAAAAGAATTATGTACAATGAAATCAGACTGTTTCTGCAAAAAGAATGAAGCATTTGACCATATATTGACAGGAACAGAAATGTCTTACAAAAGGTTATCAGATCTTCCTGTCCCTAGTTCTGATATGACTAAACTTCAAACTCTCCTATAAACAGCAACATGAAAGATTCAAATAATAAAAGGAGAAATTGTCTGAGGACACAAATGCCCCTGCTCAAGCTTTGCAATTTTCCATGTTAAAAAGGGGCATAATTCTAGAAGGGTAAATGACTCACTGCCCAAATTCGATCTCTGTCTGCAAGTTTTGGTTCTTAGCATTGTGTATGAGTTTCATAAAATTTGCATGAGGCAAACTTAAGTTAGAGTGCGGAAACAAAAAATGGGACGGACAGAAGGACAGAAAGACGAACGGTCAAGGGTAACACTTAATGCCCCTGTTGCCTAGGGTGGAGGCATAAAAATATGCAAGAATTCTATATGCATGTGCATTAATAATGGCACCTTAATTATTGTGTGTGTGTGTGTGCATAGCAGTCTTAACAAGTACTATCCATAATATACAAATATATGTTCTTCAAGCTGCAATCCACAAATCGTCTAGAATACCTTCTTCAGTTCTTAAGATGAGGACATTAAAAGCCACTTAAATGTAACATAAGTTGTCACAAACTACAAGACATTACAAGTAGTTCTGTCTTTTATCTAGATTGTATTCATACAAAGATATATGCTTCCAGCGAAGTGAAATGTATGAAATATTTAAGTTTAAAAATAAAGGAACAGAAATAGATCTATGTGAAGTTTACCTAAATGACACTGCAATAAGACATCTAATTCAAAAGGTCAATATACTATATTCAACAATAGACAAGTGGCTAATGTTAGTCCAGATGGGTCAGATCTTACATGCTCCAGGTCCCGACATTTAATGTAAATCCATATAAATTGCTCCAGGTCCAGACATTTAGATATAAACAAAGATAACCACCAAGGAGTTCTCTGACTTGGAACAGACAAATTAATGTATGGTAAGGTCTAACTGGTTTGGGAATACCATTACTACAAGGGTGTTGAACGACCTTGACTACCCAATGGCCATGAGGGTATCGCATTGTTGGACCTTGTTTTAGCCTTTTTCAGTATTTAATATAATTTTTTTTATTTATGTATTTTGAAAACATTCAACCTCCCTCTTTTTCTAATATTCTTCAGGGGACAGACACTCTGTACAAGGAGTTACGAAAATACAGAGGAGAATGTGCAAAAAAATATCAATTAAGTAAAAATACTTGACTTTAATTTATAATATTAATACAATTTAAAAAGCCAACAAAAGCACTGAGCTTTACAAACAAACTGCACCAAAGAATGCTTGCATTACTGAAAACTCAAGGTAAGTATCTGGTGATATAGTATGTTAAAAATCAAACAAACTAGAGTTTGAGTTAATTTGGCGGTACTTGTAATGAATTTGACAGCTTATAATGTCTCTTTTTAAAATATGATTGCTTGTTGATCTTTCAAAGCTGAATGATTCTTATAAGGCCATAAAAAAATATATGTCTGTTTACGGTCACCAGACCGACCCTATTTTTGAGCGCCGATCCTAAGTTATTTTATTTCCGTCTTAAAGTGAAAAATAAACTGAACTCGTGTCAAAAGCGAAGTTAGTGTTGCAAATAATATAAATCAATTGCCTGATACATCCCAATGTTCACAATCGTGAATATGACAATATGTTTTAAGGAAATTCACAACTCGTGTGAAGAAATAAACACTTTGCCGCCATTTTTTTCCAACCAATTACCAAGGGAAATAATCCAATCATTAAAAATACTGGTAAACTTGGCCCATGATCAACTCGGACCACGACAAGACAAAACCGCATGACTCAAAATCATGTCACAAAAAATAAAATGAAAAAATAGAATAAAATGGAAATACCGACCTACCTACCCTATTTTTTGAAAGTATGTAACCTTAAACAGACATATATTTTTTTTTGGCCTAATGTTTTTTATTATTACTCCTCAGTGTGTACAAAAAATGTATATATTCTTTATACAATTACAGATGAACAAATTGACTATTTTTTAGGAATAGTATGAAAAATACTATTAACCTGAGTTAACAGGTAAAAAAAACTATTTACAGTACTGGAAGCAAACAGTTTCCAGTAAAAAGACTATTAACTGGTTAATAGTTTCAAAAACTATTGACTGGGTATGAACTTTTTACTATAGTATTTTTTCAATTTAATATAATAATACAAAACTATTCAATACATATGAAGTATGAGATAATTAATTTGAACTTATATTTCTTCTATTAGGAATTATAGGTTTTGTGACTAACATTTATTTTTATTTTGAAATGAAATAGTTTTGGTTCATATTTTAGTCTTACTTTTCTTGCTTAGTTTGCTTATTGTTTATTGTTGTTTTGTTTTTAGATTTTCCTTATTGAAGTAAGATATAAATTGTTTTAAACTGAGTGCTTTAAGTCATTGAACGAAACAAGTGCATTACGATGACTTTGACAAACTGACAGAATTTTAATAATGTGCGGTTTCACATGCACTCTATCAAGTATACTTAATATCTTATTCATATTTTAATACTTCTTTCAAGTCAAGGTATTTACATGTATTTATTAATTCTCTAAGGCAAACAAGTCCACAGTTTATATTTTAATTAAACTTTGAATATGTACATGTATGTGGAAAACATTTAAATACATACATAATGCTTTGGGTATACATTCTCTCATCAACTTTTGAAGAAAAGATGAATCATACAACTTCTAAACCTGATCAAATTAAAATATACCCATGAATCACAAATCTATTATCCAATAATCATCAATTTCTAGTGATTCACTTGTTAAAACTGTGTCATCTAATCTTTTTTGCAATTGAAAATGAAAAAAAATCTTTACACAGATATTTCAACAATCAATACTAAGATCTGACTAAAATATGTGAATATTGAGAAACAGATTCAGCTATGTGAATTTCATTCAAGCTGGTCTAGATCTGCTGATTTTTAAGGCTTGTACAGGAAATACCTATTGTAATTGTTAAATATCTCATTACAACATCAAAAGTCTGAGTATTTTACCTGTTTACATGTTTAACATTTGTATCAGGTATACAATGCTACAAAAATGATTGAAGGGGGTGTGAGAAAAGAGTGGTATAAAAAAAAGACAGGTAGAAAAACCCAACACACCTGAATTATCTGAACGATTACCCATGATTAAAAGTATATACATGTTCCAAGTCACGTACAACCCTAGATGACAGATAAAGGGAGGACTTGTAGAAGTACAAGTTATTTAAAATTGATATCAAAATATACAAGTTGATACCTGAGATATATAAACTGAAGTACCCAGGGGAAAATTTTCCATTTAGGGGCCATGCATATGCCTGCCTCAATATGAAAGATTGATATAAGTATAGATGATGTCAAAATGCAAAAAAATCAACTAATGACCATCCACATATAGTCACTCTCTGGTTGAAGGAGGGTTTGTCATGCCAGATGAATGACATATGCATGTCAATCAGTACTTTAATCAATAATTTGAAGAAACATATAATATGCATGATCCAGTAAAAACATGGGTCACAAAAATATCTGATCATGTAAATGTAAATGTATGTAAAGTGTAAGTAAACATGAATAATTGTTTAAAATGTCTTCTTACCTGATGACTTTTCTTGGCTGTGGAATGTCTTTTTTATTAAGGAATTTTTTCAGAGCCTCCACAATGTCTTGTCCTATCTGCTCCTCCGTCAATGACTCCATATACAGTGCTTCTTTACCACTTAACCATCCTGAAAAAATAGATCAGTTCCTGAAACATGTGAAAATAAACAGGTAGATTTATTGAGATTCCTTAGCTTGCACACCTTCTTTAAACAAACTTTTTTTGTAAAATGTCTCACTCTGAAGTGTGTCAGAATATTTGTCTTTGAACAGGGTTATAATGCACGGCCCAAACCTATCCCCTTTATGGAGCTACAAATATGATTTCTGCATTACTAAGGCTTATACAAGCCTCATTCCCAACATTGTCTTGTTAAGCTCCCCCTCCCCTTTTTCTAAATCCTGTATCCACATCTTGGTTAGGTCTTAAATTATTATGTTAAGCCCTCTTTTTTGAAATGCAAGTGGTGTAGTGTACACAAAGAGATTCCACCAAAAATAGCTATAGCTGGTGAGCATTGATTCACTGTAAATCAGGGTGATATTTGGTGATAACAATCTGATTTAAGAACTTTTTAAGTGAATCACCATCATTCAGTGTGAAAATTCACCACCAAGAGTGATTTTGGCTAAACATCTACAAATGAAGAGAAAACAGGATAGTTTGGTGCAAAAATAAAATTGAATTGACAGAAATATCAGAGATTGTAATCCATATTGATATATGCAAAACTTGCCTCCACAAAAGTTTTTGTCACTTGTGTTTTTATGTATTTTCTTTTGATATAAATCCACATTTTTTTCAATAAATTTAAATTATTATTTAGATTATGGAGTGGTTTCTGGTTGCTATTGGGTACCACTAGAAGCAGAATTGTCACAGTTTTACTATATTTATGTTGTGCTTATATAATACTGCTAAAATGGTGTGTTTAAACACATGTACATTTTGTACATGTATACTTTACCTTAAATAACCTTGCATTTAAATCTTAGTGAACCTACATGTACATGTTTTGTTATTGTATACATGTATTATATACCACTACCAGTGATTTACTGGTAATAATTAAAAGGAGATTAAGCATGCTGCAAGAGAAATCTATAACCACAAAATCAAACCTAAGCTTGGAAGCATTTTCCTGGATGTTCTAGATCTAGTTCTGAATATTTATTAAAACTGTGGTTCTTTTTGACAAAATTTAACATGACTGCTCAGGTAAATATGACCGCTTCCTGACCCTTGCTCAATATCTCCTTATATATATACATGTACATTGTTATGATTGTAGTTATACATAAACATGCATAACTTGTAAAAAATTCAAAAATTCAAAAAGCACAAAATATACTTTTTTAGCATGAATATAGATATATTTGAACATGTACCAGTAATGTACATTTACAGTTTACAATGATGTCTGAGGAAGTTGATAACTTACAAAATGTACATGCATAAGATCAAACAGATACATGCATGTACAGGTGAACAACTGCTGCATGTAAAACATAATTAAAACCATTAAATATACTTTGTTCTTCATTTCAAGTAGATAAATGCATCTATTAAATACAAACATACAGTAGGTGCATGTGTACTTTCAAATCTGTATCCTATCAATAATGACAGTACTGTACAACACATGTACAAGTTTGAACATTTATTATATGAGTCAGGCCAGTTTTTGAAAATAATTTCGTCTTATGGGACATTTAGACTGTCACTGTATGTAATTTGTCAGTCCAAAGTACATTTTCATTAGTCAAATCTTATAATTCTATTGAAACAAGAGTGCAAACGCTGAAATGTCTCACCTGCTGAACTTATCATGATTGAACCTTTAATGGAATCTTTCATATGAAGGTTTTACCTTAAGTATCACATAAAATAAACATTGTCAATGATCCATGTAGATGAGGTCAAGGTCAGATGAACCCTACATGTACCAGACAGACATGTAAATATTACAATCATTCCATACACCAAATATAGTCAGCCTCTTGCTTATCATGCTTATAGCATCTGAGAAACTGACCTAATTACAACAAGAGTGCACACGCTGAAATGTCTCGCCTTCTTTACTAATCATTGATATTATGTTGATAGTCCTAAATATAAAGCTTTATTACAACTGTCACATAAACTTAACATTAACCAAGTAAACTAAACATTGACCAATGACCATGAAAATGAGGTCAAGGTCAGATGAACCATGCTAGGCAGGCATGTACAGCTAACAATTCTTCCATACAACAAATATAGTTGACCTATTGCTTATAGTTTAAGAAAAACAGACGAAAACACAAAAACTTAACACTGAGCAATGAACCTTGAAAATGAGGTCAAGGTCAAATAAAACCTGCGTAACTGACATATAGATCATAAAATATTTCCATACACCAAATATAGTTGAACTATTGCATATAGTATTAGAAAAAAAGACCAAAACTCAAAAACTTAACTTTGACCACTGAACCATGAAAATGAGGTCAAGGTAAGATGACACCTGCCAGCTAGACATGTACACCTTACAATCATTCCATACACCAAATATAGCTGACCTATTGCATGCAGTATTAGAAAGAAAGACCAAAACTCAAAAACTTAACTTTGACCACTGAACCATGAAAATGAGGTCAAGGTCAGATGACACCTGCCAGCTAGACATGTACACCTTACAATCATTCCATACACCAAATATAGTAGACCTATTGCATACAGTATAAGAAAAACAGACCAAAACACAAAAACTTAACTATAACCACTGAACCATGAAAATGAGGTCAAGGTCAGATGACACCTGCCAGTTGGACATGTACACCTTACAGTCCTTCCATACACCGAATATACTAGACCTATTGCTTATAGTATCTGAGATATGGACTTGACCACGAAAACTTAACCTTGTTCACTGATCCATGAAATGAGGTCGAGGTCAAGTGAAAACTGTCTGACGGGCATGAGGACCTTGCAAGGTACGCACATACCAAATATAGTTATCCTATTACTTATAATAAGAGAGAATTTAACATTACAAAAAATCTGAACTTTTTTTTCAAGTAGTTACTGAACCATGAAAATGAGGTCAAGGACATTGGACATGTGACTGACGGAAACTTCGTAACATGAGGCATCCATATACAAAGTATGAAGCATCCAGGTCTTCCATCTTCTAAAATATAAAGCTTTTAAGAAGTTAGCTAACGCCGCCGCCGCCGCCGTAGCCGCCGCCGGATCGCTATCCCTATGTCGAGCTTTCTGCGACAAAAGTCGCAGGCTCGACAAAAACTGAACATTGAAGAATGAACCCCAATAGTGCACACGCTGAAATGTCTCGCCTTCTTTACTAATCATTGATATTATGTTGATAGTCCTAAATATAAAGCTTTACTACAACTATTACATACACTTGACATGATCCAAGAAAATGAGGTCATGATCATATAAACCAAACAAGAAATACATGTACACCTTACAATCATTCAATACACTAAATATTGTTGACCTATTGTTTATAGTTTCTAAGATACAGACTTAACCAAGAAAACTAAACATTGACCAATGAACCATGAAAATGAGGTCAAGGTAAGATGAACCATGCCAGGCAGACATGTACAGCTTACAATCCTTCCATACAACAAATATAGTTGACCTATTGCTTATAGTTTTAGAAAAACAGACCAAAACACAAAAACTTAACACTGAGCAATGAACCGTGAAAATGAGGTCAAGGTCAAATAAAACCTGCAAGACTGACATGTACATCATAATATATTTCCATACATGTACACCAAATATAGATGACCTATTGCATATAGTATTAGAAAAAAAGACCAAAACTCAAAAACTTAACTTGGACCACTGAACCATGAAAATGAGGTCAAGGTCAGAAGACACATGCCAGCTAGACATGTACACCTTACAATTATTCCATACACCAAATATAGTGGACCTATTGCATACAGTATAAGAAAAACAGACCAAAACACAAAATCTTAACTATAACCACTGAATCATGAAAATGAGGTCAAGGTCAGATGACACCTGCCAGTTGGACATGTACACCTTACAGTCCTTCCATACACCAAATATGCTAGCCCTATTGCTTCTAGTATCTGAGATATGGACTTGACCACCAAAACTTAACCTTGTTCACTGATCCATGAAACAAGGTCGAGGTCAAGTGAAAACTGTCTGACGGGCATGAGGACATTGCAAGGTAAGCACATACCAAATATAGTTATCCTATTACTCATAATAAGAGAGAAATTAACATTACAAAAAATCTTAACTTTTTTTTCAAGTAGTCACGTGCACAGATCTATGAAAATGAGGTCAAGGACAATGGACATGCGACAGCTGGAAACTTCATAACATAAGGCATCAATATACAAAGTATGACGCATCCACATCTTCCATCTTCTAAAATATAAAGCTTTTAAGAAGTTAGCTAACACCGCCGCCACCAGATCACTATCCCTATGTCGAGCTTTCTGTTTTGTCGCAGGCTCGACAATAAAAATGAGGTCAAGGTCATATGAACCCTGTGAGACACCATGTTATGTATACCATGTAATCATTCCAAACACCAAATATAGTTGATCTATTGTTTATATTATAGAATCTAAGAAACAGACATACATGTAATCATGAAAACTTAATATTGACCAATGACAAAAAAATGAGGTCACAGTCAAAAGAACCCTGCCAGACAGACTTGATCACATTACATTCATTCCATAGACCAAATATAAATGACCTATTGCTTATAGTATCGGATAAACTGACAAAACCATGAAACCTTAAAATTGACCCATGAGATATGAAAATGAGGTCAAGGTCAAATGAAACATGCAAGACAGACATGTACAATGTACTCCCTGTAAGCATCCATACAACAAATATAGTGACCCTAATAGGCCTATTGCTTATATTATAGTACTTGAGAAACAGACTCAAACACAACAAAACTTTAACCTTTGAATGAACCGTGAAAATGAGGTCACAGTCATATGAACTTGCTCGACAGACATGTTCACCTTACAATTGCTCCATACACCAAATAGTGGCCCTATTGCTTATAGTATCCAAGAAATAGACCAAACTGGAAAAACTTAACATTGAGCACTGAATCATAAAAATGAGGTCAAGGTCAGACGAGACCTGCCAGTCGGACATGTTCACCTAACAATCATTCCATACACTAAATATATCAGACATTCCCAAGGTCACCAGATATTGGGCAAAGGCCAGTTAAAGACCGAATGACCAGTAAAACAGACAAGAGATATGTATACAGCACAGCAATCCCTGTGTGCCATATCTACTTTGGCTAATTTGCCATGAAAAAATTTTGATTTTGTGTCCAACACACATGACATCATGATGACCGTTCATGAAACATCCATACATTTTTTGTACAAATGTTCTTTTGACACAAAAGTTGTAAAATAATTAAACATTCTGCCATTTATTTGTGAAAATTTCAAATCAATATCAAACACATTAGAAATGACCAAAGAATAATTTTGAAAAAGAAATAAAATTATAAAGTATGCTCATTACATTCATTGACATTTGTAATAGAATTTATGTGGCCATGCTTATAGCCACAAGCAGTGATTATTTTAAGTAATACCAAAATATTCTCCAGTGTCTCAGGATGAAATTAATTAACAAAACATAGTGGGAAAATAATTGACTTATATTGGGGAAAGAAAAATCATTTACATGCATATCATGCATATGGGTAAGACAGAAAACAACTCTCTCTTCACAAAATTATCAACATCACCCAAGGTCAGTATTGTGCAGAAAGTTTATTGACCGATGCAATTGAAAGAAGGCAAATGCTACACTGAGCCTTCATTATAATCGATACAGAAGACATGAAATAACCCATTGACTGAAAACTGACCGGGCAATGAACTCTTTACCTTTTGTAATTCTACAGACTGGGGATGCCCTTAAAATTAAAAGATCATTTAAAATTGTATGCACACACAATTGAACAGTAAAAATACAAATTTATGATTCTAAAACAATCTATTTACAACATTTCAACAATACCAATTTCGCAAAATATGGTAGGTAAATTAATTTACTGTCAGAGTTAGAGTATATATATATAAGTTATTGATGCAACACTGCACAGCTTTCATGTCACACAAGGACAAATCACAGGTTACTGTCCTCCGAAACAAATATGTTTTCTTTTCACATGAACATGTATTACTTTACATTTTCATTTCTTACCATCCCTTCACCTTAAAAGTTAATCGTTTTCACTGCATGTTGTCTGAGAGGATTAACATGATCAACATTTCTGTTGAGTCACTGCTTCACATATTTTCTGCAATCAACCTTTCCTTCTTTTTTTCTCTTTTATATAATTTGAAAGCCAGCTTTGAAATTTTCAGAAACCTGGCCGAGATGAGCTTGTCCTTTGTAATAATTGACGGATGTACATGAATGAATGTATTAAAGTACCAGTTGAACCTGGATAGTAATAAATCATAAAATTCTGAACCCAATACAAGGGTGAAGAACAGTATTAGCATGCAAGACCTACAATGTACACTTACATGTACATGTAACAGAGATCATTTACTCATCGCATTCCTAACTGAAGATCTTTTATTCTGGAAACATTTTTTTATAAAATTGGATCAGATATATTTTTAAAAGTTAAATAAATGGGGAATGTGTCAATGGGGCACAGATGATGCCCTCCTTGCATATAATGTTATAAAGGGATATACATGTACATATATGTAACTCAAGAACTGTAAAAGTGACGAATCCCAAATTTGTACTTGATCTGAGTTTTGTGGTAATAAGCATTGTGTATAGTTTCATAACATTTGGTTGAGGCAAACTAAAGTAAGAGAATGGAAACAAAAAATTCAGCAATTTTTCCATTTGTAAAGGGGCATAACTCTAGAACAGCAAAAGTGACACCACCAAAATTCGAACTTGATCTGTGTTATGTGGTAATTAGCATTGTGTATAAGTTTCATAACATTTGTTTGAGGCAAACTAAAGTAAGAGAATGGAAACGAAAAATTCAGCAATTTTTCCATTTGTAGAGGGGCATAACTCTAGAACAGCAAAAGTGATGCCACCAAAATTCAAATTTGATCTGTGTTTTGTGGTTATAAGCATTGTGTATAAGTTTCAAAGTTTGGTTGAGGCAAACTAAAGTTAGAGAACAGAAACCAATTTTGGGACGTACATATACGTACGTACATCTGTACGTACGGACAGACAAGGGTAAAACTTAATGCCCCCTCCGCTACGGCGGGGGCATAAAAATACACGATAGTTATTATTTTTGTATTTTTCAAAAGTTTTCTTAACTGGTTTCAAAAGTCTGACTTTAACAAATGCTTGTTCAAATAAACTGCTTCGCTGAGCGCAGCTGGATACACCCGCAGAGGTCCAACCCTGAACAGTTGGGGCAAAAATGGACACAATATTCAAGCTTGATACAGGTCTGAATTTGGATTGTATTAAATATTTTATGACATATTATAGGTTTCTGAATAAATGTAGTCAAAGAACTTGAAATTGGTTATATGAATTGAATTTATATTCAATTAAAGATTTCTTGCTGTTGTGCAATACACTGTGCTGTTGCGCAATACTTAGTAAATCTGTTGTCAGACTATAAACAAATAAAGTTCAATTTAATCTCAATGTCATATTAGAAATTTATGAAAATGTAAAGTGAGCTTACATCAATAGATATAAACAATTCACCAAAGTTTCATGAGAATTGCTGACAGCATTTTTGAGAAGTTGTCCGAAAAGTGAAAAATCCCCCCTTTTTTAATGAATAAAACCCCATAACTCAGAAATGTAAAATGTAAAATTTATAAAATTCTAAACAGAGTACATCAATAGATATAAACAATTCACCAAAGCATTTTTGATTTTTTGTCCGAAAACTCAAAAATCCCCCTTTTTTATGAATAAAACCCTGTAACTAATCCCCCTTTTTTTTATGAATAAAACCCTGTAACTCAAAAACGTAAAATCTAAAATATATAAAAATTGAAAGGGAGCTCATGTTAATAGATATAAACAATTCACCACAATTTCTTGCAAGTTGGCGAAAGCATTCTTGAGTTATTGTCCGAAAACTGGAAAACCCCCTTTTTTTAATGAATAAAACCCCATAACTCGGAAACATAAAATCTAAAATTTATAATAACCAAAGGGAGCTCACGTCAATAGATATAAACAATTCACCAAAGTTTTATGCAAATTGGTTAAAGCATTTTTGAGTTAATGTCCGACATGTTGATGACGGACGGACAGACAGACGGACGGACGGACAGACGGACAAGGGTATACCATAATACGTCCCGTAAACGGGCGTATAAAAATGACAAAAAATTAGGGCTGGTTGGGTTGGTGGAAACACAAGTATTATTAGTATGCCTAAATGTACTGTATATGTATATACATACAATGTACATGTACAAATACATTTGTAGCACCTGGTAACTATTGATTTTGTTCTGTTACAAATGTACCATGCATGGTAACAACTAAATAATAATCATGATAATAACAGTACTTAATAATAAATATAAATATCCGAAAAAGAAATATTTACACAAAAATCTCTCCACAAAGAAAAATTATTCAAAACACTTCAGGAAAAAACAAAACACCCTTTTCCTCAGATACATGTACATGTACATGTACATGAACAGTAAAAGTAAATAAATAATAAATGGCTAAATCAAACTGACTTTGGCCTCCTAATTTTACATTGTCCAACATTCACGTACATACATGCAAGACTCTCTAGTAGTACAAAAAATGTTCTGCAAGTTTTTTTTAAACCAAGATTGGATATCCTGCATTTATCATGCTTTACCATAAAATATATCAAATTGCTGCAAGACCCCTCTCCTAAATTATTAAAATCATTCTTTTGTATTAACCTTAATATCTTGGTGTAAATTAGATACAGCCAATCGGGTTAAGGTCCTCGTAGGTGTATCTTATAATCATTGATAATACTTAAAGTATATATATTATTACATGATATTTGTACTGATGAAGCAATACTAGAGTGGTCATGATGGTCTTTTAAATTACTAACTGCACAGCAACAGAATTTAAACTTTAAAAATTCATTATTCATACGTTGATTCAATCTAGGTGAAAAAAAAAGACAGTCTAGATAGCAACAATGCCACTTTAACTATCATACTCACCAACTAAAACATTGTCATGTACCACTTCAAAGGAGTATATTTTACGATACCATGTGTGTCGCAGATCATTCATTTCAATGAGATCATTGTCCCACACAAGTTCTACTCGAAACAATTCGGGCTCTGTCACTGGTTCATCAAACTGAACAATAACTTTGTCTACAATGCCAAATCCTACTGCATCAATTGCATCTAATTTCATTTTAGGCAATGGTGGGCTAAACATCCTATCACAAGCAGCTTTTAAAACACCTAGTGAAACTGTACATATTACGTGATTTGCATAGAATTTTTCACCGTTTTCACATTCAACACAACATTCATAAACATTTTTTTCTGGCTCTGGAAATTGTCTATTCCATCGTATACATTTGACTGGATGATTGAGTAAAATATTTTCCTTTGGAATACTACTTTTTAGGATTTCTAAAACTGCAGTAAAACCTGGTGGGATTGTATAATGAACACCTGGTAGTTCTTCATAACTTCCAAACTCACTCAAAGAAACCTCTGACAATGTATCACAGCCAGATATACAACACTCTAGCCTTTTTCGCTGATCAAACAACAATTCTCTAACATGACGGTCACCATTTGTATACCGTTCCAAAGTGTCTTCATATTCACGTTCCAGAAATGCTCCAACACTATCATTTTCTTCCATTGTGGGCATACCACTTTGATAAAAATCCTCTGCTTGCATAATAAGTTGCCCATAGTTCAAATTTACTTGATTGACTATTTTTTCAGTTACTTCATCTCCGTTTTCCATTTTAAAGGATGTTTTATTACGAAGACCTTTATTACCATGTCTCAATTCTAGCAAATTATTGTCATCAGCAATTTTAAAAATTGGGTTTCTTTCTATGCCGTGTATCCAATTGGCCCCCATTTCCGCTTTATGGCCTTCGGCATCTGAAAAACATCATAGTTAAAAACAGTTATATTACTTGATTTAGAATTTCATTTTCTTCGAAAAACATTACTAATTTTAATGGAGTTCTTGGCTTTAACATGTACATGATATTTACTTTGGTTTTTAAAATTTATAACTTCAATTTTTAATGTGCCATTTTCAGAAAGAATGTATATATGTACAAATGTAGTCATAACAATCATTTAACCAGATGCAAGGTTTATATGTCAGGTTTATATGTGGTTACAGAAAGTGTAATAAGGAAGACTAAATGGGTGTTTACAATAATACATGTAAGTTAATAAACTGATTTTAACAAGAATGGTTACATTCAAAAGTTTGAGTGTGCAAAAATGATATGTATAAAAGGAACAAAAAGTCAATCCTATATAAAGCAGTGACATATGTACCAAAGAGAATACAAGTATACTCTGGTCAATGGTTTTACATTCTACATGTATGCAGGGTTCTTACTAAGGCAAGTCCATGAGTCCTGGACTCGTGAAAATCTGTCTGGACTCATCATTTTCAAAACTGGTGAGTCCAAAGTGCATTAAGGTTGTAAAATGTTGTATAAATTGAGCACTCACATCATCATTTTATAGCAAAAGTTAAAAATAATCTAAATTTGATGTCATTTCCATGCTCTACTTTGTGATAGAGACTGAAATAATAAATTATACATGTATGGCAATACAATTTCTTCTTCTCACTGTTGGACTCATCATGGCCAAAGACTCGCCTTCAAAAATCCTTAGTGAGAACCTTGTGTATGTACATGTTCCAATTCATGGCCATGGAAATGTTTTGCACCATCAATATATGTAACATAACATTATATAAATATGACTATGACTTCGTTACTTGAAGTTACTTCTTTTTTAACAAATATCTGATTGTTACATTTATAAATGTACATGTACATTGATATTTTTACTTGTACATGTAATATAATATAAACTTCTTCAAACATGTCAAAAAGATGGATATTTAAAAGCTTCAGGACTATTTGGATTTTTGCACACTGTTGAAGGCTGTAGGGTGATCTATGGTTGCTTAAATCCACGTCATACAGACCCTATTGATTTGTTGTCGCATTGGTAAACATACATGTACCAAATCCTTTTAATTGTATATAAGCTTTCTATAGAAAAATAAAGGGAAAAGACTGAGAAATAGAAAGGAAGCATGTTACATATTTTACTAATAACAAAGAACATATATTGCATTTTCCTACCAGACTTTTTTGTCATGGTGGGGCCTTTTATAGCTGACTATAGAGTACAGATGGGTTTACTAATTGTTGTCGAAGGCTGTACATGTATGTTGACCTATAATTGGTAATATCCGCTTCATTTGGACTCTATTGGATAGTGGTCTCATTGGCAATCAAACCACATGTCATTGTTTCATATTAACATTGAGTTGGTTTCAATTTTTCATGATACATGTACATACATGTATACAACGTAGGTACAAATTACAATTTGCGCCTTTTATTAAAAGGCCCCAAATTGTACCTATTATAAAAAAATTATAGCTGATGACTATACAGTATGAGTTTACTAATTGTTGTCCAAGGCTGTATGTTGACCTATAATTCCTAATATCCGCTTCATTCAGACTCTGTTGGATAGTTGTCTCATTGGCAATCATACCACATGTCCTTATTTCATATAAACATTGATTTGGTTACAATTTTTTATGATGGGAACAATTTTCCATTGTACTTATAGATACTGCATTGTGCAAAGTAGTGACATCTCATCATGATGTCTTGTGGTATAATACTGACATGTGCATGGTACAATTGTACCATGCGCTTGTCTGTTTCTGGTTCAATAGGTACAAAAACTATGACAAGACACAGGCTGCCATTTAGAACTGCACCACTTCAGTACACATGGCTTAAAAAAATGCCACATGAAAATAATGTGGCAAAAATCTTTAATCCTACCTATACAGTATGGTGAAGTTTCAAAGAGCATTTCAAACCATCAAATACATGTAATATAAAATTTTAAGGACATTAGTCTCCACTCAGCCTCAGGTCCATCAGCCTATATAGTGGCTTGTAAAATTATTATCCAGACAGTAAATTTTGGCAGCAAGAGTTTATCATGAAAACTGTTTTTGGAGTAACAGTGAACGTAATAATATTGTAACACATATTTTTGTCATATTTGACATTGTATTAATCTACATTTTCTTATTGTACCTTTTAGCATGCCATTTAATAAAATTGCATATAAAAATATTTTATAAAATAGTTCAACTTGACCTAACATTGTGGGAAGAGAGTACTAACATTTAAAATGGTCTAATATTATTCTTATTTAATATTATTTTTAGGTATACTATCCACAACAAGGCCCAGTGTTCTCAACTCTTTATCTGTTTGATATACATGTAAATATACCAACAATGGCAACATCATACAGAGGATGAAGATAATTTAAAATACTGCAAAATTCTGATAAAATCCGGAAAGAGGTCCAAGTATACATTTTGAACATGTGAAATGAAAAAATAATGTGTCTACCAAACATTTTCTTGAAAACAAATGATTTCCTTGTGTAGCAGTATTTCCCTGTAGTAAAACTGGTTCTATTTATAGGTAGAAATTTGATTGGTTTGTTGCCAGACGTACATATGTCCTATTTTGACCTTCACACAATCATTCACAAAAATCTAAAAATGTGTCATCGAGTTCAGGCAATGTAATTTCGTAAAATACAAAGACGTGCACAATCGCCTAATGATACCGACAAATGAACATACTAATATATTATTGTAATATATTTTTACTATGATATTGGGTTACTTTCTTTTTGCTAAGGTGACAATTTTTCCAAACGAGAACGTACAGAACTATCACGAAATGAATCCATGGCATACATTTTACACTCGGATAACTTACCGAGATTGACGGTATAAATTCTACCGCCTGTTCTATTTGACGCTTCAAGTATAACGTAATCTTTGAATCCATTTTTAGCGAGATGGTCTCCTAAGGCTATCCCGGAGATCCCTCCACCGATGATCACAACTTTGGGCTTTGTTTCACCCATATCCTTCAAAAGTCAACAGCTGACATACGTCACGTACTTGTTATAAAAAATCACAATAGTTGAATTAAAAATGTTGTTTCATCCACATATAAAACAATAAAATTATACAGTTTTATAAACACTTCCAATGATTTGTCTCTCACTGTGTTAGTCCTTGTTTTCATAACATGATTTTGATTATGAATGCATCGTCGCAATCGGAGCGGTTTATCCACACATATTTCAATGACGTCAGAGATTTTACCGTATGCAGGTGAAAGTTCAAAGTTGACAGTACTTTTGTCCGTAGAGTTTTTTGCTGTGTTTTTTAAACAGTCCTATAATTTACGAAACATTGGTAAGGAAGTTACAAATATGAGATTACTTGGCTATAGGTAATTAAAAAAAAAGTGTTTTAATAACAAAATGATTTTCATCAAAATACAACGATGCCGTCTGCTCTCACTGTCTTACAAAAGGATTGGTATAAAGTAAAATCACAAAAATACTGAACTCCGAGGAAAATTTAAAAAGGAAAGTCCCTAATCAAATGGCAAAATCAAAAGCTCAAACACATCAAACGAATGGATAACAACTGTCATATTCCTGACTTGGTACAGGCATTTTCTTACTGTAGAAAATGGTGGATTGAACCTGGTTTTATACTAGCTAAACCTCTCACTTGTATGACAGTCGCATCAACTTCCATTATATTGACAACGATGCGTGAACAAAACAAACAGACACAATAGGTAAAAATGTCAAAAATAGGGGTACAGCAGTCAACATTGTGTTATCATCTTAATCACCATAAGAACAAACAAATGTAACGAAGAAGCACAAAAAGGCATATAGTCATCAAATTTAACATCCTCATTTTGCTTTTTCGGAGCCCGAAAAATAATTATTTATTAAATTTACACAAAAAACAGGATAAATTAATTAACAAAAGTTGATGCATTTGTTTTATTTGTACTTTTCCTGGTTTTCCTGTATGTTCTTTTATCTTCCCTTTGTTGATCTTTGTTAGTCCACTGAATATCATAAACATTAAAAGGGGGAGGGTTGAGATCCGTCAAAACTGACTTTAGTAACCTAATCACATGCTCTTTCTGGACCTTTCAAGTATTTTTCTTCAAAGCCGCAAGACAAATCAAAGACTTCAAAACTGATACTTCGTAAGATCTGGTTTGTGCTAACCCAGTTTTAATAAGCGTGGGCGTTTGTCTTCCTGGACAGCGTTCCCATAAGTCCTGCAGTTACGGTAGGCTAGCAAAAAGCAGTCAAAATTATGTTGAAATACTGCACTGTTATACCCCAATGGGGTTGATGTCATACATGAAAATAAACAAAATAACACATTACAGTAAAGTAATGCATCACAAAAATAATATAATACAAGACATGAATTTATATATATGTACATGTCATGCAGCTGTTGAATCCACTCTCCTCTGTAGCAGCATACCGCATTACTGACGGACATGAAAGACATAAAACCAATTTATCCAAGTTATCCATAGCATCTATATTTGAATAGATAGGGTTTTTTTTAAGAATTCAAGTCTTAAGTTTTCATTTGTGTACATTTAAATAAGAAATGATCTTCATCGTCTATTTTATTTAAAGAAAAATGATGATAATATACATAAACCTTTTGGCTTTTTTATCATTATTTAATTTTATTGACTTATGATTTTTCTTTTGTACATTATTATACAACATATAAAACTTTCTCCAATTACTATTCCTAAATTCATAAAAAAACATATAGGCCTATTTGGGTTTAAACATCACATTTGGCAACTAAATTCACATGTATATACACAAATTGTCATAACAAATTTCTTCACTCTTTACTTGGTTGCTGGTATACTACAACAACGACGCTGCTGCTCTTTCCGTTTGAAATAAGTTTCTTTACAGATACAGCCAAACTTGCAAACCAAATCTTTGTATCTATGGAAGAATTTAGTAAAGATTTAAAGTAATTTGTGGTAGCGAAATCCCTGACCTAATAATTTACCAGTAATACATAGATTACGCTAACTGAAATCCAAAACATCTATATGTTCAAATATGTTCTTTTTTATCTGTACTATAAACTGAACTGAGAATATATGCAGTTGTCCATATATTCATTTAAACTAGGTTCTATTTGTGCCTATTGTTGTTAGGGATGTATAAGTACCCTGCCACGTCCGGTCTGTGTTTTTTGTTAGATTTGTTCTGCTTTGCATCCATCTGATGAGTTAAGCCATTTTCAACTGATTTTTATAGTTTGTTCTTATGTTGTGCTGTAACAACACTGTCCCAGGTTAGGGGAGGTTTGAGCACTTACAAACATGTTTAACCCCTCCACATTCTTTATGTGCCTGTCCCAAGTCAGTAGCCTGTAGTTCAGTGGTTGTCGTTGGTTCATGTCTGTCATATTTATTTTCGTAAATTGTTTTGTTATAAATCTGGCCATTAGTTTTTCTCAATTGAATTGTTTCATATTTTTCATGTCGGGGCCTTTTATAGCCGACTATACGGTATGGGTTTTTCTCATTGTTGAAGGCTGTACGGTTGCCTATAATTGCTTACAGCCACTTCATCTAAACTTGGGTGGATATTTGTCTCATTGGCAATCATACCACATCTCCTTATTTTTATATAGCTTTATTAAGAAGGTCTAAAAGCCTCAAAGCTGTAAAGAAAGCCTGAGGTTTTGACAAATTCCGAGTATTTGTACGAAAAAAAACGAGAAAGGACGTATTTAACAAATACCAACATTCTATTGGAAATGAAGCTATGTGTTGTTTACGAGATAGAAAATGAATATAACCCCCATCTGAGTGGGGGTATTATTGCAATAAGCTTGTCCGTCCATTCCTCTGTTCGTTCATCTGAAGTTCGTACATGCAACACATATTGTCGTCACACTTTAATCTTAATCAGGAGCCACTGAACAAAACGACTTGATATTTAGCCAGAATCTTTTCTCCGTATGTCCATGATGGACTCTGCCTGGGATATCGTGAGCGGCGTCACTCGTCAAATGGTTAAATTGTTATTTTAAACAGGATAGCAAATTCTAATTTTTACGGAGATGTTGTTTACCAAACCCGGAAATTTGGATCCGATCCGGGTAAACTTATCAATCCTTGAAATAAACTTGTTCTAAAAGGTTACAAATTCAACACTGTAATTAGATCTTTGACAATTGTTTTTATTGGTATAAATATTGATTTTGTTATCAGTAAATTAAAATCAAACTACACATTATTTTTCATATACATATGCACATCAATGGCTCTACAATCTGTCGTTACCTGTATCTTGGCATTGCATAAGGTCATCGATTTTCTCTGACTGTTAATGACGACATAACACTAAATCCATTGGACGTTAGATGTATACTGATCGTTTGATATTTTAATCTTAGTTGCATGATTTTGTATTAGTTGTTAATGGCTTTGAACTAGCTGTCAGTAACTGTGAGTACTCTCAGATCTGTACTTAGTGGGTTTTTTTTTTGTTGGGATGTATAAGTACCCTGCCCGTCCGGTCTGTGTTTTTTTTATATATTTCTGCTTTGTATCGATCTGATGAGTTAAGCCCTTTTCAACTGATTTTTATAGCTTTTTATTATGTTGTACTGTTACAACTCTGTCCGATGTTAGGGGAGGGTTGGCGCCTTCAAACTTGTTAACCCCGCCACTTTCTGTATGTGCGTGTCCCAAGTCAGGAGCCTGTATTTCAGTGGTTGTCGTTTGTTACTGTACATCATATTCGTTTTTCGTTCATTATTTTGTACATAAATCAGGCCGTTAGTTTTATCGGTTGAATTGTTTTACATTCGTCATTTCGGTGCCTTTTATAGCAAACTATGCGGTATGGGTTTTGTGCATTGTTGAAGACCGTACGGTGCCTATAGCTGTTAACTTCTATGACATTTGGTCTCTGCTGGAGAGTTGTCTCATTGGCAATTATACCACATCTTCTTATTTTTATACAGAGGTCTAACTCATGCATGTTGCAAAGCGTTGTAGCTAGTTAAAAAAATATTTTTTGTTTTACATCAAAGCATCTAGCAAACTATACCTCTGTTGTTTTTATTTTGAACCAAATTATGTCTATGGCGAATAAAAGGAGATGTCGGGTTATATGCCCACGATACAGTAACCCAACTGCAAAACTAACCAAACGATTTCGAGGGGTCACCATACAGTCTTCAGCTCACCACGGGACAAAATGTCAACATGGACAACGGTTAAAACTTATTTTTCTTAATAATTCAAAAATGAAATAACCATGAAAAATACTTACACAGTTCCAAATCTAAATATATCACATTTTTAATTAGAATTAGTTCGATATAATGTTCATTTTTATCAATTATTATTACGAAGTAATAAAAATTATTATGTTTTTGGCATATTGTATAAATGTATTGTATAGTATCACTTAACCCCGTTAAGCTTTTTTATTTTATGCAATAAAAGTTCGATAATATCAGAAAAAGCTCTGTCGAACTTATATATATATTTAGTATGAGAAATTGCACATTACTAATTATGATTGAAAAATTAATTTAAATTGAAGATACACGTGTTATCTGGTTTGGTATAAGTACATTTCAACTGTGTACGACCTTATTTTTGATCCGACTAGAAAACATCATCGTTCTTAAAAGCAGAGAATAAGATGGACGAAGATAAATATTGGCAGCAGAATTCCATTCTGAAATGAAAAAAAAAAACATGTTTTTATAGTTTGTTCTTTTTTGTTGTTGTGCTGTTACACCACTGCCCATGTTATGGCGAGGATAGGGTTTGGAACCTGCAAACATGTTTACCCCCGCCATATTCTATATGTGTCTGTCCCAAGTCCAGAGTATGTAAGTTGGACCGTGCCGAATTTTGAGGGGTGGTCAATCTGATTTAAATACAGATCATGTTTCCATGCTGAATCTGTATTTCAATAAGATTTTTTTGGGGGGGGGGGGGGGGGGGGGAGGAGGAGGGGGTTGGTGGTTACACAAAATATTTATGAAGAACAAACGAATTTCTCATTACAGTTTGTTGTGGCTTTTAAAGATACTGTTAGATTTCACGTTGAACAACTTGATTTTCAATATTATCAAAAAAATAATAGACTCACTATTATGTAATATTAAACGCAGTTACGTGCACACATGCAATATAGTTGCGTGTAATTACATTTTGATTATTGTGTTTATCGTTTTTCGACTGGATTAAGTCGGCATTTTCATGTTGCGTAGTTGATGTTTAATATATTTTGGACAAATGGGGATGGGATTCACTTGAATCGCCGTCAGATATTTTAGTTAAATTAACAAACAGTTGTTAAACAGGCACTGGTAGAGTAACTATTTTTTAATCTTCTTTTCATCGATGTTTTTAAACGCTAGTATAATAAACAACAAATAAATAGGAAATTGGAGTAGAATATAATACGAGTAAACAACCCATATATGGTAAATGTCGCAATTTAAGCGAAAATAATATATGTATATGTGTGATGGTATAAAGTGGTGACGACATTTAATATGAAAAATCATGACGAACATCAACAGATGGCAAACTTGTAGTTGCGTGTGACATTCGAATTGAAAAAATGTCCAACTGTTGCATCCGATTCGATCAATATGAAAAGAATTATATTCACATATATTACAACAGCGTTACAGATAATTATATTGCCAGGAAAGAAATGTCAAATAACAAAAATGTTTGTAATCTGAGCATGTCATCTTTATTCCTAGTCTAAGCATGACATAAAGCCGATAAAGAGACAAAAAATATACAATTATACTGGTCTACATTCATAAACCGAACAAAACAAATGATAAAACTATTATAGAAAGCACAAATAAAGCGCCAATACCACTGCATGGTAACCGCATATACACGTTGAAGCAGAGACAGAATAAAGACAAGCAGTTCGATAATGGTTAAATTTAATTTTCCATTTAAAACTGTATATATACGTCACCATGTAAACCGACAATTCAAATCCTTATTATAGTGAGCTAACTTTTTGTTAGTCCAATTTTGATCTACCTATGTTGTAAAATTTAAATGTAAATTGACTTTCAACAATTCATTTTCATTACTTTCCTGTGTAATGTTTTGTGGCATATTGTCTGTTTTTTTTTAGTCTTTTTCCTTTTAAGGAATGTGGTTGTCTCTCAATCTGTGACTAAATAATTTTGTATTGCCCCTTTGATATTTTTTTTAAATGGTGAGAAGTTTCCCCATGAAATCAGAGTATATTTTATAAATTGAATATTGTTTGGTTTATACAATTAAAACAGGGGGGGGGGCGTTGCATTCTTCTTCAAATATATATTTCGAATTCTTATGCTATGGAAGCGGAAAATTGAATCAATATAATTGTATTTTCCCCAAATTGCGGTATTTGATGTAAAATTTACATATTATGGTTTTGATAATATTCAGAGGTGAAGATACGTTTTAGAAAATTAGAATTTTTAAAGAAGCACATTGAAAAAATATAAGAAATAATTATATGTGTTCCGAGTTCCATGCAGGGAAAAAGAGCCGGGCCCCTTAAGGAACAGTAGAACCCGTGTTACTCAATTTGATATATATCAACAAAAGAAGCTACGATTCTGTCAAAATTCATTTATGTGAAATAATAAATAAATATTAAATTTCTTGATTTGAGGGTGATACGTAAGGGATTATATATAGCTAATTACGTGACATTCGGCAATGCTGCATGCACTTGAATGACGTGAACAATTCTTAAATAATGAAATGAAATCAAGAGGGACCTGAAGAACAAACAAAACTTACGTATCAACGGTATCTACGTATCTGTTGTCATACCTGGTCCTTTTATATATATAGCTGACTATACGCCGATATGGGTTTTGCTCATTATTGAAGGCCGTACGGAGACCTATAGTTGTTTTAATCCGCTTTGCATTTGGACTCTGATGGATAGTTGTCTCATTTGCAATCGTACCACATCTCCATAGATTATAATTATGAGTTTGTCTGAGGGTTTCAAACAGATCTGTTGCATAAAGCAAATATTTTGTTAAAAACACCAAAGGAGGCAAGAGAAAGGGAGATCTGATGTATCATAAAAGTCATTATTTGGCACCCTGAAATTGCATAAGTTGTCAATTTCTTCATTCCTTTCAAAAATATGTTAATTTTTATTGATAGATGAACAAAATGATTTAATTAACCGGTTATCTCATACAGTAATGTCCTTTACGATGTTATTGCCGGATATGTCAAAATATATTTTGAAATATTTGACGAAAATTATCATTTTACACATATCGAATTATTTATGATGTAATATGCTTCCTTTAAATCAACATGTGCATAAGACACTTTTTGGTAATCCGTTGGGCAACAGCGTTGCTCATATCTAATTTTGAATGGGAAGATCTGAAAATTATGGCAGTTAGAGGTCTATTGAAGATTTAAAGCAGTAACAAAGGACAAAATTCAGACATATTATCACAGACATCTAATAGACTTATGTGTTGTGAACATCTTGAGTATAATGTGGAGTAAATTTATAATGCCTTGTGATGTTTTTACTGCAAGTTGAAAATAAAAGTTTTGAAAACACGCCGATGATATTTTCTTTCGCTTTGAACTTAACTTAGATAATTCATAGTATAGATGCACTGCCGTTTTAAATCCTTTTTTTTCAATTTGTTTCCTAGTTTTTTGTCCATTGCAGACTAAATATTAATTGTAGAATGTTTTATTGGACTTCGTGGAACATTTTAACAATTTTCAGATGGAACTATGATACTCTATAAATGCAATCAGCAGACTGTTTTAAAATACTTCCTTATAAGCGGACTTTAGACTGTAGTAACACGCTATTTGTCAGAGGTTAATGTAATGTTCTGGCGTGCAATATACAATTCTTTGTATACTTTGTTCAATGAAAAGCAACTTTCCTAGAAAAAAAAACTTAGCATTTAAAGGAAAATGAAAATACTTCCGTTTCTGTTCTGAAATACTAGAATATTTAATTTCAGGACTTATACGCCTTTCTGAAGACGCAAAATACACCTAAGATATCATTCTATTGTTCTATATTATTTTCTAGGGATGGACAGGTATCAGAACTTTCTTTATCACGTCTGTTATCACAAGTGATTGTAACTGATTTTACCTTAATAGTCTGTTGCAAAATCAGTTTCAAGTTTGCATAATATTATATATGAATAAAAAAATGTGAGACAAACGTCAAAGAGACAGCAAGGAAGCAAACAACACAATAACAAAATATGAAAGGCCGTAAACTACGAATTTTAAGTTACCATTGTTAGTGGTTGTAACTTAATTCACTTTTTTCCGCGGACCAGAGTTACTGATAATCGTTCTGACTTTAAAACAATTTTGAATGTCCATTTTTCTCGATGTATGAAAACGAAAATGAGCTATAGTTATTGTACATTTTCCAATAGCCGTTTGATTTTTTGTAAAGACGAATTGTCCAACAGGCTTATATGTCTTTGTTGCCATTTTACAGAATAGCCATGTCGTCTCAGTCATCACAGAAAAGAAAATTTCTTACTCCTTTCATTTCGCCCTTGACGACCGGCGTTAAAAAATTGTCAGAAAATCCAACAGTCATACAGAAACAATACCGCAATAGCAGTATTTCAGAGGGGAGAAGAGAATCGAGCAAGAATGAGTATAGATATAACAACTGTCAACCAAAAAGCCCGAAGAGAACACTTTACATATTCAAAGAGCCGTTAGAAAATGCAGAAATCATTAAAAATGAAGGCACTTCAAAGAGGGAAAAGCGCTATTTAATACAACCAGCAATCGCAGAGAAAAATAAACATGAATCCACCATCTACGAAATCACTGAAGAGTCTGCACATGAACCACTCTATAACATAGATACCTGGTTGAATGAATCTGCAAGAATAACTGGTACTAAATCAACTGTGTCCCCGCATAGGCGTGCACGTGAATCTTGTCATCAGCATCCTCATTCATGTGCACGTGAATCTTGTCATCAACATCCTCATTCAAAGAAAGGAAAGATTACAAGGAAAACTGCTGCAACCGAAAGACAGGTATGTCTCCATCTGTTAGAATTTTAAACCCCTTAATTACGTCTACTAAACGCATCTGAAGCTACCGCTACCCTCTGGTCTCCGTTACAGTCATTCACCTATTATTGAAATTAATGTATAAGAAGTTGTGGTATGATTGACAATGAGACAGATCTCCAACAGAGACCAAATGACGTAGAAGTTTCCCTTCTCTCTATATATAGATAACAATGTATTAACACTACTAAAGTGTCTTGAGGTCAGCATCCCATTGTTGATTTATCTTTCTTGATGAGTCTAATATTAAAGACATATAATACAATTATTATATTATATGTCTCTGAACATATGAACGATATTGAATCTAATACATTGTACCGACCTATACCTGACAATTTTTAAGAGTTAGAACTTGCTAGTTATAATATGTTGATACATGTGCGATTTATATCGTAAATCAATCATCTTGTTTATATGATGTAAGATTTTTGTTGAGTCGATTGATGCTAAATTTATTCAAATTATTGAACAAAACCTTTTGAAAAAAACTTTAATTTAAAGGTCTATATCTTATTTCCATTCTATAGAAAATAGTAAGTATCTTAAATATGATTTCTATTCTCGAAATGAAATCAGTGTAAGTCGACCTTTTCTTTAGATTTATATTTTTGCTGATAAAAGACAAACCAGAGACATATATATGTGTATATAGGTCTCTGGACAAACTTAAGCCCTTTTTTTGCAATTTTTTATCCATCTGTCAATTTCAGGTAAAACTAAATGTATTGTGTTCGATACTAAAGATGAAGAATGAACTACAAATAATACGAAACAGAAGAGAGAAGCTTTGTGGTATGTTGAATATCTAAAGACATTGTGTGTACTAATATTTAAACTTTGAAATCCATAAAACATTTTCCTACGCCTTAGCCCACTAAAGGTTTGATCAAAATTGTGATGATATTTTTGTAATGTCATAAAACACAAAACACACAACACACATGTGAAAACATTTAGGTTTCTGGATAAGGTTTTTTGAACCATAAACAATAGCTTTATAAAACTTGGTGATTTGAGAATTAACATAATGCAAAGTATCCCCCTGCTGGTTTTGAGGTTAATAGGTCAAAGGTCAAGATTACAATTGAATTTCCAGACATTCTGTTGAACCACATGTCCATCGGTTAGCAAAATTAGCTAGCTGATGTCATTTGGTAGAAAAAACATTAATAATGTATTTGTATGTCATCATAGTGGTCAAGGTCACAGTGCAATGGAATGAAAAAAATACTTAAAATCTTTAGCGGATAATGCACTATGGTTGAAAAAAACCCTATTGATTTTGATCACTTGGTCAAAGGTAAAATATCACAGCAGCAATTTATAGACTAAAATTGAGTTAAAATTATGGTTTCCATATGATATATGTTGAACTGTCCAACCTTCATCAAACTTATCTTAAAAATGACCCATGGAAAGAAGAAGACACCTATTGATTTTGGGGTTAGTAGGTCAAAGGTAAAGGTCACAAGGCCTTTCCATAGACAAACATTTTTGGAAAAAGATTCATTTATAGACAATATCCTTTGGCGCCAAAAATCAGATGTTTACCAATCTTTGGTTGATAATGCACCTTTGGCTCAAAGGTAAAGGTCACAGCAAGCAATTAATACACAGAAATTTTGGAAAATGTTTGGTTTTCAGATATCTGTCAGCAGATCATCATCAAAATATAAAATAAATTGGGAATGTGTCCATAGGGACACAGATGATGCCCCCGTTAGCATATAACATTATAAAGGGACATAGCTCAAGAACTGTAAAAGTGACGCTTCCAAAATTTGAACTTAAACTGAGTTAAGTGTTAATAAGCATTATATATACATTTCATTAAATTTAGTTGAGACAAACTTAAGTTAGAGAACGAAAACAAAATATCATATAAGGTTATAAAGGGACAACACTGAAGAACATTAATCAAAGTGCTTGTAAGCACTGAAGGGTAAAGATTGTTTTAATTTTTCCAGTGAACATTGCATTGTATAAAGCATTGGTTGTAGTTGATGTAATTGTTAAAATTAATTTTGTCCATAATTGTAGTTGATTCAACTACAATTATGGACAAAGGAAGATAACTCAATTTAAAAAAATAATTTTAACAATTACATCATTGATATTTTTAGAACAGATATTAGATTCATATTTTTCCATTTGTAAATGAGCATAACTCCAGAACAGTTGAAGTGACACCACCAAAATTCTAACTTGATCTGTATTTTGTGGTAATAAGCATTTTATATAAGTTTAATAAATTGGTTGAGGCAAACTAAAGGTAGAGAACAGAAACAAAAAAATCAGCATTTTTTTCATTTGTAAAGGGGCATAACTCAACAACGGTTGAAGTGACACCACCAAAATTCAGACTTGATCTGTATTTTGTGGAAATAAGCATTTTGTGTAAGTTTAATAACATTTGGTTGAGGCAAACTAAAGTTAGAAAACGGAAACAAAAAATTCAGCATTTTTTTTCATTTGTAAAGGGGCATAACTCAACAATGGTAAATGTGATGCCACCAAAATTCAAACTTGATCTGTGTTTTGTGGTAATAAGCATTTTGTATAAGTTTCATAACATTCGGTTGAAGCAAACTAAAGTTAGAGAACGGAAACCAACTTTGGGACATACAGACGGACGGAAGGACGTACGTACAGACGGACAAGGGTAAAACTTAATGCCCCCTCCGCTACGGCAGGGGCATAAAAACCCTAGTTTCTTCTACTTCAAATCCACAACAAAAGAAATAATAGCTTATACATTCATTGTGCTACTGTAATTTCTTACCTCAGTTTTCTTGAATGATTTTTTGTTGTGCAGTTTATTTCATTTTTTGACTGTTGAAAATAATAGGGTTAGAGTTGAGTACTCAGAAACTGGTTAATAGGGCCATATCTTATAATGATGTTTTGATTTCATAACTTTGAAAAACTAGCTTGTCGCAACTTGTCTGGCTCAATAAATTTAAAGCATTTATTCATTTCATTTAATACATAGTAGCTATTTAATAAACACTCAAAACTTTTGAGCAATTTGTGCCTTAACAACTGTCCCAAGTGTGTAAAGTGTATAGAAGCTTTTGAACTGTAATCACAAAATGACATATACAATGTACTAGCAGCTTGAAAAACCATAAAAATATATTTTCCTTGGATTAAAACATTATGAATAGAAGCTGCACTTAAATCAGATTCTCCATACAGGATAGCAGCTTCAACTTGACATATACATTCATCCAGTTTAGTACAAGCTGAGAAGGTGTATGGTCATAAAATTGTGCATGAAAAACCAAATCTAGTATTTTGATTGATTGATTTCTGAGTCTGAGTATGATAATCATACTCAAAAGTTTTATGACTGCAAGGCCTAAATTGGAAATGTTATAAAGTATAAAATAGGTCTTTTTAATTATGTGTAATTTGTCTGTAAATATTTTTCATATTACAGGCAACTTAAAGGAAAATACTACTTACCAAGAAGAATAGGTACTAAAACAGATGAATTAACAAAATCTATCAACATTCTAATAAGCGAGTACATGTGTGTTGTTTTCTAATAAACTGAATATATATATATATACATGTATCTTGTTTATGTATAAATTTAGTATCAGGAATACTAAATATATTATTGTTTTAGTTTCATACTTGTTGAAATCATCTTATTTATTGTGATAATTATAATTATATCTGTTATAGCTGGTTTCTGTTTTCAATGGGTAGGTTTATTGTTATTAAATTTATCATGAAATAACCTGAGTCCTGTTGTTTTTTATATGATCATACTCAAACTGGCATTCCTTGAAAAAATTCAAGGTTTAAATCTAAGGTCATATAAGTTATATATATATATTTATCTGATCAACACTTAAAGGATGAAATGCTCCACAGAGTGCAGCTTGATACAACAGCAGAGGTCAAAATTCTGAACAGTTGGGGCAAGTATGGACACAACATTCAAGCTTGATACAGCTCTGAATTTGGATATTTTGTTAAATATTTGACACAGCATAGGTTTCTGACACAGAATGAATGTGGTCAAAAAACGTAAAAATTTGATTTTGAACATTTACCTATTATGGTCCAATATCCAAAATCTAAATACATGGTTAGATTCAGCACATACATCACAGTTTAATCAAGAATGATTTCAATGTCAGCTGATTTCAAAGTTATTTGGATTTACTTTTAGTTATGGTGAGCATATTTGGAAATGATATTTTATAATTATATATATACTATATTAAGTAGTTTTTTTCCTGGAAGTCTTCTGCAATACTGATAAACTGTAAACCAACTAATTTCGCGCCTTTTGCAGGTAGAAAAATAACACGAATACAAATTGTCACATTATGTAAAACTTGGATCTTTCCTTATTCAACTACATCAAGAAAATTTGAAAATCACTAACTTTAATCGCTGCAAAGTCAGCTAGAAAGAGTAAAACGCGAAATAAAGTATCCATGGAAATTAGTTGGTTTACAGTAGCTGAATTGAGGGATTTTTCTAGTTTACTTTTTCTGATTCATTTTCAAACTTTATCAACTTTTCTACTGACACAGATAATGGAGAGACTTGAGGTAATTGAAACATAGAGTATCTAAATCTTTTGTCATTTTACTTTATGTATTCATAAATTGTTTAAACTCTGGGTAATTCAAAGCTTCCCATTCAGTGGACTCTTGTTAAATGCTGTATGGTAACCTGTAGATGTCTTCTATTTTGGTTACAGTGTGTTGCTGGGCAGCTGTCTAAATGAAGTTCATCAAACATCTCTATTTTATTTCATATTTATCTATTCTTAGAAGTTATAGGTCTGTAACTGTCCTGTTAACTTTTATGCCTTTTTTATTTTCTATATAATTCTACTTTGGGTCTCAAGTCTTACCTGGATAGCATAGAAAAGTTAATTGCAAATTACTAGAAGTAAGGGCCACACATTCTTAGCCCGACACAACAAGATCATCATAAGCTGATAGGAGACATTAATATAAAACATGTTATAACAAATACTTCTAATCTTAAAGTAATGTAAAAAGAAAAAAACATTTGTTTTATTATCATTTTTATTCAAAATATCAAAAACAAAGTTATAACAACAAAAAATGTTAACAAATATCTGTGATTTCTATTGCTTCTGATGTAGAAGATTGCCAAAATCACAAAACTGGTACATATAATTTTAAAAGACAATTTATCCAAAATATAATGCCATGTTGGTAAATGGTAAATTTTCTTTGAAAAAATTAAATAAAAGATTGTTTAGGAATTCCTCAGATTTCTGTTAATCTTCCATTTCAAACTTTATTTTTCTCCCTTTCATCATGCATTCTGACACAGCACTTCCAGTACTTTTCTTGCTTTCATCTTTCAATCAACCAATTATTATCTTTTTCTTACTTCATCCATTGTTCCTCTTTTTTCACTCTAGCATATCATCTTTTTACAGTTAAACCACAATCCAATCTTTTATCAATTACTTTCTTCCTTCATTTTCTTACATAACATTCATTTATATTTCTCTCTTTTGTCTTTGACACACAACCTATAAATACACTTTCACAATTTTTCAGATAGAGGATATTTGTGTACCAGCTTCTTTTCTTGTAGAACAAAAAATATGAATAATTTTAATGATTTTTTTTAACCACCCCCAAAATTTAATAATTGTATGAACAAATTGACAAAAAAAAAAAATATAACAAAAATAAAAAAAAAAACAACAACCCCCAAATAGTCTGTTATTATATATTTAAAAAATCCTGAAAACTAAAATCAAGCAAAGTTGAAAAAAATATTTACATTTTATCAAACATATGGGAATCTTCCAAAAACTGGACCAAAGAAAGTGACAAGTACTTTACAACTTGTTTAGATTTATTATATATAAAATTAGACCTCCTGCAAAATAATCTGTTAAATTATACAATAAAATAATTTACTTTTCTGTTTGAGTGATCAACAATGTTGACATTTAAATGAGAGACCTATGCAAAAAGATGTGTCATACATGCATATCTATTTTCAGTTCCAATGGTACTAACTTATACCTAGGTCAGTAAAATAACAACTTCTTACATATTTAATGCATGTTACAATTATTAAAAAAAAAGGTGAAGTGTAATTGAAAAATCATAAATTTGTCACAGGTAAAAAACTGATCGTTGACAAAATGAAATTTGTTTCAATTATGTATTTAAACAATGCAATAAAACCATAATTTCACCGTGGGAAATTGTTCAAGGCCAAAAACTGAGAAATGAGGTGAAATATATATTCTGCAGATATAAACCTTGGTCTAGTTTTTAAATACATGTATAATTTTAACCAGAATAACCAATACACTTGTGGTAGGATAATTTGATTTGTTACTGTATCATTTTTTATATGCAAAAATTCCAACTAACAATAATTTGGTTTGGTTCAAACACCATCCAAAATTTTTTGTCTGAAAAAAAGTTTATAGAAGGTATCTTAATTATAACTTTTTATTTTTACTGTAATACCAGAGCACATAGCATTTAGGGATTTCAATATTAGCAGAAAACAAACACAATCAATGGTAACATAAAAGATAACTATAAAAACTGTGAGTAAGGTTAACAAAAGTCATAACCCTGCTCCACCATTTGTTTACATACCCGGTATGACAAAGTCTATGTTTTGCTATGGAAAACCCAAAATTCTTAAGATAAAAAATGTGAAACGCACAACGGCATTATGTTACCATGGCCAAATTCATTGAAATCAAGTCAGTTATTTAAAAAAAAATTGTGGATATACAATGCTTCTCTCCTGCCAATATAGCAAACTTTATATTTTGCTATGGGAAACATAAAAAATCGATGGAGAAAAAACTTAAATATAAGGTGCACTATACCATTACACACTGAATTCTTTTAAATTACTTTTAATGGCTTATAAGAAGTTACAGAAAGACGAACACTGGAATTGACAAAAGAGGAAAATAATGAAGACATACCCCACATCAATACCAGTAAGTGGGAGTGTAAATGATCAATACATACTCCCACATCAGTACTGGTAAGTGGGAGTGTAAATGATCAATAAATACTCCCACATCAATACCAGTAAGTGGGAGTGTAAATTATCAATACATACTCCCACATCAGTACCGGTAAGTGGGAGAATAATAACACTGATTTAACACTGTAACTCAATGTTTTATTTGTTCATTGCACTAGAAATCATTACTACTCTATGTTTACTACACACATTTCAACTAAATGCTAATGAATTGTGAATAATTCAACACAAATTATACAGGGTGATTTGCTCTATAAAATTATGTGAACACAATGTTAACACAATGTTTATAAATGATTGATATTAAAACATTATGTACAAAGTCCTGCCTAATTCAAAAACATAAGAAATGTTCAATAATACAGAAAGTAATCTCTAAACATTCATTTTTGTTCTGACATTCTTTTATGACACTTGACTTTAGATTCCAATGTCAAAAGTAAGAATGAATAATAAATGAATAAAAGTTGTCTAACTATCAATGAACCAAATCTACTAACAAAAATATAACATAACAATTATGTATTGTATTACAACTAAATCCTGAAAATATGTACACCAAAAATTGTACAGATAATCTACATATAATACAGCATATTCAATCTGTGTAGAGACAGTGATATAAAAAAATTAAATGTTTGAGAAATTGCACATACAATGTACAAGTCATACATACAATATATATATTTTTAGAATTCTAAATCATATAAATTACCGGTATAAAAGTTTTATTTATTAAAGATCAATATACAGCAAAGTTTTCTTTAACATAACATTTTCCCCTTATAGGTAATATTTGAGTCAGGTTTTTTTTTTATATAAGTAACCAAAAAAGTATATATCATACCTTAGTAGAAATACTTTTTTTTATAAAAGTTTGTCTCTGACTTGCAATGTAACAACAGGAGTGTGTATTCATGATATACACATCTATCCATGCACAAACATATTACAAATAATGTACAGACTGGATGCTAAATGCAATGAAAATTGTTTCCAAAAATTATAAATAATATAATATAAATATATACAGTAAATTTGTGCTATGTGTATATATCATGAAAATATGTGAATTACTGAAACATATAGAATGCATATTCATATAAATTAAAGTATGAAAATAAGTTAGACAGTACATATATTGACAAAGCTATATCAAATATTTAAGAAATATCCACAATATTCATACAATATATATATTCAAAGTTTCTTTTTTATCTTCATTTTTTTTTCATATATTTTCTCTATCTCCTCAACACAAAGCATATTGCAACAAGTTATTACAATTCCCTCTTTTACAGAGTCAAGTATAATGAATTCTCCTTTATAAGAATAAGGAAACGAGGTATGATTGTCTTTCTCTGTGAAAATAAACTCTTTTCTTTACTGTTCATATGCCTCCTCTCCAGGTTAAGTAATGAATGTTACCCAATTCATCACCACAGGCAAGAGAGACAACTGAATATAGATTCCGTAAAATTTTCACAATTGTCATTGTGGTAACTGGTGCTGGACAGAAGAATAAACCAACCTATAACAGAATCATAAAATCAGTTATTAACAAATGCAAACAAGTACAGTTTATATTCAGTTGAGATAGAAATTAATAACAGGAGGCCCAGTGAGTTTCCAGTGTAAAGATGAGCCTGTCCTAGTTAAGAAGAATTGACCTTGAAGAAGCTTCTGTCCAAGTTTCATAAATCACGAAGGTTATTTATGTCTTAAAAATTTATTCCAAGACTGTATGTAAATATTAACTGCAAAAAACTAAGTCTATTTTATCAGTAAAATTCAGAAAAGTGTAAAAAAATATTTTCATTACAAAATTTGCTTCAAATAGTATCTCTTAATTATAAAAATTACCTGTTTCATATCTTTATTCCACACTTTGACTGTCCTATCATGAGAAGCAGTAAAAATAAGATCATCTGTCATATCAACAGCTGTCACTGCACCACCATGCACCTGGAAATTTAAGTCAACAAAATACAGTAATAAACAAACAAACAAAAACTAAATATTTTTTTAAAAAATAAAAGAAAAGAAAAGAATTTGATCTTGATATCAATGATACCCTTTACCAGTAATTAAATAGTTAATGAGCAAGAAAATGTGTTCCTAGGACATCACGCCTTGCAAGAACTATTACATTTCTATGTCTAGTGAACCATGAAATCTGGGTCAAACTCTAGTTTAATAAAAATTGATTATGCAAAAGAATATATCAGGAAAGTGAAAGGGTCATAAAATGCTTTCTTGGAGAATAAGAAAACTCTTATGGCATACTATGGTAATTAATAATAATTTATGGTTCTTGATACTTGACTACTACAGATAAAGAGAGTGATGTTTTAAATTTAATCTAAATTTGCTTCTCAACCAATCTAGAGTGTGACTAGTTTGGTCCTTGAATGAACTATCTTGAAACACTAGTTTAAAGGTTCTTGAGCTAGCACTCTATTTATATACTGTGGATGGTTTTTGTTCATATTGGATCCATTGATTCATTTTGAGACTGTCTCTTACTAGTTGATCAGTTTCAGATTAGCTATTAACTTGTTTTTTTCTCATCAAAGATCACAGTCCTTTTTCTAGGCTAGTAAATCAATACATCATCAAGTTTTGTTTTGATCATATGACAATGTTGTCTTATAAATTCATTTTTCAACTAGGGTCTATTTTCAAACAGTTGTTCAAAGGCTGTTATTACTTGATCAACAGCCAGTAAGGTATAATTGCATGTTAATCTTATGATTTCCGTAAATATTAAATTAACTCTGTTGTGTTTACTTTCAATAGAGTCTCCTAAAGTGGATACCTTAATGCAAACTATTGCAAAACTTAAAATACCTTTATTTGACAATACTTTTATTGAACTTAGTCGACATGCTTTCTCCTGGCAGGCAGACGTCATCAGGACAATTCATTTACAGAAATCAGTTACTAAAGTTCAATGCTTGGTACATTAAATTTGACTGAGCAATGTGTGTTGCTATTATTAAGATCTTTTTTAGTCATAAAGCTCCTCACGTTTTATGGTATTTATACATCTTTGGCTTAATTATGTTTGGGTTTAAGCATTTTTGATGAAGGTAAATACAGAAAAGTGTTTTGGATGAACAAAAAAATAAACCTTTCTTTAGTTTAAAAATATCAACTGTTCTTTTTTGCAATAACTCAGATCGAATTGTCACCCTTAAACTGTTTTATAACTCTCTGCTCCCAAAATTCTGAGGAAATTGTGTATGTCTTCTTAAGTACTTATGACAATTAAAGTGATCGAAATCACTATTATAAATGGAAAGATTTGAAGATTTGTGTGCATTATTTCAAATCATACTTTAGTCTTTCTGTGAGGTATGGAGGCAGACAAAAATCTTGATATACACATTTGCATTAAGTAAAGAAAGACATTAATTTGTTTAAAGTTGATGAAATGAGTTTGATGTGTGCCAATATCTAAGAGTCAATTTCAAGTTTTAAGTTGACAAAATTCGAAACAGAAGAAATAGTACAGATTTCTTCACCATCTTAAAATCCAGAGTGATGACATAGACCCAGATTGGATGGATAAAAAATAAATAGTGAAAAATATTATTCTGAGCATGAATGCTTTTTAAATTTGTATACCTACCCTTGTTGTAGACTTAGTTGAGTTGGTTATTTGTCCCTTGGAGTCTCCAACTATATGTACTTTACTATCAACAGCAATGCTGTGTACCCAAACTGGTTGTTTCTTGTGTATGACTACATCTGTGTCAACTGTGTTTGGAATTGAAATCCTGCTGTGAACTTGTATGTTGCATTTCTGAAAGAACAGTTACAAGAATGATACATAGTATGTTCTTAAAACTTTTTGATTAAATAAATCATGTTCACAATCATATACCTATAAATGAATACCATAGAAAACAATAAATGGGGAATGTGTCCATGGAACACAGATGATGACCCCGCTTGCATATCATATAAAGTTTTAAAGGGACATAACTGAAGAACGGTAAAAGTGATCCTACCTAAATTTGTACTTGATCTGTATTTTGTAGTAATAAGCATTGTGTATAAGTTTCATAACATTTAGTTCAGGTAAACATAAGTAAGAGAACGGAAACGAAAAAATTCAGCAATTTTTCCATTTGTAAACTGGCATAACTCTGGAACTGTTAAAGTAACATCACCAAATTTAAACTTGATCTGTATTATGTGGTAATAAGCATTGTGTATAAGTTTCATAACATTTGGTTGAGGGAAACTTAAGCTAGAGAACGGAAACAAAAAATTCAGCAATTTTTCCTTTTGTAAAGGGGCATAACTTTAAAACAGTATAAGTGATGCCACCAAAATTCAAACTTGATCGTGTTTTGTGGTAATAAGCATTGTGTATGAGTTTCACAACATTTCGTTGAGGCAAACTAAAGTTAGAGAATAGAAAACAGACTGACAAGGTTGACAATGGCTAGGTAAACTTAATGCCCCTCCGCTACAATGGGGGCATAAAAAGAAAACTTTGTTTAATTTTAAAAGCAACTGAACAAAATTATACAGGTTTATTATCACATTCCCAAAAATCTGTGCAGAAAATAAAAATGTTGGACAAACAGGAAATTCTAATCAAAGATTTACACATCAAATTTGTTCTTGTGTGATAACATACCAATCCTTGTTAGAACCTGCGTCCAGATAAATAAGAAAATATGTAATTGGTAAGCTTTACCTTCTCCATTGTAATTTTCATTTCAATCACCATTCCACTAGCAGTGGTAGCATAGAGATGTCCAGGTTTAGACTTTGTCTGGTACAAACTTAATATCCAGTCTGCTTGATCCACTATACATTTTCTGTAACATTATAAAAAGATTGATTTTTGATTGATTGTTGGGTGTTTTAATGCCACTTTCTGCACACATGGCTATATCATGGTGGCCTATTTTATTGGTCAAGGAAGCCACAGTACCTGGAGGATATAATTAAAAATCGGAATCTTTGTCAAAAACCATTTTTCTTAGGAAGGTTAGAACTCACAACCTTAGTGTTGACAGTCTTTTTAATAAAGGAAGATTGCAATTTTATAAGACCTACAAAGTATGATTTACAATTAATTAGGGTACAAAATTGAGTCTTTTATGCATACATTAAACAATGTTATCAAACTCATTTGTTGCTTTTTTTGTTTGTTTGCAGTATCATTTGTGCAAAGTTTGGTAGTCACAAAAATTCTGTTTGTGTAAAATATTTTAGGCAGATACATAAGCAGGGATAAACGATTTGAAATGTACCTTTTAGATTTATCAAGTCATAAAAATGTGTCCACTTCAATTGTATAAAGCTGGCTCCTATAATTTTAAAACTCTTTTTTTCCATTCTTAGCATTTCATTTTTTTTATACTTTTGATGAAAAAAAAATTTCTGTCAGCAAAAACAAAGATAATGTAACTACACAAGTCCATGACGTTGCTGAAATATCTTTAATGTAGTTGCATCTAAAATGCAACTGCATACTTAATATTTATTTTTCTCCAAATAACACTTTTGAAAGTTACTGGAACACACAATCATCAATTCAGTAATCCGAAACATTGGTACTTTATGGTAATGAGTGAATGAAATGATAAAAGGATACCCCAACTAGCAAAATGGATTATCTACCCTTTAACTTGTTGGACAAGGATTATATCCTTTAAGGAGATCCTCAGTTAGTGTTCTACAACAATTTAATCAGTATCGGTTCAACATTTTTGGACATATGAGAGAATGAGAGACTATTCTCACATATTGCAACACTGCAGTAAGAAAGTTTGAATATCTCCCCTTCAGCATGCAGGATAGGGATTATATATATACAATATGCTCTTCTTCTGATAGCATTTTACAACTGTGTACATTTTCATCAATATATGTCCATCTGCTTAGAAGATGCACTAACAAGGTACATGTATGACTGACAGAAGGGCAGATGGACAAATAGATAGACAAGTGGATTCATATATATACCCAAAACTTTGGTTAGGGTACTACAATAAAAGACAGAATGGACATAAAATGTTGTTATCAAACTTTGTAGTAGAACCAAGCATTATCAAAGTGTAACATTTAAATGTTCATTTGTTTGTATGTTTTTTATTGTTTGGTTACTGTGTAATTGACATTCCCTTTTTTACTTAGCACCTAATAATCATAGACCGTACCTCTCAACCTGTCTGTTGATCTTATATACAGTTACTTCCCCTTTCCAATTGCCAGAGAAGAAGTGAGCTGTGGATGTAGACTGTAGCAGACAAGTCACAGGTGTTGAACCATTTTCTATTACAGAGGACTTCTCAATTCTAAAATAAAGACAAAATTTATATTTTGTAGATAGACAATAGCATAACAAAAACCTTTTGTTCTTCACCCAATTTCAAGGTAAATTTGGATGATTGAATAGAAGCTATATATTTCTTAATTTTAAAGTATGATTCATTGTAGGGGGTGACCATTAGATATTCTGGGGAGGGGAGGCAGGAGGATATTTCCCCAGATTGATCTATTATTTTTATCTGCTTCTATGCATGCTTATTTTTTTCCTCTCATTTTTATACACATTTGTTTCCTGCATTTTGTGTTGCAGAACATTCAATTTCATCCTGTCTTGTGCATACTTATATATTTTCAGTTCTTACTAGGCCTAGTTATTCATTTTCAAAATTCTCCTTCCCACCCCCAGAAAATCAAATGGTTGTCCCCTTACAACAATTGTAGAGAAATATTGTTTTTTCTTACCAAGATTTTTGTAGTAATTTTTAGTTTGTTAATAATGATTCTTTCTGTAAAGACAGCTAACATTTTCATGAAAAATGAGTACAAATTGTAAATTCATCTACCAACACAATCTGTAACTATCACTACCCATGGAACACCTACATACTAGACAATAGCTCAATACAATAAACTTGGGGTTCCTAGTAGAGTCCCCTGGCAAAAAGAGCTAATTTCTTCAAGCTACAGATGTTGTTTTTATCAATCCAAAGAAATTTCAAAACATTTTGCCTTGTAGTTTCAGATGCAAAGATTTTTTAAATTGGCTAATCAGAATTAAAGACTTTCTCTTGTGTACAGATTTTCATTCCATTTAATGACGCTTTATATTTGTAGAGGATCTTTTAAATATCATTACTACCTTAATTTTAAAATGCCAATGTGGTTTCAGAAGAATTGAAGAGTAAAATGGTCAAAGGACAGACAGAAAAACAATGGACACGAAATGATGACAAAGATTTACATGTGCCTATGTTCCTGATGTCAGAGTTAAACACTTGTAAAACACTTACAAAGGGAAATTACTTAATAACAGACAGAGATAAACAGAGATAAAACTAGAAACCTCCTGGTGATATGGTGTCATCATTAAAGTTACATGATTGTAAAAACATACCTCTTGATTTTCATGCCATCTCTTGTGACAGACCAAGAAACAATTTGTCCATCTTCACCTGCTGTTATAACATGATCGTCAATTTGGAATAAAGCAGCATTAACAGACTTCTTGGAAACCTGTCAGTGACAAATGGAATAACTTATAATTGCTAATGAAAAACATCATTATACATTTTCAGCATACATTAAAACAAGATGACTAAACTTTCTCATAAATCTGTCACAACAAAACTGAGTAAATGTGCGCCATGATGAAATTTGAATTAAAAAAATCAACATCAAAAGAATTGTTTGAATTTTTTTCAGGTTTAACATGCTATATTTGGAAATACATACAACTTTATTCAATAAAGGAAATTTGATTTGTACCTGTTAAAGTAAGTTATGTATACGAATAAAAAGTGATAACAAGAAGATATGTTTACCTGCATAGATCTCTCACAAACAAATACGCCATTGTCTATGCTCCAGAACTTTACAACACCATCCCTTCAACAGAAGAAAACAATATAAAACTGAAAGGAAAACTTCATTAAAATCATATATATTATTGTCTCCTTCATAAAAGAAAAGACTGTCAGTCCAAGCGGCATATATTTTTTGTCCAAGTGTAACTGGTCTTTGTTTTCCACCATAGCCAATGGATTTATATCACGGATCAGACTGAAGTGAGGCAGATCTTTTAAAAAAATTTTCAATAGAACTCACTCAAATTTGGTGGAACTTTCAGTAAAAATTTCAATTCTAGGCTCAGCTGGAACAAGGTTGCATATCACTAAATGTAAAGAAATTCTGGCCAAGCACCAAATATTGTAAATGGTGACATTTTTCTAATAAAAGTTGGACACATTTATTTGGTTAATGAAGTTTCAATTTCACCTTATTGTCAAATTCCATGAAGAGAAAATTATTAAACTAGGAAATGCACCAAAAAATGAATATAAATTATGCTTTTATTATCTAGTTGTGAAATTTATTTCCCAAAACATATGTATTAAATAATTTCTGTTGATATTCACCTATAATGAAATATTTGATCTGATCAACATAATAATTGTCTCAATTAATTTTTTTAAAGCCTACAATATTTATATGGAAGTAAATATATTATTGTCAGGACACAAATTTGGTAACTCATGAGCAAACAGAGGGAGAGTTTTTTCCTCATATACTTTTAAGTTTGTGAAAAAACCCTATCATTGGAGAGGTCAACAATAGTACTAACAATAACTATATGTCATACTGAATTAGCTATTAATTACAGTACCTGAAAATACTTATTTATTGGACAAGACAATTTTACCCTCATGGAGTATGAACCATTTTAAATAACTGGCAGAGCACTGTGTATTAAAGAGCACCCACCAATGGGAGAAAATTAAGTCAAGTATTCCATTGGATTGTAGTCGTGTATAAATCTATCTTTTCTATTTTAATCTATGCTGATCTCATACCTGCTTCCAGTCAGTAATCCTGCTCCATTTTCTATAGAAATGACAAATGTCACTGATCCATTATGTCCTGTATCTGATGCTGTTGTTGACAATTGTGGAGCCCACAGACGGACAGACTTGTCTAGACTGCTTGTACACAATTTTCCCTGTGCGTCAGATGATACACTGAGAACTCTGTCATCGTGTCCTGACATACTGGCAAGCTCATTAGCCTAAAAAACAATAAAATGCTTCGCTGGGCGCAGCTTGATACGACCGCAGAGGTCGAACCCTGAACAGTTGGGGCAAGTATGGACACAACATTCAAGCTTGATACAGCTCTGAATTTGGATTGTGATTAAATATTTGACACAGCATAGGTTTCTGACACAGAAAGAATGTGGTCTAAGAACTTCAATTTTTTTAATTTACCTATTATGGTCCAAAGTCCAAAATCAAAATACATGGTTAGATTCAGCATATCAAAGAACCCCATATATTCAATTTTTGTTGAAATCAATCAAAGTTTAATTTTGGACCCCAACTTGGACAAACTTGAAAACTGGTCCCATAATCAAAAATCTAAACACATGTTTAGATTCAGCATATCAAAGTACCCCAAGAATTCAATTTTTGTTAAAATCAAACTAAGTTTAATTTTGGACCCTTTGGACCTTAATGTAGACCAATTTAAAAAACGGGACCCAAAATTAAAAATCTTAAAACACGGTTAGATTTGACATATCAAAGAACCCCAATAATTCAATTTTTGATGAAATCAAACAAAGTTTAATTTTGGACCCTTTTGACCTCAATATGAACCAATTTGATAGAGGGCCCACAAAATAAAAAATCTAAATACATGGTTAGATTCAGCATATCAAAGAACCCCATATATTCAATTTTTGTTGAAATCAAACAAAGTTTAATTTTGGACCCCAATTTGGACCAACTTGAAAACTGGGCCAAAAATCTAAAATCTAAATACATGTTTAGATTCAGCATATCAAAGAACCCCATATATTCAATTTTTGTTGAAATCAAACAAAGTTTAATTTTGGACCCCACCTTTGACCAACTTGAAAACTGGTCCCATAATCAAAAATCTAAACACATGTTTAGATTCAGCATATCAAAGAACCCCAAAAATTCAATTTTTCTTAAAATCAAACTAAGTTTAATTTTGGACCCTTTGGACCTTAATGTAGACCAATTTAAAAAACGGGACCCAAAATTAAAAATCTAAATACACGGTTAGATTTGGCATATCAAAGAACTCCAATAATGAAATTTTTGATGAAATCAAACAAAGTTTAATTTTGGACCCTTTTGACCTCAATATGAACCAATTTGATAGCGGGCCCACAAATAAAAAATCTAAATACATGGTTAGATTCAGCATATCAAAGAACCCCATATATTCAATTTTTGTTGAAATCAAACAAAGTTTAATTTTGGACCCCAACTTGGACCAACTTGAAAACTGGGCCAAAAATCTAAAATCTAAATACATGTTTAGATTCAGCATATCAAAGAACCCCATATATTCAATTTTTGTTGAAATAAAACAAAGTTTAATTTTGGACCCCAACTTGGACCAACTTGAAAACTGGGCCCATAATCAAAAATCTAAACACATGTTTAGATTCAGCATATCAAAGAACCCCAAGAATTCAATTTTTGTTAAAATTAAACTAAGTTTAATTTTGGACCCTTTGGACCTTAATGTAGACCAATTTAAAAACGGGACCCAAAATTAAAAATCTAAATACACGGTTAGATTTGGCATATCAAAGAACCCCAATAATTCAATTTTTGATGAAATCAAACAAAGTTTAATTTTGGACCCTTTTGACCTCAATATGAACCAATTTGATAGCGGGTCCACAAATAAAAAATCTAAATACATGGTTAGATTCAGCATATCAAAGAACCCCAAGAATTCAATTTTTGATGAAATCAAACAAAGTTTAATTTTGGACCCTTTTGACCTCAATGTGGACAAAGTTGATAACGGGGCCCAAAAATCAAAAATCTAAATACATGGTTAGATTCAGCATATCAAAGAACCCCATATATTCAATTTTTGTTGAAATCAAACAAAGTTAAATTTTGGACCCCGATTTGGACCAACTTGAAAACTGGGCCCATAATCAAAAATCTAAATACATGTTTAGATTCAGCATATCAAAGAACCCTAAAAATTCAATTTTTGTTAAAATCAAACTAAGTTTAATTTTGGACCCTTCTGACCTTAATGTAGACCAATTTGAAAACGGAACCAAAAATTAAGAATCTAAATACACGGTTAGATTCGGCATATCAAAGAACCCCAATAATTCAATTTTTGATGAAATCAAACAAAGTTAAATTTTGGACCCTTTGGACCTCAATGTGGACCAATTTAAAAACGGGGCCCAAAATCCAAAAACTTAATACACGGTTAGATTCAGCATATTAAATACCCAAGAATTCAAGAATAAAACCCCATTGAAATGGATCAAGAAATAAGCAATTTATACGAAGTATCTTCTTTTGCACAATACTGTGCAATTGAATATTTCTTGCTATTGTGCAATACTGTACAATTGACAATTTCTTGCTATTGCACAATATTGTGCTATTGGATATTTCTTGCTATTGCGCAATACTGTGCAATTGAAGATTTCTTGCTATTGCGCAATACTGTGCAATTGAAGATTTCTTGCTATTGTGCAATACTGTGCAATTGAAAATTTCTTGCTATTGCACAATACTTATTATATAATAATTTACACATCCTGTTTGGTGTGTATCTCCTACCATATCATTATTATTTGCTTTTAAATATTAATCAGAAATAACCAACTTAAAATGGAAAATTTTAAAAGAAAAAAAAAAAGGAAAAAAAGAAAAAAAAAGAAAAAAAAAAATCCCCCCCCAAATTTTTTGAACCCCCTTATGATTCATCACCCCCAAACTCAATCCCAGCCTTCCCTTTGTGGTATGGTACCTTGCAGTACAATTTCAGAGAGATCCATACACTTGAACACAAGTTATTGTCTGGAAACTAGAAAAATGCTTATTTTTGGCCCCTTTTTGGCCCCCAATTCCTAAACGTTTCGGGCAATTACCCCCAAACTCAATTCCAGCTTTCCCTTTGTGATATGGAACCTTGTAGTACAATTTCAGAAATATCCAAACACTTACACACAAGTTATTGTCATGAAACTAGAAAAATGCTTGTTTTTTGCCCCTTTTTTGGCCCCTAATTCCTAAAATTTTGAGGCAATTACCCCCAAAATCAATTACAGCCTTCCCTTTGTGATATGGAACCTTGTGGTACAATGTCAGAGAGATCCATACACTTACACACAAGTTATTGTCTGGAAGTTACAAAAATGCTTATTTTTGGCCCCTTTTTGGCCCCTAATTCCTTAACTGTTGGTACCATAACCCCCAAAATCAATCCCAACCTTCCTTTCGTGGTATTGAACCTTATGGTAAAATTTCATGGAGATCCATTCACTTTAACTAAAGTTAGAGTGCGAAAACCAATGTGTCTTCGGACGACGCCAGACGACGACGGCGACGACGACGACGACGACGTCGACGACGACGATGCCAACGTCATACCAATATACGACCAAAAAATTTTCAATTTTTGCGGTCGTATAAAAAGGACAGATGTACAGACAAACAATTACAAGACAATTATAAAAAATAAACCTAAGCTGTGGAAAATACAAACTCATATCAAAACCACGAGAGATAAAAATAGATGATCCACACCTATTTTAGAACTTATCTGAGACATTCCTGATATCAACCTTTGATTCAAATTTCATAAAAATTCTGAAGAATTGTACACATGAGAGTGCTTACAAGACCAGACTAACACACAAATGCACATATGGAAGCCCAGTATTTCTCTGTCCACTTCACAGCCTTGCACTGGGGACAAAAAACACACAAACCTCATCTGATACTCTGAATAAGGTACCACCTTTGCCTACATCTTTAAAATTGACAAAAACACACTAAAAAAAAAATGCACATTATTTTACCTGCAATGGTTGCCAGACCCTGACTGTACCGTCATCTCCACAAGTAGCTACAAGTACATCATCCATCCTCACACCTGGACGTTTGGATTTCTTTGCCTTCTTAGCAGCCTCTGCTGATTCTACCATATCTGCCCAGGATGTGTTTGCATCTTTAAAAAAAAATGGCAAATTGATATTCATTACAACTTCAAGTCATGTAGAGAAATGTGTGCAAGTTTGAAGGATTCTGTTTAACAGTTTTCAATGAGAATTGGATTAAAATGTGACACAAATGCTGAAACAAGACTACTACAGGTGAAATCCCTGAATCACCCCAGCTGGACACTGCCAGGTGACACAATAAAGTGGTTTCAATGAAATTTAGTATTAATTAATTTCAATTGATCTTTATATCTTTATAATAATATTGCCTGCACGTGTGTCATGACAACATCTATATTTATGCCTACATATTTCAGTGCCTTAAAACAATCGATTGTTATGATTGAAAAATGCAGTTTGCAAAGAATTGAAGAAAAAATATTTCTGATAACAAAGTGAATAAATATTTATACCTAAATGAAATTTAAAAGTACTATACTATTCTTTTTATCTTGTTTGTTATTTATAGTACAATACTGTTAACACAGACATTTTTGTAATGTTTTGATAATTGCAAAAAGTGCAACAGGATTAGTTTTCGCAAAAATTAAAACTTGTATTTTAAACTATGGTGGCATTTTTTGTCTTCAGCATTTCCTGAAACCACAATAACCAACCACACACTGTTGCTCATTGTGCAACAATCTCAATAATAAATGAACGCAAAGATTCTTGAATTTTGAAAGAAAGCTTTTTTGAGATCCCTGGACAAACAGTAGTGTTAAAATATTTACCCTCTTCTTCCTCTTCTGTCTCATCTTTGCTTGTTTTGACAATCATATCACATCCATTGACTCTCTGTGTATGTCCATACAGTGTTGTGATCTCTGTACCTTTCTGTGACCAAACTTTGACTGCTCCATCACTACTGCAGGACACTATACAACCATACTATAGAACAAACAAGTTAAACTGAGAGAGATTTCTTATTTATGATACCCAATCTATAAGTTTTCGGTAAACAGGAAGTTTATGAGTAATGGATGTGAAAATATATCAAAAAGTAAATTTTGCTCACATGAAGCTTGATGCCTAAATTTAGGAAGCTCTGATTAATAGTTCTTCAGAAAAATAAAATCAAACAGTAATGGGACAGAGGGAATGGACAGACAGAAACATAGACGGAAGAATGGACAGAAACATGGATGGAAGGAAGGACAAACATAACCAGTTTACCCCCCTCCCCAATTTCCTTAAGAGCTGAAGAATAATTATCTAGCATTTAACAGTGGACTAAAATTTTGGATTATTATTTTTTAAAATAGGCTTATATGTTACTTATTTACAGCATTAACCATACATGTGTTTAAAGCGGTCAATTCTATTTCAATACACCTTATCGCTATTCCCGGCTGACCCGAGAATCTGTCCCGCTTGAACTTTTGACGTCATATAACAATCCCTTTTCCATTGTGGCGTCAGATATTTTGTATTGTGACGTCAAAATTTTATGGGAACCTGTGTGATGTCCAGTAATGGCGGACAAATAGCGATAAGGTGTATACTATCAGTATCAAGCATTATTTAAAATGTAATAAGCCTGGTATCTTTGATGAATTTTTAGGTCTGCTCAAATACCATCTGCTTAATTTAGGTATGCATTTCTATATCAAGCTGTTTCAAATGAACAATAATGATTTCAATACATTTGTACTCAATACTTTTTTTAAATAGCTAATGATAAAATAGAAATCAAAGACCAGTTGTAATATAATTGCTTAATTTGTAATGATTTATGTTATGACAAAAGAATTCTCAATAATTAGGGAATGGTAAAAACAAAATGACTCAAAGGGAAAAATCGCAGTAAATAGTTTGTGTGCATTTTAATAAAGAATTTAATTGTTTTTTCACTCAGGAAAATGGTAAAAATTACAACTTCCATAGGAGAGCAAACTTTCTGTAAAGCTTCAAGGAACTGGGTTGAAAAACTGAAGGAAGAGTTGATTACACAACTGTCTTTTGAATAGTTTGCTAAAAAATAACCAAGTTCAAAAGTCTGAAAATGCATATGTCACTATGCTAAGTATGCCCCCTCTCTTCCTAAAGTATTGGAAAACCAGGAGTAGGTGTCTGACAGATCGGAAAGGGCTCACACCTTACCTCGAGCATTCCTGAAGAGACATTGATTGTTATGTTATTACAACTCACCACTGCTGAGGGGCTGACTAAATATGAAGTCATCTTGTACAGTAGTACTTAAGAAAAGAGTAAAGATAATTTTAAGTTCACTCAACATATTGATTGAGCTCAAAGGAATTCCCTAGATATTTTGATTCCTTATGAAAATTACTTACACTATAGGATATAGCATTAATTCCGGCCATGTGACCTGTTAGTGTTGATTTCTCTGTTCCTGTTGCAGAATCCCAAACCTTTAAGTTGAAATCAACAGAAGAAGTCACCTGAAAAAATAAAAATATTAGTGGTCATTTAGTTGACCTTTATGATTTCAAACACATTTAATTTTAATAGGCATTTCTCTGATTTTTATCTGAATTTTATTTGGTAATTTTCTTTATTCTAATTCTTACAATCAGCATTACATTAAACATAATCATCAAAGAATTATTACCTGAAATAACAATCCAGGCTTAATATTGTTGTTTGCATTTGGACTTATCAACATTTCAGTTGCACCCAAATTGTTTTCTATATACACAATTTTTTTTCTTCATATTAGTGACAATAAACAAACTGGTAAAATAGCAACACATAAATTAACATGTAAGCTATGCAAAACTTTCAAAGTCTCTTGAACCATGAACAAGGGAGCAGGGCCAAAAACTGTCTCTGTGTACTAGAAGCCATAAATTTATACAAAGAGAATTTGAGACCTTACGCAGATCTTCAATCTTTTGGGTTACTATAAAGTCTGTAGTACTTACTATGAAGTCCGCTATATTTGACCACTGACATCCAGTTATCCAGTCTTTATGACAATCACTCAGGACATTCATTAGAAGTGGTTCTGTTTCCCAGGTCACCTGGTAAATTCTTATACTCTGATAGAAAAAGGGATAAATATTATATTACATAAATAATTATAAGATAACAAATTTTTTATTTATATTGATTTTGTCCACTGAACTTTTATAGCTTACTATATTAATGGGTTTTGCTCATATTGGAAGGCTGTATGGTGACCTATAGATGCTTTCGTCCACATCATTTGGTCTCTGGTGGATAGTTGTCTCAATGGCAATCATACCACGTTTCCTTATTTTATATTTAATACAGATGCAGGTGAAAAATTTATAATATAAAAGATATATAAAATATTTATGGATAATACAACTTTATAGCTTTTCAACATCTAACTATGGCAAAATAATCATTAGTAAAGTACATTGATTTACAAAAAAATAGAAATTTAAGAAATATGTTTTTTTCAATCACACGTCAATTTTCGCTATCTAGATGTTAGCTTGTGTATAGTTATACAGACACTTTTAAAAGTAGTATTCTACGAAAAATAGACACATTTATATGCAAATTTTCCTCAGATTGTTAAGTGCATGTAATCATTAATTATCTTTTTTTCAAATTTTAAACATGACACAAAAGGATGCTGGTTGTTATTCATGTTTAGTTTTTTTTAAATTCTGCTGCAAAATCAGTCACAGATAAGTGGAAAGTTGGCACTGAATATAGACCTATTGACCCCAAAAATTGTTAAGCTTCTTCCACTTCACCATGTCTTCAATTTGTATAAAGTTTCACTCCTATTCATGCAAAGCAACTCAAGTTACTATCTGGCAACTATTTGTTTTGGAAACTCAGCCGATATTTTTATTTATCCTTTCTGAAAATATGTTGCAAGGCAGATAATAACTCTATACATTAATTGTAAAATGTCTATGAAACTTTAAAAAAAAGTCCAAGTAACTTGCTAAAGCTTCAAGAAACAAATTATATCACAGTTTCAGTAAAACTTACTGCATCCCTGCTTGCTGTTGCCAATAAGGAGCCTTCATGGTTAAATGTACAGCTGGTTACTGGTCCTACATGGCCTGTTAAAGTTGAAAAAACTTTGAGCTTTGATCTGCAAAAATAAATAAATAAACATAATAAAGTAAACAGTACACTTGTCACAAAAAAGCATTTAATTATTCAAAGTATCAAGAATTCAAGCATATGCATGTAAGGTCTTTTTCCTGAAAATGAAAGTGAGAGATTAGGAAGAGACGTTAACAATTCCTCTACAACCAACACTTTCTTCCATATATCAAATGGACATGTTTTTATAAGAATGGCAAAGTGAGCCTGTGTTAGGGAAAACAATTACCTAAACCTTGAAAATCATGGCAAAATCTGTATAAATGATATTCAAGATACATATTTATGAAAATAAAGGACACATCCAGAAAATAGGACTGAAAATAACATTTTTTGCTTAAAAAATGGCAGTAATTTTTTAATTGACAGAACACTGTTTAGACCCCCACCCCCCTTTCCAATTTTTTTGTTGAATGCTTACTTCTTTGATAAATCCTTTTCCTTTGGTGCTGGAAACAATGTACAAGTAAAATCTTCAGATCCTACAGCCATCAACTTTTTGGTAAGTGCTACACATAATACAGGTTTGGTGAAGTTTGTCAGTGTCATACCTCCTAAAGATTCTTTTGTACTTGTAATCTGAAATATTATAACTATTTGATTATACCAGTCAAACTTCTTCTAGCAAATGGAAAATGTAAAAAAGTTTATGAAAGGTTATGTGATTGATTGCTGGTTATTAAAACCAATTTCAGCACTCTTGGCTACATTGTGGGTAGCTAGGTTTTTTTGGTGGAGGAAGCCAGAGTAACTGGAGAGAACCATAGACCTTCGACAGGGAAACTGGCAATCCCAGTCAATTAAGATCAGTCAAAAGCACCTTACAACAAGTGGGTTCTAACTCACCCCCTTATCATTTATCTCAATGACTGTTCATCACTATTAAAGGTCTAGTTGCAAATATTTCATGCATATTCAAGATGAAATTTGTCTACAACCATCTTAAATTCTGGAAAAATATGGACTTGACCTATAGTTGCTAACTTCAACATCATTTGGTCTCTGGTGGAGAGTTGTCTCATTGGCAATGATAACAAATCTTTTTTTTATATTTAATTTCCTACCATGATTTGTCAATCCCAGCTACCATTATAGTTAAAATAAGGAAATGTTATAACTACTGTTGTTCTGAGCAAAATGTTACTGTTATATACAGTGTGTTTTCCAAGGATATGTGTTTAACTGACATAAAATTAACTACTGATTGTAGCATCTCCTAACAATATGTGTTTAATTGACATAGAATTATCAACTGATTGTGGCATCTCCTAACAATATACAATTATTGCCCGTAGAAAAGGTGAATATCCAAAATTGTCAACATGAAAAGGTTATTTCACTGAGGGCACAGCCTGAAGTGAAATAATTTTTTAGGGTTGACAATTTTGGATATTCATCGCTTCTAAAGGGCCACAATTGTTTTATTATACTGAACTAACAGTGGAAGGGCCTTTTGAACCATTGAAAAAGCACTTACCTTACTGTATCGTAACAAACACAAGTTAACGTTCAAAAATAAATTTGTGTCTTAGTATTTCTTGTATGTACAACAAAGGTAGAATCTTTTTGTAAAATATTGATGGCCCTGAAAAGGACCGTTTATAAGAGATATCCTCAGCACTAGATGCATTTCCAAAGCCTTGTTTCCTCGTCACTCAATAGGCTTCCTGTAACGTGAACGTTGCCATTTTCTTTACTTGTGTCTGTGACATCATTTTCATGGAAGATAACTCGTGTACAAATCAAGAAACTCAAAAGGTTATTCACCGGTGAATAATAGGGTTATTCACCACTGGTGTAAATTTTTAGGGTTATTCGTCCTTCCTTGCAATTAAATGAAAATTAACTGAATTATTCCATGTCACTTGATAACGTGTTACCCAATAGAATTGTTTATGATATATGTAAGGTATAATAATATGTGTTTAACTGACATAGAATAATCAACTGATTGTGGAATCTCACTCCATCACAATATTACTATTTTGGAACAATTTATACTTACAGTCATTGTATTATCATCTGATCCTGCCACTACCATACCATCTCCAACATATTTGATACACCTAACTGAAGCTGTATGGAGTTTTTCGTCAAAAATTTCCCATCCTACAATCAATATAGACCAATAACAAAATAGTGACTATTTTTTCAACTTAATAATAGTAAAATTTCTCATGCCTTTCAATTTTACTGACAAATGATTTAAGTCCACATGAAGGATCAAGATAGTCTAAGATGGATATGGTATATTATCAAACCTCGTCATTTAAGAATATTTCTGATTGGTCAAATATCTATCACATGATGATGACATTTGTAAGATTTCCTTTGACATCCTATATATTCACCAACCAAGGGTGACAATAGTTATATTTACTTCATAACAACCCTGAATTTCCTCCACCAGGTGAGTACAGAAAATAGTCTGAATTTGATTGATGCATTGTTGTTTGATTTGCTGTGGCTTTATATCAGCATATATGTTGCAGAGGACTGATAGTGGACACATTCTCTGTTGCTTCTCTAACCATTAAAATAAAGAGTTCAATTTTACCTGTCATTACGTCAAAAGCTCTAATATTTCCACTGTGGTATCCAACAAATACAACATCACAATCTGGGTGAAGTGCTACTGACATGGCTGCACCATGTTCCTCCATACCAATACATTGTACTGGTTTCCCAAGGTTACCAGACCATACCTTTATATTCAAAAATATCATATATTATAGATTTTTTTCCTGAGGGTTTTTCCAGGAAAAAGATGTATGGAGGGATTAGACAAAACTTTTTTTATAACACACCACCCATAACCATTAATTTTAATTTTCATTTGTTACATAAATGTATTTGCTTCCACCCCTTACCAACGGAAAAAAATATCATAAGGCGTTCAACTCTCCTCACATTTTTTCCTGCAAAAGCCCTGAGTGAATTCTAGAGGATGTATCTAAAGATGTGCCAGCCTCACCAACAACATAGATTTCTGAATTATGTCTACTGTAGATTCATAATCATTAGTAGACTACTACTTCTTATGGTTTTTTTATGCATAGATGAGCCACAAAATATTAAGTGCAAGCATTGAACCAAAATACCCAAATTCATAAAGGCTTGTTTGCAGAATATGTCACAACAACTAATTCAAGTAATAGGAAAGTACAAATTTTCCTCAATCCACATTATAAAAATAAAATGCTGACTGAAAAAGGTCAGACAGAGAAACATCAAAGTTGAAGCTTACATATTGGGACTTCAATTAAATTCAAAAATAAATTTCTGTAAAGACTTTATACATTTCAAAATTGCTAGAAAAAGCATTATGTCGACCTCATAATATTACGTCTAGGAAAACAAGTGTTGATGGGTTGCTGTCTCATTGACCTTTATCTCTCATTTCCATTTATTCATATAAACTACTAAACACAAATCATTACCTTGACTTTATGATCATCACTAACTGTAATCAATTCTTTACCAGATGGAGAGAACGTCAGTTTGTTGATAGGTAATGAGTGACCCTGGATATTTCCAACCTGAAGGAAGTAAAACAATACTTTATTAAGAGGGTACATAACATTTTAGGAGGCTATGAAATAGCATGGTGAAATTAAAGCATCTTTTTTATACAGATTAAAAGTTTCATAGGAGACAACATCTCCTGATTTTGGCTTTTTTGTTGTTTTTGTGGAATCCACTGGCTTCAATCCTAATTAAATATTGGCTGTTTGTTGCTTCCTTAATGTCCAGTAGCAAATATTTCATGCATAATCAGGACTAGAAATTAACTACATATTGAGATTGTTCAGTTAAATAGTCATCTATCTCAAGAAAATAAACGATGGACACCATGCCTTGCTGACACTTTCTGCAATTTTGAGATATTTTGAAATATATTTGATTTAAGATCAATTTGAGCTTCCAAATTGCTTCAATTCCTTTCATCTATACTTTGACATGAATGTAAACTATTGTTTACCTGGGTTCCATTGAAGGCTGACCAGAGTTTAACATCACCATCTAAAGAGGCCGAGGCAATGTGACGTCCTGATGGAGAATAGGCTACATCCCTGACTGATGTCTTGTGTCCACGTAACACCTGAAAGAAGAAAATTTATATGACTAGTAACTAGTATCTAAATTTTAATTTCAAACAAGTGCAGACTTGTTATAATTCTACAAGAAATTTTAATTATTCTACCAAAAAGTTCATAAAATGTACTATTTTCATGTGATCATTCAAAAGTTTATTCTAATTACGTCACAAACTATTCAATAATTCAATGGATTTGAGTAATCATTAGTAATTGTCTTAATAATAATTGGATTGAGTCTAAATATATGATTATAGGTCAGTGTTATATACAAATTAGAGTTGACAGTATGTAACCTTCTTAACCTTGATTGAAATAGCACCATTTTCAAATGAATGACCTCTTCCTTGTAATCAGTCCAGCTTTTTAAAAGGCATAAATACATCTTTACTGTTTCCTAATGAAAATGTTCAAGGAAGTTGCCATTTAGCCCTTGCAACTTTTCTGTATATTAAGCATTGGCAGACTCAGGAGGTTGTAGAAGGTGAACCACTTTGACTGGAAAAAAATTTGTGGCATAAAATCATCAAAACATTTTTTAATCACTACGCTCACCTGTTTTTCTACCATTATGCACAATTATGCCCCCTATCCTCAAAATCCTGGATAGGCACTGTTAAGGGGTAGTCTGAATATAAATTCATGCATTTGAGGAGAAAAATGGGAGAAAATGCACATTTTGCAGACCCGATACCATATTTAAATATAATTTGACTGTTGCATCATCCTCTGAAAAACAATAACCAAAAATTCGTAAGGGTTCCGCGGAACCCAGTGTCTCGCCTACTTTTTCTGTTAATCGCAGGCTCAACAAAAACGAGGAAGTAAATCAATAAAAATATTCCTCTTGATACTATCTTTTGATTGTAGGAAGCTTCTGCCCAAGTTTGGTAAAAATCCAGGATAGTTTATGAATCTAATAAATGTTTAAAAACTTTAACTGTAGACTGAATGTAATGTTAACTGGAAAAAAACAAAATTTCCTTCTAGATACTAGCATTTGATCATAAACAAGCTTCTGTCCAAGTTTGGTACAAATCCAAAATAGTATAAGAAAGTTATTAAAATTTTAAAAACTTTAACCACAGAGTGAATATGTTGTTTCCTGGCAGAAAATCTAAGTCCATTTAAAAGTAAAATACGAAAAAAATGGATTTATTTTTTTACAAAATTTCCTTCTAGATACTAGCTTTTGATCATAAACAAGCTTCTGTCCAAGTTTGGTACAAATCCAAAATAGTATAAGAAAGTTATCAAAATTTTAAAAACTTTTAACCACAGAGTGAATGTGTTGTTTCCAAGCAGAAAATCTAAGTCCATTTAAAAGTAAAATAAGGAAAAAATGGATTTATTTTTTTACAAAATTTACTTCTAGATACTATCTTATGATCATAAACAAGCTTCTGTCCAAGTTTGGTACAAACCCAGGATAGTTTAAGAAAGTTATTAAAATTTTAAAAACTGTAACCACAGAGTGAATGTAATATTTCCCGGCAGAAAAACTAAGTCCATTTATAAGTAAAATACGGAAAAAATGGAATTTTATTTTTACAAAATTTACTTCTGGATACTATCTTATGATCATAAACAAGCTTCTGTCCAAGTTTGGTAGAAATCCAGGATAGTATAAGAAAGTTATTAAAATTTCAAAAACTTTAACCACAGAGTGAATATTTGTGGAAGCCGCCGACGACAACGACGCCGACGGAATGTAGGATCGCTATGCCTTGCTTTTTCGACTAAAGTCGAAGGCTCGACATAAATGGCATTATATTACCTTAGGGATCCCAACCCATATAGGGCTATATTAAACTAACCCTCACCCATACCATACCTGTAACCAACACTGACCCTTAACCTAACTCTAACCTAGAACAAACCCTAACCTTACCTTAACCATAAATGAACCCTAAACCAAGGCTTCCAAAACGGTCATATATTCCGGACATTTGTATAATGTTCGGTAAAAGTCCGGCTGGGCAAAGCATGAAACAGACATCTACTTTTTAGTTTTCAAGGCTTAAGAGACGGTCATTTTAACATAATTCGCGATCTTTTTGACCCAACCTTTTGCCTTTAACAGCCACACATTTCCGGTCATAAAAGTGACATGATCATTAAGTACTATCAATACAAACCCTACTTTAATACCTTCTCATTTTAATCAAGGCTAATTAGTTGTCCAACAGCTGAAATTTACCTGTTCAGGTGACAGGTAAACTATTTTTAACCGGACATTGATCGGTCTATTCAAAGTTATTTTCTTACATTTCAGCGGTTTGCATCTAATTAATTTAGTCAAAAAGATTTAAATTATCAGAAATACGTTTACAAATATGATTTGATGAAAAAATTAAAAAGGTGAAAATGAAAAATCGTCATAACCACGTTGTTTGAACCAGAGACATGAAATTTAATTATGCATCCTAATTCCTTAAAAAAATGCTTAAATTGTCATTGATACCTTTATCTCACGTTTATTTCGAATATTTTCTTGAAGAAATAACGTAGAAAGAGCTACTTACACTCATTCATGCTTTGTAAACGTACACGGAATTTACGTATCAGTCTCTGGTCCATGTTTTACCATTGTCAAGATAACACCCGGTTTAGATTTAATAAAATGCTTCGCTGGGCGCAGCTTGATACGACCGCAGAGGTCGAACCCTGAACAGTTGGGGCAAGTATGGACACAACATTCAAGCTTGATACAGCTCTGAATTTGGATTGTGATTAAATATTTGACACAGCATAGGTTTCTGACACAGAAAGAATGTGGTCTAAGAACTTCAATTTTTTTAATTTACCTATTATGGTCCAATGTCCAAAATCAAAATACATGGTTAGATTCAGCATATCAAAGAACCCCATATATTCAATTTTTGTTGAAATCAAACAAAGTTTAATTTTGGACCCCAACTTGGACAAACTTGAAAACTGGTCCCATAATCAAAAATCTAAACACATGTTTAGATTCAGCATATCAAAGTACCCGAAGAATTCAATTTTTGTTAAAATCAAACTAAGTTTAATTTTGGACCCTTTGGACCTTAATGTAGACAAATTTAAAAAACGGGACCCTAAATTAAAAATCTAAAAACACAGTTAGATTTGGCATATCAAAGAACCCCAATAATTCAATTTTTGATGAAATCAAACAAAGTTTAATTTTGGACCCTTTTGACCTCAATATGAACCAATTTGATAGCGGGCCCACAAATAAAAAATCTAAATACATGGTAAGATTCAGCATATCAAAGAACCCCATATATTCAATTTTTGTTGAAATCAAACGAAGTTTAATTTTGGACCCCAATTTGGACCAACTTGAAAACTGGGCCAAAAATCTAAAATCTAAATACATGTTTAGATTCAGCATATCAAAGAACCCCATATATTCAATTTTTGTTGAAATCAAACAAAGTTTAATTTTGGACCCTTTGGACCTCAATGTGGACCAATTTAAAAACGGGGCCCAAAATCCAAAAACTTAATACACGGTTAGATTCAGCATATTAAAGAACCCCAAGAATTCAAGAATAAAACCCCATTGAAATTGATCAAGAAATAAGCAATTTATACGAAGTATCTTCTTTTGCACAATACTGTGCAATTGAATATTTCTTGCTATTGCGCAATACTGTACAATTGACAATTTCTTGCTATTGCGCAATATTGTGCTATTGGATATTTCTTGCTATTGCGCAATACTGTTAAATTGAAGATTTCTTGCTATTGCGCAATACTGTGCAATTGAAGATTTCTTGCTATTGTGCAATACTGTGCAATTGAAAATTTCTTGCTATTGCACAATACTTATTATATAATAATTTACACATCCTGTTTGGTGTGTATCTCCTACCATATCATTATTATTTGCTTTTAAATATAAATCAGAAATAACCAACTTTAAATGGAAAATTTTAAAAGAAAAAAAAAAGGAAAAAAAGAAAAAAAAAAAAAAAAAAAATCCCCCCCCCCAATTTTTTGAACCCCCTTATGATTCATCACCCCCAAACTCAATCCCAGCCTTCCCTTTGTGGTATGGTACCTTGCAGTACAATTTCAGAGAGATCCATACACTTGAACACAAGTTATTGTCTGGAAACTAGAAAAATGCTTATTTTTGGCCCCTTTTTGGCCCCCAATTCCTAAACGTTTCGGGCAATTACCCCCAAACTCAATTCCAGCTTTCCCTTTGTGATATGGAACCTTGTAGTACAATTTCAGAAATATCCAAACACTTACACACAAGTTATTGTCATGAAACTAGAAAAATGCTTGTTTTTTGCCCCTTTTTTGGCCCCTAATTCCTAAAATTTTGAAGCAATTACCCCCAAAATCAATTACAGCCTTCCCTTTGTGATATGGAACCTTGTGGTACATGTCAGAGAGATCCATACACTTACACACAAGTTATTGTCTGAAAGTTACAAAAATGCTTATTTTTGGCCCCTTTTTGGCCCCTAATTCCTTAACTGTTGGTACCATAACCCCCAAAATCAATCCCAACCTTCCTTTTGTGGTATTGAACCTTATGGTGAAATTTCATGGAGATCCATTCACTTAAACTAAAGTTAGAGTGCGAAAACCAATGTGTCTTCGGACGACGCCGGACGACGCCGGACGACGACGACGACGACGACGACGACGACGCCAACGTCATACCAATATACGACCAAAAAATTTTTAATTTTTGCGGTCGTATAAAAACGAAAGTAAAGTTTTTGACAACGTTATTTTGCACAAATAAAGAGTCTAAGCAGATATAAGTACGCTGATGTTGCACACTTCAAATGATGCACTGCCAATTTAACAGTTTATGTCAGAACTTCGAATTTGAATCAAAGAAAGTTTAATATCGGTTTTTTTTTAATGTCAATCATTCGGATGGCCAACTCGGCAACTGATTACCATAATTGCCTTTTATTTATTTAGTCTTAAGGGATTAAAATCAGGATAATATATAAAATGTCCGGCTGGCTAAAAATAATTTTGGAAGCCCTGCCCTAAACCTTAAATTAAGGGACCCCTAATGTAAAAGAAGTCTTCAAAATTATCTAAAATACCCCCACAATGTTTTAATTATGTTTCCATTCCCTTGAATATCTGGTTTATGTTTTTACAAGATTCCTATAAACATGGAAATACATCCTTAAATATCCAATGCAATACATACAGCTTTTCTTTTTCTGTGGAATATATCCCAGATCTTCAGTGTTGCATCCCAGCTTCCCGTAACGATCAGCTGACCTTCTGGGTGGAAGTCAACACAGTTCACTTGGCTGAAATTGACACAGGAATCAATATAAATTGTACATGGTAACAGCTTTACATTTGATTTCTGTAGAAATTTAACTTTGAAATTTTATACTGTTAAACTTATTTTTGTGGATACTGTAAATTCAGAAATTATTGCGTGCATTTATTATTGCGATTTTGTCATTTTAGACTAAAATACGATTTTAATTTTTGCGATATTGAGAAAAATCCTGTTTAATTCACAAAAAAAATTTCAAAATGCGAGTTTAAATTATTGCGATTATAACCCTATCGCATTTTTCGCAATAATAAAGACATCGTAATAATTTCTGAATTTACAGTACTTTTTTCTTGTTTTACCCTTTCTATCTTAATTTGCACAAATATCACAATGTTTTTGTACATCTCTATATACCCATAAACAATCATAAATCCATATCAAATATTTGTGAAGGGTACAAGATTTTAATTTTTCTTACCTTCCAACCAATAATTCACAAGATTTGTCCCCTTTAACAGCATTCCATACTTTCACAGTACAATCCCATGAAGCTGATGCAATGAATTTTCCAGCCTTGTCTGAGGCAACTGACTGTACTCTTCTATTGTGCTGACTCAAAACATGTATCCTACAAAAAAAACACACTTTCTTAAAGTCTAAATTTAACAATATTTTTCCTTTTTAATCACCATAATTTTACATAAATCTGAAAGATATCGCAAAAATGTTTTCACCTTTGCAAGGGTAAAGACATCTGTGTCATCTGCTTTTAGAAAATAATCAATCATTTTTAAAAATGAAATATGTTAATGTATCAAGGTCATAATTGATCCTAAGATCATTTAAATTACCTGGTTGGATATACTATGCAAAGCAAACATTACGACTTGAACAACTATCTAAACATTTTGGATCTATTCATCTAGTAAATGGAGGATGATATACATAGTAAAATGGACAAATTCAGAAATGATGTTGCATTATGGGAATCTCATTACTTTAGTCCTGATAGGGTCAGGGATAATTTTTGAGACTGTGAAATGTAATTAATTAACATGTAATTGATTTTCTTAATTAGTAAATTTAAGATTGTGGTCTAATGGACAAGGTTCTCTTTAAGGTAGCACTACAGTCAGAATTTTCTGACTCCAACCAACAGTCTTTAAAGATTAATTTCTCCAAAACTACTCAATGGATTTTTAAAATCTTTAATTCATTTTAAAGCTGAAATATAACTCTTTCTTAATCTATAGATAAATTTATTTTTGGTATGATTAATCTCAAAATATAGCTCCTTAATTGCCAATAAAGTGGTCTTCCAACTTGGATGAAAATGGCACATTCAGGTCAAATGGTAGTAAAAATTTGTTTTCATCCCTTTAATCAACCATTCACAATCTACAAAACCGTGTATCAGATTTTTGATATATGCCTCCAGTAATAAGATATATTATTTTTACTGCTGGATGCCAAACCTCATTTCACCTTTCATCTTTGGAGACCTATAAATTCATTTAGAAACAAATTATCCAAAAACTGGGACACGGTATTGTAGAAAATACTCCCTTCAATCACATATATCAAAGTCAAGACAAAGGGGGTACCCATAACGTTTCTATTTTCATTTTTTCCTTACAATTCTCATGAAAAATTATTCTGAGAAATGACCTTAAAACTGAATTTCCTCTTAAGAACCCCTATAAATGCCACATAAATACAAAAATTCCACTGGGAACACCCCAGGAGGGTTTTGACACCATTACTTTATCAATAGAACCACTAAACATTGTGTCTTTGATGCTCTAATGCTGTAAAATTTGCATTTTGTGTGCACTGTGTAACACTAACTTGGCATTTGGCGGGAGTTTGACGTCACAGATTTGACCAACATCTGTGATGTAGTAATTAAATAAAGACAAAGCTCCGCCTCTGAAAAGACAGTCTAAGATAAGAGAATAACAGGATTGGCCAGCTGCATCATAATTAATATTTAACATCATTATTCTCACTATAAAGAATACTTTTCATTTGAATTTTAAAAAGAAATATAATATGACCATGATGACTGAAATTAGCTAAAATATTAAAATTAAAATACATGTCCATAAAAAGATCAAGACCATCCCCTTCTTGAAAATAGACTGTCCAACATGATTTATGAGTTTCATGGAATGAAAAAATTTCACATAAACTTAAAATTAGTTAAAATGCCTAAAATTATTTTTAAATGTAGAAGACCAAAGACGAGAAATTTATACAGGCAGTCAGAGGCTTTCAAAGATACTTTCACACTCTTTTCCATAGTTTTTTTTTCATTTTGGTAGATTTTTTCCCTTTAAATTTTTTCCTATTCATATCTTTTTCTTTTTCTCTGTTCTAAACTTCCATGTTTTATAAATTAGTTTTGTTGCAATGCAATGAGATATTTATCTTGTGGTCAGGGATTAACAGCTGGACACTGGTATCAACAGATGATTGACATATTAGCCCCTCCCAAATGCCTATATATTTAGATCAATTACATGTGCTTTTATTTACATAAGTTCATTATCAATTTACTCCCTGTTGTGATATGATAATGACTTTGGGATTTTTACAAACTGTGCAGAATAATACTTACTTCAAAATTATGTGATAAAAAAAATATCTTCAAAAAATCATTGTTAGACTGTAGTGCTACCTTAAGCCAAATATGGCCTTGAATTTCAAGTTTATCATAAAATTTCAAAATGGCCAATATTTGGTTATTAAATGGATCTATTTCAAAAGCCTTACTACTAGGTTAAACAAGTCTCTTCATAAGGCTGCATTCCAGGTTTCAAAGTCAGTACATTTTGGATATATTGTCCAAAAACGATGATTGTGTGAATATTTCAACCCTAAAAGATTGAAGAAACCCTTCGCCCCAACCTAGGATCCAAAATGTCAAGTAGCCAAAAGTTGCCAATGATGATATTGAATACCGACACAAAAGGATCAGGGGTGGCAGCCAAAGTTATTTATGTTAAAAACTGTTAAGAAAAATTTGACCGAAACTGACGTTACAACATAAATAATGCATACTTGAGGGGCCATTTCTTCGTCGTTTTAAATGAGAAGTGCCAAAAAGAAGTTTTTTGTATTAATAGTTATATCACAACTATTTCTATGTGAAATTTGTAGTATTTTGGCCTGATTAAAAACACATCAAAATCTTAGGGCCAAATTTAAGCCTTCATGAACTTACTCCTTTGAAGTCCAAAAGATATTGGAAACTTAATTGTTCTTGAATAAGTCTACAAATTATCAAAACTATCTATAAAAATCAAAAGGATATTTGAAAGTACCTGTGACCTTGATCTATATGCCAAACACTGACAGCATTGTCTAATCCAGCACTACATAACATGGACTGTCCAACAAAACACACACTGGTGATAGCATTAGCATGACCTCTAAATGTATGGAGCTCCTAAAAACAATAAAGTAAGTAGTATGTCTTCTAAAGGTTGAAATTAATAGATACATGTTCTATTAAACGTATGCATTGCCTAGAAAAATAAGCATATAAATGTATGGAGAGATTGGAAAACAACAAAAAAATCCCCCAAAACAAATAAATCAAATTAAAATAATATGATGTCCTAAACAGATGACAAATGTTTTAAACAGTATGAATTGCGGCACATTATGGGGAAAGCAATTTAGATTTTGCATTATGGCTAACCTGATCATATACAAAGTAACTGCGGCTTTATTTTGCAAACAGAATATTATCTTGAAAGTCGTAAATTTAAGAGTATTGCATTTTAAATAGAACAAGCATTCTGAGAGTATTGCATGGCAATACATAGTCCCCTTCCGGTTAAAAATCCATTGTACTTGGACAAAATTTTAACTTGATCTATAACTTGTCATGGTGTAAACTTTATAACAAATATCAAATCAATATCTTCAACATGTTCAAGCATAACAAAAAAAAGTGTGGAAAACAGATTATTTGAGTGAATTTTCTAAGTTCAAGGACCATAACTCTGCCAAACAAAATCATCCGAACTGAACCAAATTTGAACTTGATCTGTAACTTGTCATGGTAAAACTATATACCAAATATCAAATCAATATCTTCAAGCATGTTGAAAAAAAATGCGGAAAACTGTTTACTTTCTTGAATTTTTTTAAGTCCAAGGACCATAACTCTGCTCGAAATCATCAGACCGCAACAATATTTGAACTTGATCTGTAACTAGTCATGATAAAACTATATACCAAAAATCAAATTAATACCTTTAAGCATGACAAAAAAAGTGCAGAAAACTGATAACTTGCGTGAATTTTTTAAGTCCAAGGACCATAACTCAGCATAAAATCATCAGACCAGAACAAAATTCGACCTTGATCTGTAACTAGTCATGATAAAACTATATACCAAATATCAAATCAATATCTTTAAGCATGACAAAAAAAAGTGTGGAAAACTTTTACTTGCGTGAATTTCCTAAGTCCAAGGACCATAACTCTGCACAAAATCATCAGACCGGAACAAAATTTGAACTTGATCTGTAACTAGTCATGATAAAACTATATACCAAATATCAAATCAATATCTTCAAGCATGAAGAAAAAAAGTGTGGAAAACTGATTTGCCGGACTGACTGATGGACAGACAGACAGACACTCGGACAGAGTGCAAACCATAAGTCCTTTTCAACTTCGTGGGTAGGGGACTAATAAAATACATTCTTTCTTGAGCTTATACTTACCAAAACTTATCAGTGGATACATTTTGGACCCTTAACTTATCCGTCACTTTGACCTGTCGTAAGATTTTTCCAGGATTCTGGCCAAAAAAAAATCAACCCTTCCACCTATCCACCTCATAGATTTACAGTCCAGAAAATTTGGTAGTTTTCTAGACACAGGACTAGTTTGAGCTTGGCATATTGTAGAGAGACTTACATATTGTTGAAGACCATATGTTATCAATAAAGATGTCTTCTGGTTTTTTATTGGGTGTTTTTTGTTATTTCCTCACTGATGTATACCTCACAGCACCTTTTATTCATTTTAACAGAACCTTATTTACCTTTCCTGTATTGAAATCATACAGTCTGACCATACAGTCCATTCCACCACAGGCAAAGTATCTGCTATCTTTGGATACAGCTACACAAGTCACTGGCTATTAAAAAAAATAATATACAAATAAAAAATAAAATGCTCCGCAGGGCGCAGCTTGATACGACCGCAGGGGTCGAACCCTGAACAGTTGGGGCAAGTATGGACACAACATTCAAGCTTGATACAGCTCTGAATTTGGATTGTGATTAAATATTTGACACAGCATAGGTTTCTGACACAGAATGAATGTGGTCTAAGAACTTAAAAATTTTAAATTGGACATTCACCTATTATGGTCCAATATCCAAAATCTAAATACATGGTTAGATTCAGCATATCAAAGAACCCCAAGAATTCAATTTTTGATGAAATCAAACAAAGTTTAATTTTGGACCCTTTTGACCTCAATGTGGACAAAAATGATAACGGGGCCCAAAAATCAAAAATCTAAATACATGGTTAGATTCAGCATATCAAATAACCCCATATATTCAATTTTTGTTGAAATCAAACAAAGTTTAATTTTGGACCCCGATTTGGACCAACTTGAAAACTGGGCCCATAATCAAAAATCTAAATACATGTTTAGATTCAGCATATCAAAGAACCCTAAGAATTCAATTTTTGATGAAATCAAACTTAGTTTAATTTTGGACCCTTTGGACCTCAATGTGGACCAATTTAAAAATGGGGCCCAAAATCCAAAAACTTAATACACGGTTAGATTCAGCATATTAAAGAACCCCAAGAATTCAAGAATAAAACCCCATTGAAATTGGTCAAGAAATAAGCAATTTATACGAAGTATCTTCTTTTGCGCAATACTGCACAATTGACAATTTCTTGCTATTGCGCAATATTGTGCTATTGGATATTTCTTGCTATTGCGCAATACTGTGCAATTAAAGATTTCTTGCTATTGCGCAATACTGTGCAATTGAAGATTTCTTGCTATTGTGCAATACTGTGCAATTGAAAATTTCTTGCTATTGCACAATACTTATTATATAATAATTTACACATCCTGTTTGGTGTGTATCTCCTACCATATCATTGTTATTTGCTTTTAAATATAAATCAGAAATAACCAACTTAAAATGGAAAATTTTAAAAGAAAAAAAAAAGGAAAAAAAAAAAATCCCCCCCCCCCCAATTTTTTGAACCCCCTTATGATTCATCACCCCCAAACTCAATCCCAGCCTTCCCTTTGTGGTATGGTACCTTGCAGTACAATTTCAGAGAGATCCATACACTTGAACACAAGTTATTGTCTGGAAACTAGAAAAATGCTTATTTTTGGCCCCTTTTTGGCCCCTTATTCCTAAACGTTTCGGGCAATTACCCCCAAACTCAAACCCAGCTTTCCCTTTGTGATATGGAACCTTGTAGTACAATTTCAGAAAGATGGATACACTTTCACACAAGTTATTGTCATGAAACTAGAAAAATGCTTGTTTTTTGCCCCTTTTTTGGCCCCTAATTCCTAATATTTTGAGGCAATTACCCCCAAAATCAATCCCAGCATTCCCTTTGTGATATGGAACCTTGTGGTACAATGTCAGAGAGATCCATACACTAACACACAAGTTTTGTCTGGAAGTTACAAAAATGCTTATTTTTGGCCCCTTTTTGGCCCCTAATTCCTTAACTGTTAGTACCATAACCCCCAAAATCAATCCCAACCTTCTTTTTGTGGTATTGAACCTTATGGTAAAATTTCATAGAGATCCATTCACTTAAACTAAAGTTAGAGTGCGAAAACCAATGTGTCTTCGGATGACGCAGGACGAAGACAACAACGACGACGATGACGCCAACGTCATACCAATATACGACCGCAAAAATTTTTGCGGTCATATAAAAACTCTGAGGAGAGATCACAAATTCATATAATTGATAATCACCTGTACAGGACTTCAATTTCCTTTGACAATTAACTAAACAATTTAAATGTCACTGATAGACCCTAATGACTGAGTACACAAATTATCAAATGATTACTCAAAACATGCTTGACGCAAAATTTCAGGAAGCTCTGATTTGCAGCTCTTGCGAAAAATGTGATAATAAATACACGTGTTAGACCTTGCATTTAATTCTACTTAAAAGTAACTTTTGAGTTTTATCTAATGTTTAATAATCTTATATTAACTTCCTAGACAAAAAATATATGGACAGACACATAGACCGAAAATATAATGCCCCTAGGTGGGGCATAAAAAGGTCAATAGCCCAGTTTAACATTACCTGAGGCAGATTACTGATGGTCATATAACATGGATCAGTTGTGTTTGGTTTGTTATTCCATGACATGTATCCTTGACTCTTAGTCACCTCTCCACTATCAATAGCATCCTTGTGAACTCTAGATGCGTCAGGCTCATTGATAGCTTGCTGCCAAGTCAATGCAGGATATCTGAAATAAAGTAACAAGCATTAAATTATATAAAAATATCTTATTCAAAATTAAGACCTACTACAAATAATGAATTAAATTCACTAAAATCTTTACATGAGTGTGGATATTAAAATCAAGTACTCAATCCACATCGCATCTGATGGCATTAGTAAGGTTTCGTTTCAAATCGGTCATTCGTTCTTGAGAAACAGATTTTTTAAAGGTTTAAACTGGTGAATGCTGTTTGGATGGACAACAGTGGGAGTGTTGAAAATGGGCTTCCAAATGCAACCCCCTCACCAACCAATATAATTTCTTTGAGTAATTTTGCATGCATCAAATGGGTAATGTCCATAAATCCTTCAATAACCAAATGACCAAGGACCATGTCCACAAATAAACTTAGTTTTTTCTCGTTTGAATTGTTTTACATTTCGGGGCTTTTTATAGCTGACTATGCGGTATGGATTTTGCTCATTGTTGAAGGCCGTACAGTGACCTATATTTGTTAATTTTTTTGTCATTTGGTCTCTTGTGGAGAGTTGACTCATTGGGAATCATACCACATCTTCTTATTCTTATATTCCCTTTCTATCATTTCACATTCATTCTAATAGACTAGCCCTGAGATAATTAATCTACATACCCATTCAATACATGTATCTGTCTGGATACAAACATTTTGTATTGTTTGACTTCCTCCGTGTTCATCATTTTGTTCTGTTCTCTCTCGGATGCTTTGTTTGTCAGTGCTGAAAACAATCAAAACATTTTACTTTATAATGGAAGATAGATTTGGATATCAGAATATAAAACATGTGGGATATATTCACCCCAAATAACAGAAAGAAGCCTATATTTGTAAATAATAGCAAATTTGCTTTGTGATAATGTAAAAACTTTCAGTTGGGGAAACTTTAATATTTCTATCAATTAAAAGTTCATACAGGACAGTAAGATAACATTTCAAAGGAGAGGGTAAGATTAAACTACCAGGCTTTAATTGACCTCTTACTATTATTCTTTTTATTACATTTACTTTCAATGTAGATAAAGCAGAAAATGCAAGGAACTATATATTTTTTAAAACACGTTCAGGACTGAAAATAGTTTTTCACATTTTAAAAGTCTTGTTCAGTCCTGGAACGGTTTGAAATGTCACTGTTCTGCTTGCAGATAATTCTGGAGATGTTTATTATTTATGTTGCTTTTGATTGCTCTGGTCTAGCATGTTTTATTTCATTTTAAATTTGTTGCTAAATTTTTTATTGCATGCTATGTAAGTGAGATTTAACTTCGTATAACAGATTGTTTTATATGTCAAATTAGACTGTTTTTATGTTATGTATATGTTTTTATATTCCGTCAAAAGCTCCTTAGAGCTTGTGTTATGTCTTTTAACTTATGCCGAATCAAAATAAAGTGTTCTTATCTTATCTTTACGTTCCTGCTGCTTTTTGATGTAACAACAACCATTATAGTATAATGTCAGAGGAGTGATTTAATTGGAAAAGTTTTCACATATGAAATTATCTGTTTTTACTTGACTGGGAAATCATAGTAATTCATTGCAACCAATGTAATCCTGTTCTGTCAAATCAATTTTGGTTTCAAAATTTTATCTTATTATATTTCTCTTCTTCATAAAAATTGTTATGCATGTGAAGGGATACAGACAGGTAATGTATATTTTTTTACCTTTATCTTGATAGTCATCCATTAAATGTGTGGCCAATCCTAGCTGACATTTGGCGTGTATGAAATTCAGATTACAAAGTAAACGTTGTAGCTCTTTAAATTCACCACAATAAACCTATAATATAAAAAGAAGCATCATATTAAAAGTTCAGCAAATTATTGTTACACAAAACATTTTATATATCATAGTATTAAAACAGTGTAATTTTAATTTCATCTCTCTTGACTTACTGCAGACTGAAATGAGAGTATGACCTCATATTTTGAAACAGGTCTTCTTTTTGTTTAAGTGTAAAGAAAATTTAATGTAAACTTAATTTTGGAAGTGAGCAGCAAATCTTAATTTTGAATAACCGTTTTAGATTAAACAAGAATGCTGTTGTTGTTGTTCTAAGCATACCCAACAATCGTAATTCAAAGTAATTGTTGTTGTTTTAAGCATACCCAACATTCGTAATTCAAAGTATTGTCAAACAGGAAGTAGGTAACTAACAATTCCGAATAATGTTCACATGTTACAACTCATCACTGTTAAGCTGCTGACCAAACATGAAAAAAATCTATTCAGTAGTACTAAGAAATGTATGAAGATTTTATTTTAGTATATTCAATACATTGAACAATTAAAGGATAGGAAAACAAGAAGTAATAGTATGTGTCCAACTTATGTGAAAAATGCTAACACATTACAACTCATCACAGTCAAGCTGCTGACTAAATATGAAGTCATTCGGTCCAGGATGACCTGAGAAAAAAATGACGGAAATAATTGTTGGATGAACAAATAGACAAGATAAATGCAATATAGCCCATACTTTTGCTGCATGTATAAAATTTAGTTTCTCTGAAACTTGACCACTATAAAATACACACTCACCAAATGGAATGGCAGTTCTGTAAAGGCTCTAGGATCATTTCCACTGAAACTATTGGTTTTGCCTGGATCAGCCAGTTGGAAAAAGTAGCCTATCAAAATACAAAAAATAAAAGTTAAGATCAATGCATCACTTTTCAACTTCAAGAACAAGTGTTACTTGTGATATAAAAGTAGATAAAAATGGAAAAATTATTTTCACCTCGTAGGAGTTTTTTGCCAAAGAAGATGTTTCATATTGGTTTTTCTATAAATTTTTCTGTTACTCTTGCTGTTCAGTGATCTAGAAATTGTAACAATCCACACTGAAACAAATCTAATTATTCTGGTATTTGAGAGGAAAGTGCTGTCCTTTACTGATTTTTATTGCACCTTAACTTATGTAAATTTTGTCATTTAACTAATTCATATTAAAAGTTGTAGTGTTGTACAACAGAGCTGTCTACTCTTACAACTTCAAAGGTCAACAATTCAAAAATTTGAGGAGTAAAAATTTTAAGATTTCTAGGACAAAACCTTTATGGGAGATTATATTTCCATGTTTTCTATAAATTCTTAGTTCCTTATTGTAATCCTCCTTTAAGATTAAATGTACAAGGGGGAATATTAGCAAAAATACACCCCTGAAGAAAATTTCGAAGTTTACAATAAATTCATGAATTGATGACAAATTAATCTGTTTCACTGTTGAATAATGACTGGGTAACCTAGAAGGCTAGCATATGGTAATAAAAATAACATATTTTGTATGTACTTACCTGCCAGCAGAGAATGGTATTTAGTTTCCAAGTCTGAAGAACCCTTCATGTACCTCTGTCTCACTGCAGCCTCTATGTCTTTATGAGCCAGTGTTAGTCTACTGTTCCTGTTATTATAAAAACATAAGAATATAGCAATGAGGCTGTCACACATTTAAGTTAAAGGACAGACAGTACCACAAAAAAGGACAAAATAGACAAAACAGCTTTCAAAACACTACAGAAAACGGATGAAAACATAATACAAATTATGCACACAAAGAAACATGGTGGTGAAATAAGGCACTCCAAAAGGGTAAGCTTTTCATCCTCAACAGATGGCTATAGAAGGGTTGCTCATCACAAGAAAAAATATGGTGATTAGTTACATTTTGTGATGCTATAAACAAGGAAAGAAGGACAAGATTTCGACTAAAACATTTTGAGAATATTTACAATTATCACTCCTTCAAAAGATAAAATACTCATTTCAAGAGTTACTGACATCTCAAGACTTTTGATTTTACTTAGAATTAATGGGTGAAAAAAGGATAGCAAATCATTGTCTTGAACGTTACACCTTTATGAAAATATAGAAGACTTACCAACTGTCAGTTGGGTTCAGGAATGTCTCTAGGGACCTCCTCAAGTGACCGAACACAGCAGCAGGCAACATCTGTTCAGGTGTCAATTTAATGTTTCTTATATCGTCCATTTTGAATTTATCATTTGTCAATATGTCGTGTATACTTAGTAAATTATGTAATTCTTCTACTTGTATGCCTGAAAATCATAAAATAGTGAATATATAGTATACTTATATCAACCCAAAAATATAAAATCTATTATACAAACTTTAGTAACAGGAAAAATGGCCAGCTATTCAAGTTTTCCCTTGTGCTTTTTACGAGGTAAAGTCAAATTTTTATTTCACTATGTTTCTCAACAATTTAATACAGTCACTGGACCATGTCCTAGGGGGAAGGGCCTCAAAATAGTTGTCAAACTGATATGTACTGATAGTAATGCAACTTTATATTAGATATCAATGATCTATCACAAGTAGTTCCTATCAAACTAACTTAAGCAGAAAACTTAACAATTGTTGATGCCATCGCCGGAAAAGCAATCCCTATGTCTCGCTTTCCGTGACTTTCGTCGTAGGCGAGACAAAAATAAGGACATGTGGTATGATTGCCAATGAGACAACTATCTCTCAAGCTTGTGCAATATGATATACTGCTCCAAACAATATCATCAATATTAATGCAATAATCCTTATAGTGCAAGTTTGTGGTTGCAACAAAAATTATAATAAGGATTTTGTTTACAATATGCATGCAATAACTTTTGAATCAATCATAATACTCTTAAAATGACAAGAAAACCATATTTGTGTGGCCATTTTTAAGTGATATATTTGCGTACAAGTATCAAGCCATACAGTGACCTATAGTTGTTAACTTCTGTATCGTTTGGTCTCTGGTGGAGAGTTGTCTCATTAGCAAACATACCTCATCTTCTTATTTTTATATATAGATTTTAGTCAGCCTATTACACTGGCTGTATTAAGGTAAACAAAATTTGTGTATGCACTTAAGTATAAATGCATAATTTTGTTTTTTTATCTGAAAACTAGTTATGTGCTTAACAGAAACTTTAAAATACATTATGAATTACCATCATCAAGATCTAATGCCTATTTCAGAATATACAACTAATTCAAACATTTTTGTACACTTGCAATAATGACCTTATTTGAACAGTGTTGCCCAAAACTATGCTTTATGTTGTCCAAATTTAGAAGGCATCTGTGATTTTCTGTAGTAGCAGAAAAATAAGAGGTATATCAATATGTCAAAATAAAATTAATTGGTTTCATACCTCAAAGGAAGGTGATTGTCATTTGGCATATCCAACTTTTAACTAGTCTGTTACACAACTGTGTATATACTGATAAAAGTGTCTAGAGCTCAACTTAAAGGTTTACATTTTTTTTTAAACTTACCATTTCTTGAACAGACTAACAATGAGATGGCTGTAGATACTAGCTCTAGTCCTAAGTCTGATTCTAGTCTGGAGAGTACTTCTTGTAATAATGCTGGAGTGGTATGTGGCAGGGATTTCAGTTTATTGGTAATCTGTAAAAGATTTCCTCTAATTGTTACCTTATTCTGCTTTCCAGTTTGATTTGATAATCAACATTATTGTTACAACACATTTATTCTTGAGATAAACTCTCTTATGTGTTCTAATAAACATTTAGTCTTTCAGTCTGTATATTGATCAAAATTGTTATGCACTCATTCCAAATAATTCCATAAAAGCGGAGTTAGGGGAAGTCTTGCAGTGAGGTGCAAATTTTTGATCCAAATAGAGGGCTCACTGTGACTTTGAGATGAGGAGCCTCATTAAAAGCTCTGTTCCTTTTTCTTTGTCAAATTATGCAAGCATTTTGTGTCATGAATCATGAATTTGTAATACACCATATCCCTTTTTTTACATTAGAAAGTTTGAAAGCTCAGATTCAAAAACTGTAGGGCACAAATACACAAAAAAGATACATTTTTTGCCACAAACTCTCACTTGATGACAACTTGCCAACCCATATCTGCCAACCCACTACTAATTCACAATCTGTACTGTATTCAAACTGGCTAAAAAAGCACTGTAAATTCAGGAATTTTTGTGATGTTTTCATCAAGTTTTGCAAAAATAAACTTGCATTCTAAATTTGATAGAATTATTAGTACACAGCATTTCCTGAAATTGCAATAATTAATCCCATATGTGCCCATTGTTCAGTAAATGCAATAATAAATGTATGCAACAATTCTAAATTAAAAGAAGTTATTTGTTAACATACCCTTTCAAACACTCCAAATACTCTGAGTTCTTCACATGCAAGCTTCAAGAAAAGAGGATTTGCTCCTTCCCTCTTTGAGAGCAATAACTTCATCTGAAGAAAAGTTAAAAGAAATATGTAATATAATTTTCAAACTAAATTATGATGTAGTAAATGTAAAATTAAAAAGGAAAACTCAAATTTGTATCAATTAATTGAAATTGTTTTTTTTACAAACCCTCATTACAATTAAAGTGTATTTCCTGAATAAAAAGTTTTACCTGGTTGTTAAATGGGGATTCATCTAAAGCCTTCCTGTGTACTGCTAAGTTGTTCCTGACGACATCAGCTTTGTCCCACATGTCTAATGGACCAACACTTAAATTGACAGCTCCAAGTTTCTTCAAAGAACTGTGGAACTTCCCATCCTCCAATGCAGTTATCACAAATATTACATTCTGAATTAAAGAAGATTTTGAAACTTCAAAAATCTTATCATTATTTTCCTGCCACAAAAAGAATAAATAAATAGTGATATGGTCTATTCTTGACAACATAAGCTATATGATAACTGATCACCCAGAACTCTGTTTGAGTCAGCTATTACAAGAACATTAATCACTGTTGCCAAAAAATATTAAAGAGTATGTTAAACCTTAGATGACCAAATCCTACAATATCTAAAATAAGCCATACTCTATGATGTTTAGACTGTTTATCTTTAAAAAGAAGAACATTTATTATTATCCCGAAACTTTAAAATTCAAACTTCCAGATGATAAAGGGACATAAAACTCGACCCATTAAAACTCAAATATACCATATACGACCTAAAAAGTACAATATGGTCAATGAGATTTTGTAATTTTCAAAAGATTTGATGAGCTATAGTATGAATTATAATCTGGTATTCAAAAATGAGATGAACAAATGAACCAAAGATCCCTATATATTCTTGAATGTATATTATGGGTAATATTAACATATCAAAATATGGTAGCTAAAACTACAAAAATGACAAAATGACAACAAACAAAGGCAATTTAAAGCAATCATATAACTAATGCAATATTGATTTAACTGTCTTTTCAGCTCACAAAACCTGAAATATTAAATGGCACTAAACTTTTGGTCTATAGCACACCTGATGAAGAGTATTGAAGACACATGTTTTCTATGCACCAAAATCAGCATTATATGTTTACATTTCAAATATCTGATGTCACATATGTAAGTTTTATGGGGAACCTGAATGGTTATCTGATTTACCTCCCCTTATAAACCTGGTACAACAAATGAAAAGGGACTGAGGAACCAGTCTACACTGTGGATCCCCTACCTTTGGTACAGGATTAGGCAGCCAATCCATTGTGCTTGGCAGAAGTGTGTTCTCCATCAAGTCTAAACCATCCATGAATATGACCACTGGGGAACCAGATAGAGATCCAGCTTCACTCAACATCTCACCAAACTTCTGCGTTATGTTTCTAAAAAGATAGTATAGCTCTAATTACATTCAATTTAATTGCATTTAACTTATCAGAACTTTGTTAAATTTTACCAAAACTAGTTGCATTTTTATTCCGACTGTTGAACAATGAACCAATAAAAAGAGATAAATTATTAGGTTTTGAGAAAATGCTGCCTTTAAATAATGCTATCAAAATTTTACTTTTGGAAAACCTATCCGCTTACCACTTTTTCCATAATAAAAACATTGCAAACATTTCTGACTTTATATTTTCTATAATATTCTTTTTAAAAGAGTTATATTATTCAATAGTTCTATTGACTTTTTAATTTGAAGTAAACAGTTCCTTTAATATATGTCAATTCCAGAGTACATTGGACTGTTATTTCATAAGTATTACCAATACAGTGTTTTTCAAGAATTTATGACAAACAAACTGACAGTATAAGGCAAAGGAGGGCATGCATTTAATTTTTATATTTATTACTTTATAATTGATTAAAAAAAATAAGATGGCCAATATGGTGAACTAGAAAGCTATCTAACGTACAACCTGCTTCTAAGGAAAACACTGTAATACTCCCTTTTACAAGATAAGGTTAATTGAAGCTGTATTGCAAAATAAAATCTTACTTATAATCTTCAGGGATATCAGTTCTCAGTCCAAACTGTCTTCTTATTTCATAACACAGTCTCCTTAGAGTGGCCAGGATGTTTGTAGACCCTGGGGCTGCTCCAGATATATGGACCAAGATGTTGGCTGGACTATCACACTGGGTTGAGTCTTTGTAAGATGTCACCAGTGAAGCCTTCAAAGTAACAGACATAATAATAGCAAGCTGATATTTGAAATTTGTTCATCTGGATGAGCTATGAAAAGTTCAATATGTAGATAAACAAGGGGGATCTTTTGACATTTCAAGAAGGAACAAAAAGTTTATGTAATGAAATTGTCAAAATAACAACCGCAAAAATAATGCATGATAAGACATAATAATGTTCACTATATATTCATAATTAGCTAAGTATTAACTTTGAAAAAAGATTTCTTACCAAAACAGCAGATTTTCCTGTGCCTGCTTTTCCTGTAAGTGATAACACACCACCAGAGGTCATTTCTTTCATGTTTTTGAGACATTCCTTGATCAGGTTTTTCCTACCTACAAATCTAGCTCTATGGTTCTCTACCATTGCCTCATGTTGTTTTGTAGCATGGGTTGTTTCATCCAACATGGCATCCTATAATAAATGTTGGCAGTTTGATTTACTAAATGTTTGTGTTTTATTGTTCTTGTTATAAAATTAAGTTGTGCAAAGGTTTTTTATATGTAAAATCACTTCCATGTCCTATAAATAAATGTACATGTACAATGTACCATGTCTGACAGATTTACCATGATCATTTTTAAATACATTTCAGTGTTTTTTTCCATTGTCTAGTTTTGTTTTTTCCTTCTAAATTCTTGTTAAAGTTTATACCTCTTCTAGACATATTTCATTAGAGTTACATGATGGGTATCTCATGTGGTATCACATGTGGAGCAGAATCTGCTAACCTTTCCAGATCACCAGAGATTAGCCCTGGTTTTTGTGGGGGTTCTTGTTGCTCAGTCCTTTGTATTCTATTTAGTGTTTACAGGCCTTGATTAATTTAAAGCTGACTGTGTTGTCATAGCAAAGATTGCAAGAACTTTCTTACCTCATCTGGGCATTGCTTCCTGACAGAATTCCATACAGAGTTAATTATTGGCATTGCAAACTTCTCTAGTCCTGAAACAATGGGCTTCCCATCAACAGATCCTCCCCATCTACAGTCATACCTACAAAATTTGATCATATTTATTCATGTACTAACAATAAAGGAGGTACAAAAAATATGATTTTGCTTTGCCCTGTAATTAAGTAATCACTAAAAGGGTGCCTGATTACATTTTAATCTAATTAACATTAATGATATGTCGCAAAAGACAACAACTAACAAGGAACCTGACTGTTGAATTATTCGAAACAATCAGCTTTTTCTACTCCCAGGAATAAATGACCTAAGCTATATTTAGCACAACTTTATGGAAATTTTGGTTTTCAATGTTCATCAACTTTTTATTTAATATGGCCTTCAAACTGTTTTGATTGGAGTGTCTCTGATGAGTCGTATGTAGATAAAACAGGAGTCTGGTATATCAAATAATAAGCCTGGAATACTTGATGAGTTTTTACAACCACTGGGTCAATGTCACTGCTGGTAGACATTTCATCCCCAAGGATATCACCTGCCCAGTAGTCAGAACTCATGTGTTGACATGTAATATCATTGATACAGTCATTTTCTGCTAATTCTTTGAATAATATATTGAATTGGTACAGAATGTTCAGTGTGGTGTTGTCCATTTTGGAAAAGATACTGACAATTCATTATCAACTTTTACTTTCACTTTCATTTTAAAGTCGTCCAACCAATAATTGTGAGGTAACTTCTTGTTAACCTTTTTTGCAATCCCAAATGAACCTCATTTTATGTACTTCAGCATTTGTTTCCTATCATTAAATTGTCCTGAAGACACCACTGTAAGTGGCGAAACATGTAGACCAGAATAAAGCATTTCCTTGCAGTAATCCAGGATATTGTTGTCTTTTTTTAGTTTTAATATATTGAATTGTTTAAAATGCTAATTTTATTCTAATCCTATGCATGGGTGGCCCTAGCTAAATGTATATTTGGCACAACTGTTTAGAATTTTTGGTTTTCAATGCTCTTCCAACTTTGTGTTTGATTTAGTATTCCCACTGTTTTGATTTGAGTACCACTGATGAGTCTAATGTAAACAAAATGTGCATCTGGAAAACCAAATTAGAAGCCTGGACTCATTGAGATTTTTTTAGGACAGGCATATAAACATGTGGCAGGATTCAACTAGGTTTTTTGAGATAGGGTATGCTGCAAGAGTAAGGAACAGAATATCCATTGTTATAGAAATATAGTTTTACATGTACTTCATGATAAATGGAAATTGTTATGAATGTTCAATTCTCACATATGCAACTCTTCCTCAACATTATTTTTACCCCTATAGCTTTTAACTAGGATATGCATTATAAAAAAAAGTTAACTAAAAACCTCTATATTCCTCAATAGTTTTTCTAACATTTAATACACCTCAAATACACTTCTGGTAAAATATTTTGAAGTTCTTATTGTTCTAAATATATATTTCTTGTCATTCTTTTTTTTATAATAGTGTTTCCCCCCTCCCCCCCTCATTTTTCATTGTATATGTTGCATACCATTCACAAGCAATATTTACCCTTCAATAATTTCCAGAGGAGATCTCCTAACCCTACTCTTCAGTGCAGTCATCTTGCTTTCAGCTTCTGGATTTTCTGCTACAAAATCTGACAGGAATTCTTTTGGTACATCTCTGGAACAAACAGTTAATTTTATATTGCTGGTTTATTAATATTGCCATAAAAAGGTAGTTCTATTAAAATGGCATTTTTATAATGTATCCAACATGGGTGTAAATTATTTAGACGAGATCACAGTATTAAAACGTTGCAGTTTAAGTTATCTGTATCTAACACCACAGCATCAAAATAATAATGGTCATACTAGAAAATTTACAAGTATCAATTACAAATTTCAAAACAATCATTGGAGCTTAAGGATGTTCCCTAGTCTTGGTTTTGACTTTTTGTCAGATATTCAGAATCCTCTGGTTTTATCCATGCTGTGCCCATGAACCGCTACTTTTCTTTTGATAACTTTATTACATATAGTTTAAAAAGCCATTTTTATTTTAATTTTCTAAAATCCTTGGTATTTTTTCATAATTTTTGAAAGAAAAAAGATGCTGATGTTAATTGTAGGAAGAATCTAGAGAGAATCATTTCCTGTCAAATTTTCAATGGCTTATATCTCAACAAAAAGGACACGCCCCTTGAACTTTTTCTGTTTTTTTTAGTTCCATTATATATATATATATACTATCAATGTATAAGTCTTTTAAAAGCTTTTTATTTTGAAACAGAGTAGCTAACATCCTTAACATTATTTTTGTCATTGATATGCACATTTTTTAGACATGCATTTATAAGAAATAACAAATCTCATAAATATTTTATGTCACAATCAAAAATGAATTGTTCAGCATGTCATTGACAGCCAATCAGGAAAAGCCTATTGTAAGATACAAATAGAGTTGAGCTCCATATGGAATAAATAACCCTAACATGCATGAATATTGTTAAAACATAGTCTAAAATTTGGTTAAGTACATTCCATAATAACACAGAAGATAAATATTCGAGGAAATGATAAATTCTTCACAAAGTTATTGAAATGAACAGTGAAAACCGACCTACCTGAACCTGTTGAGACTGAACAGTTATTGGGATTAGGCAGGTGTTCGTTAACCTGGGTATAAGTATTAAAGAATATTCAAAATGTTTTCTGATACAAAAATTCAAATAATACAGGTTTTTAGTTTATGCAGGGTTCAGTTTAGACAGAACATTTCTAAGTAAATACCTATGCATTTACTTGTACTTACTTAATAAAATTATTGTTTCTGATCATCATCACAGCTTTGTCTTGTTTCTGTGCAGCATTCATCAAAACTCCTAAATGCATTTCTAATTCTGTCACTGAGGCCCCTTGAGGGTAATGTTTCACCCAGTCATATTCAGGTGTATCTGGCACAGTGTATTTATCAGGCATATACCCATATCGTTCCCCTAGGATGCCAATAAAAAACTGGCATTTGGAAACTTCTGATAAGCATAACTCTAATGTCCTACAAAAGAAATACTGTAGGGTTTATAATATCCTACTTAATTGCATAATATTCCAATTAGCATAAAAATTCAAAACAAAACCACTTCCTTTTAAAAGAAACTCAATTACACAAAATGTGAACTTCAATTAATTGCAACAACAAAAAATCTTAAAAAGGTAAAAAGTGTGCTGCTTTTTGTGTAATTTAAGTAATTATAAATTAAATAAACAAGAACTTGCAAGAAAAAAACGTTTTCCCATAAACTTCTTTTTGACAACATTACTCTGCTCTGTTTGTTTGCAAGTCAGTATGGGTCCATCATCAGAGCCTTATGTCTGCTTATTTAACAATATACTTAGGATTATTCTTTAGTGAAAAAGACATATATATATTTTTTTTACTTTTACGCTGTCTTTATTTGGTATATAGTGTCTCGTAAGTCAGATTTTTGGCTGGATATTGGCTGTTTTATTATGTATGTATATTGTGTATGAATTCTTTTTATTGCAATCAAAATGTGACACTTTAATAAACAAATTATATCTATACATTGATTTCCATAAGAAAAAGGTAAAAAATACCTTCATTTTTCATAATATGGAAAAAATTTATAGAGAAAAGAAACTTAACAATTAAAGTGAGTTTTACCTCTAGAACATAATCTAAATTTTTCTTAACAGAACATGTATAATAGCTGTTATAAAATTTCATTTCAAACTTATTTGCTATCCTAACTAATTACTACAAATGTTTACAAGCTCCAATTTATCAACCTTTTTATATTTCTTAAACTAAATATTTAAAAGTTAAAAGTTAAAGAGTAAAAAAAGTAAGAATTTTGATCATGTACGTAACATTTTCATTAAGACTTTTCATAACAGGGGCTTTACTTCATACAGGTAAAAAAAAAAAAGATAAATTTTGTAAACTATATCATCCCGTGAAAACAATTGAATTCCTACTTATGATGTTTTGTCTCTTCTTCTGTCACTCCCCACCTCAAATCAACTTCATATACATTTATAAAATGTTTCTTTCCAAGAGCACGTAACTCTGGGAATACATATCTTGTTAAAACATCTCTCTCTCCATGCATGTCTCGGAATGTTGATGATATAAAAACTCTGAAGGTTCTCCAGCTATTAAAAAAAGAAAACAGTATTTGACACATTCATGATTCAATTTGTTAGGCTGCATCACATTAAATTTTTACATTGTGTTGTTTTCCTCCATTTCAGGCAGGTGATTTTTTTATAAAAATATAATTTCATTCCATTAGGTGAGAGAGAAAAACACAACCAGTAAAAGCACATCCAAAAGTCTTTCATCATTGAGTATTTGAAAGAAATCATGACAAATGCCATACATATCAACAATTAAGTATACAAAAATGTTTTTGCATTCAAAAAAAAAAAAAAAAAAAAAAGAGAAGAAAAATTATTTTGAAAAGAATACATTCCGCATTATATTTTAGAAGCTACTCTTTTAAAAAGCTTTTGTCAAGAAAAAAACCTTGGCCCCATAATTTTTTCTGTAAAATATTGAAACAACTGCCGTGGTCTTCAGTATATACCAATCATTAAGGCACTGATTAGGGTTTAACACAAATCAAAACTTGAATTTAGCGTGGAGCCATTTCAACTTTTGTTAATCACAAAAACCAATAATCTTAGTTTATTCAGTTTGCTTCAGATAACTTCAGCTTATATTCTTATCTTTACCTAAGGGCTATTTCAGAAATAAATGTATTGGGGGTTCGAAAGGTACTTTATATTTAACCCTGCGATGCATCACATTTTAATTGATTATTTCATATAATTGTTAAGACTTTCTATCTAAAATAACCACCACACTTCAAATTTGAATAAAAGTGCCTTCCTAATCCCCCCATTTAATCAATTCTGGAAAAGTCTTAAGTTCCACATGAGCAGTTGGATTTGAACATCTGTTCTTTATAAAAAAAGATCTTCACAACATTACAACAGAATTATCCTTTTACAAGAAAATTGGTTACTGTGAATTAGTTTACTTTCATGCATACCAATTTTAAGTGGATTGAGGAACAATTGTATTTTTCTTGGATATTTGATTACATGGTTTGCAAAGTCAGAATACAAGCCTGTAGAAAATGTATACTTCATTGAACATTTTAATTCGTAGTTTATCACTAAATCCTCTAAAATTGGCACCCCATGACTATTTATGAATCCACAGTCACTGTTATTTAATTTCTATTGTAACAAGTTATAACTTACCATGGTGTGTTGCATGGTATTGGCAGTGGTCTTTCTACAGGAACAGACCTCGCTGGTCTAGAGACATCCTGTAGTATTGGCATAGGTTTCAGTTTGAAGAATTCATCTATCTTATCAACATGTAGAAGTTGTCCTCCATCACCTCTCTCAGCAATGAATCTGTTCAAAATCAGATATTTAAATTTTAAATTTTCTCAAATAAAACATCAATTGATGACTTTGGAAGATTTTTGCTTGCTCAACATCCTGTGGTTAAACAATATTACATGCATATTCAAGACAAATAAAGGATGTGTTATATCCCTGTTTAATGAGTTTACAGGACTAAAAAGGAATTTATTGGGAATAAACCATAGCATAACATGAATAATTAGCATTTAATCTAATCCTGTGAATTTTCTGGAAAATTCTTGTCTCACACTAGCAAATAATTGAAGGGCAATATTTTAAATCAATTCCATTTGCAATAAATGGGGAATGTGTCCATGGGACACTGATGATGCCCCACTTGAACATATAACGTTATAAAGGGAAATAACTCAAGAAAGGTAAAAGTGACGCTACCCAAATTCGTACTTCATCTGAGTTTTGTTGTAATAAGCATTGTGTATAAGTTTCATGACATTTGGTTGAGGCAAACTTAAGTTAGAAAACATAAACAAAAAATTCAGCAATTTTTCCATTTGTAAAGGGGCATAACTCTAGAACGATAAAAGTGACACCACTAAAATTCAAACTTGATCTGTGTTTTATTGTAGTAAGCATTGTGTATAAGTTTCATAACATTTGTTTGAGGCAAACTAAAGTTAGAGAACAGAAACAAATTTCAGGACGTACGGACGTACAGACGGTCAAGGGTAAAACTTAATGCTCCCTCCGCTACGGCGGAGGCATAAAAATTGGCACTGTATATGTTTTGGCAGATAAGTATTACCTCAGTATAGCATCACTAAATCCTGTGATATAGATGTCATTATCATTCTCTGGTTTGATACTCTCTGAAAATCTAAAAATATAACAAGATAACCTTTTAATATGAAAATCATTTACTCTCATAATTTTTGAAATGCTTTATTTTGTGCAGATTTTCAATTCATACCCCCAAATAAACAGCATGCATCAATATCTAGTTAAACTATCAAATTTACAAATCACATCAACCTTGAACAGACCTGGTATACAAGAAACCAGTTATCTTTTTTTAATTAAACTTTTAAGTAAATACTTTATGTTATGAAAATTTTTGTTTTTTCCCACAACTCAACAGCATATATAAATATTTTATTGAACTAATATTGTCAGACCATGTCAATCTTGAACAGCATACTTTGTATACAAAAGATCTAAGATTCTGCCTGCTTACAATATAAAGTCCTATCTTTGTTATTTTCAGACTTATGTAAGCTAAAATAAACATTTTATACATACCCACATCCTTTTCCACTGAATGAAATATTGGCGTATAACAGATTAGGGTTCACTAGTTGTCTGAACTTCTTCAGGAAAAAGGAGACAAACTCCTGTTGTACACTGTCAACTCCACCACTCAGTATTATCAAGTTATCAATCTGTAATTAGCAGGTAATTCAAATTTTTATGAAAATTTTGTATATATAAAAACTCTTTAAAAACATCTGAAATATATAAAAAAATTCATACTTCCAGAAATACAATTTATTTAAAATTTTTGAAAAGATTATACATATATGTTTAAAATATATGAAAAAGAAGTGAAAAAAGACATTTGTGATTTCGCAAACCAAATCCACAGAATTTTGTTTAAAATATATATGCTATTGCTGTGAACATTTCCATTTTAATGACATGAAAATATTAGAAGCTAACCTTGATTCTTGGAAGTGATCATTTATAGGAAGCCGTCTCAATGACAATTAATCACACTTTCTTAAATTACACTTAATGTTAATTGATTTATTCTGAAGCCCGTACCTGTTGTCTATCCACCAAAGCATCATTCAATATACAATCTGGAATTTTGTATTCAAATTTCTTGCCGGGCTTCAATTTTTTATCCAACTAAAATATAAATTTGTTAAAATAATATATTAAGCACAAAAAACTGCAAATGAAATCATCCAACTGTAAGTAAATTTGTTTGAAAATGGCAAATTCAATTTTCAACTTTAAGTCAAAACTTTTCTGTATACCACATATAAATGCAAATGGACAAATATGTTCAAATATTCCCAACCAGAAACTACAAATGTACTTTCAAACCAAGAAATGCTGTTTGGTAAACAATTTCTAATATAAGCTTAACCATTAATTCCAACAAACACAGCACCCATAAAGTGGTTTAGAAGATAGGATTGCCACCAACAACAGCCTCATGATCATTCTTACATATTATTTTAAACAAGCATTCTGAGAGTATTGCATGGCAATACATAGTCCCCTACCGAGTAAAAATTCATTTAACTGGAACAAAATGCTAACTTGTTCTATAACTTGTCATGGTGTAAACAAAAAGTAAATATCATGTCAATATCTTCAAGCATGACTAAAAACAGTGGGGAAAACGGATTATATGAGTGAAAAAAACATTAGATATGATTAATAGTTCTCTGAAATTAGATATGATGTAATGCAGTGTATATCTATTTTCAAATTATAATCAAATATAATTATTAGTTCCAAATATTTTTTCTTTCATTTGTCACAAACTAATATAGATTTGTAACTTATCTATAAAATGTCAACAACTTTTATCTATCAATGTAATGTATTGAAATATATACATTAATAAAAATAGATTATTATCTAATTAAAGGATTTCTCTTCATAATTTTTTTTATATCTATAGCATTCAGAAAATTAGTTTATACTAAATAACAAACAAACCTGCCAAAAAATTCTTCAAATACTTTAACAAAGAATGTCTTTTAAAAAATGAGTTATCTCCCTTTGTACAGAAATATTGTTTAACATAGTACTCTAACATTACATATGGTCCAGAGTTATGGTCCATAACTCTGGACTAAATCATCAGACCGGATCAAAATTCGAACTTGATCTATAACTTGTCATGATAAAACTATATACCAAATATCAAATCAATATCTTCGAGAACGAAGAAAAAAAGTGTGGAAAGCTGATTTGCCGGACTGACGGATGGACAGACGGACGGAGTGCAAACCTAAAGTCCCCTTCGACTTCGTCGGTAGGGGACTAAAAATAGATAAGAAATCAATACACAGCAGTGTTTTCCTTTTCAAAGGAAATAATAAAACAACACTTCAAAATAAAGAGCTCAGTTATGAATAATATTCTTTATGTTGAATACAGACACATAAGAGTTTAAATTCTTACAGCAGTAAGTGTATCTTCCATGTTATTCAGAATTGTTCCAGGTTTTGGTGTGATCAGGTCGTAACGAGTCTCGTCGAATACGACAAATTCACAGTTCTCACATGAGTATTTACACATCAAACCCATCAACACAGCCACTTCTCTCATCTAAAATAAAAAGAATTTATTTTATAACAGAAATCCACAAAGTATAAGTACGGTTTTTACTAAAACATAAACAGACATGCAATGATATATCATTATAACCTACGATTTTGATACTTTGGAGGCATTGTACGACCTTTCAACTGTTTTCAGACAGATGAAATTTTTTTATTTTTGGCACTAGCATGATTTATGCCATACATCAATTTAGAAATGTTTTCCACTGATAGATGAAATTTTTTGCAGAAACTGATTTTTAAGTCTGCCAGGCAAGGTTGAACCTAGATAACTTTGACTTATCTTTTTAATCTGTATCTTTCCATTTATTTATCATTCTTAAATTTGATTTTCCAGTCCAATAGCACTGAATGTTTCTATTAACTGATTGGTTGTCAATTGTTAAACTCAAAAAGGCAAATAAATGTGCATATGTGGGATGAAAGCAGATTAAATGAACTCCAATTCAAAGGTAAGAAAAAGTGCATCAATTGGTATTATAAAATTGCAACTCATTGGGCAAATATCATAGCTATGTAAAGTAAATATTCAGTCTAGGTTTTCATGTTTAAAGTTCAGATTAATCTATTCCAATGAAGTTGATCTAACCTTTCTTGGTTTTCCAAGACCCCTAGCTGCTGTACAATTAACGTCCATATTCTCTCCAACATCACACAGAACGATTGTCTTTCCTTTGATTGGTTGGACATTGTATACTGTTGCTATCTTAACAGCTGTATCTAAAGCTTTCCTGTATCTCTGTATAAGTGATGGATCATAAGGTGTCTCTCTAAAATATAATGTTTTGACAGTGAATTACACAAGGCATTACAAAAAAATTTCTAGACAAAATTTTGAGGTGAGAAACCCCTAATGAGACCATAAAAAGATACTAAATGATGATATATGGGTTTAATTATAGATGACTATAGGGTATGCACAAGTAGTTTATAAATTCAACAAAGATAATCAAATATCAGACACAAAGACCAAATTCATAACAAACAAAAACCTTATAGCTTAAACATACCCAAGATGAGATTTTTTAAACATGGCTTAGGCATGCAAACATGTGACAGGATTAAATTTAACATACTTAGCTTTTCCTGCTTCAGCTTTCTTTTTGTTTCTCTTCTCTATCCACCATTGTACTTCTCCTTCTGCCCCTCCTCCTCGTCCTCTACCTCTCCCCCTACCACGACCGCGACCACGACCTCTGGCACGCTCACTTGGTTGAGGAATTCCCAATGCTGCATACTGGGCTGCAATCTCTGCCTCTTGTACAATCTTGTTTTCTGTTAATAAAATCAGTTGTATATATTGAGAGATAAAAAAAAGAATCATTTTGGTTCAATTGTTAAACGTACAGATCAAGGGTTTTTTTAGCAAATTTATACCTTTTGTGTTGCTTGGAGTTCATAGTGCTAAGCTTCTTGCATTGACACATTGTTTTCTTTTTATTGATATGAAGATGGAAACCTACTTATATTGGCCCTAATTCTTTTAAGATGATGCACCCTTGTCTGCAAAATATCTAAAACTGAATTTTTTAAGAAACTACAGGATCCAGCGAGACTGAAAAGGAGCCAATTGCTGATATAACCCTTTATATTGTTGAGGATCTTGTCTTGCTGTCATTTTTGCTGTTTAGTTTCTTCAAATTGATTGCCATATCTAAAATCATTATAGGGGAAGTCACTCCTATAAGGAGTCAAATTACAGGTTCATTTATGTGTATTTATTTGCAGATATTATCTTGATGACAATTTTTGCTGTTGACTGTAGATCTCTATCATAATCTATTAAAGTTCTCAATATCATAGCTAAAAACACAAACACGGTTATTGAAAAAATTTCGTCTAAGGGCAATAACTCCTAAAAAGAAATTACTGACAAATTCTATCATGCGGACTTATTAAGATTAGCTGATCATTAATGCTGTTTAAAGCTTCTGTTGATCTTTTGTAGTTTTCAAGATTATAGAAAAAGACAACAAAATAGGTAAAAAATCCCATCTAAGGGCAATAATTGTTAAAGAGTCAACTGATGATTTAGGGTGTTAAAACCAAGGTTTTATTCTTGATCTGCTGACCATTGTAATGCATATCAGTTTTACTCTAACTGCTTTCGTTTTTAAGAATTAGACAGAAGCTGTGGTTTTAAAACCTTATGCTTAACTTATAGTAACAGTATAAATGTAAACGATGAAAGAAAACTGATGATAGATGCCAAGTGATGGCAATAGCTGACATAGACCTAGGGTTCAGGTGAGGTCTAATATATGTATTTCATGAATGGCACAATTGCCTGTATAACAACAGTATACTTAAAATATCTCAAGTCCTCTGTCCAACTGCGCCAAAAGTACTATTGTTTTCAATTCTTGCATTTATAAACAAAAGTTTTGTGGTTGTATAAAAATCTCTCCATATCCTCTAGATGTATATATAGCCAGACAGGATTAAAGGACAAAATTTGTTAATAAATCAGTCGTTTACATACAAAAAGATTACTTACGGCTTTCCTCAAAGTCTTTCTCAAGATTAACCAAAACCTCATATGCAGAGAAAAATCTGAATGGGAACTGTTTACTGTTGACAACTTGTCTCTGAAATTATGTCAAGCAAACATGTTTAAGATACAAATACATGTTACTCATTAAAACATATGAATAAACATTATTTTCAATAATAATTATGAAAAAATAATAATAATAATAATAACAAGCATTCTGAGAGTAGTGCATGGCAATACATAGTCCCCTACTGGGTAAAAATTCATTATACTGGAACAAAATGCTAACTTGTTCTATAACTTGTCATGGTGTCAACAAAAAGTAAATATCATTTCAATATCTTCAAGCATGACTAAAAACAATGTTGAAAACTGATTATATGAGTGAATTTTTCAAGTCCAAGGACCATAACTCTGCACAAAATTATTAGACCGAAACAAAAATTTGAACTTGATCTGTAACTTGTCATGATAAAACTATATACCAATTATCAATCAATATCTTATAAGCATGATGAAAAAAAACATTAGATATGATTAATAGTTCTCTAGAATAAGACATGATGTAATACAGTGTATATCTATTTTCAAATTATATTCAGATATAATTAATAGTTCCAAATATTTTTTTCTTTCATTTGTCACAAACTAATATAGATTTGTAACTTATCTATAAAATGTCAACAACTTTTATCTACACAATGTAATGAATTGAAATATATAATAGAAATAGATTATTATCTAATTAAAGGATTTCTCCTCATAATTTTTTTTATATATATAGCATTCAGAAAATTAGTTTATACTAAATAACAAACAAACCTGTCAAAAAATTCTTCAAATAATTTAACAAAGAATGTCTTTTAAAAAATGAGTTATCTCCCTTTGCACAGAAATATGGTTTAACATAGAACTCTAACATTAGATATGGTCCAGAGTTATGGTCCATGACTCTGGACTAAATCATCAGACCGAAACAAAATTCGAACTTGATCTATAACTTGTCATGATAAAACTATATACCAAATATCAAATCAATATCTTCAAGAACGAAGAAAATAAAATGCTTCGCAGGGCGCAGCTTGATACGACAGCAGAGGTCGAACCCTGAACAGTTGGGGCAAGTATGGACACAACATTCAAGCTTGATACAGCTCTGAATTTGGATTGTGATTAAATATTTGACACAGCATAGCTTTCTGACACAGAATGAATGTGGTCTAAGAACTTAAAAATTTTAAATTGGACATTCACCTATTATGGTCCAATATCCAAAATCTAAATACATGGTTAGATTCAGCATATCAAAGAACCCCAAGAATTCAATTTTTGATGAAATCAAACAAAGTTTAATTTTGGACCCTTTTGACCTCAATGTGGACAAAGTTGATAAAGGGGCCCAAAAATCAAAAATCTAAATACATGGTTAGATTCAGCATATCAAAGAACCCCATATATTCAATTTTTGTTGAAATCAAACAAAGTTTAAGTTTTGACCCCGATTTGGACCAACTTGAAAACTGGGCCCATAATCAAAAATCTAAATACATGTTTAGATTCAGCATATCAAAGAATCCTAAGAATTCAATTTTTGTTAAAATCAAACTAAGTTTAATTTTGGACCCTTTGGACCTTAACGTAGACCAATTTGAAAACGGAACCAAAAATTTAGAATCTAAATACACGGTTAGATTCGGCATATCAAAGAACCCCAATAATTCAATTTTTGATGAAATCAAACAAAGTTTAATTTTGGACCCTTTGGACCTCAATGTGGACCAATTTAAAAACGGGGCCCAAAATCCAAAAACTTAATACACGGTTAGAATCAGCATATTAAAGAACCCCAAGAATTCAAGAATAAAACCCCATTGAAATTGGTCAAGAAATAAGCAATTTATACGAAGTATCTTCTTTTGCACAATACTGTGCAATTGAATATTTCTTGCTATTGCGCAATACTGTACAATTGACAATTTCTTGCTATTGCGCAATATTGTGCTATTGGATATTTCTTGCTATTGCACAATACTGTGCAATTGAAGATTTCTTGCAATTGCGCAATACTGTGCAATTGAAGATTTCTTGCTATTGTGCAATACTGTGCAACTGAAAATTTCTTGCTATTGAACAATACTTATTATATAATAATTTACACATCCTGTTTGATGTGTATCTCCTACCATATCATTATTATTTGCTTTTAAATATAAAACAGAAATAACCAACTTAAAATGGAAAATTTTAAAAGAAAAAAAAAAGGAAAAAAAGAAAAAAAAAATCCCCCCCCCCCCAATTTTTATCAACCCCCTTATGATTCATCACCCCCAAACTCAATCCCAGCCTTCCCTTTGTGGTATGGTACCTTGCAGTACAATTTCAGAGAGATCCATACACTTGAACACGTTATTGTCTGGAAACTAGAAAAATGCTTATTTTTGGCCCCTTTTTGGCCCCTTATTACTAAACGTTTTGGGCAATTACCCCCAAACTCAATTCCAGCTTTCCCTTTGTGATATGGAACCTTGTAGTACAATTTCAGAAAGATCCATACACTTACACACAAGTTATTATCATGAAACTAGAAAAATGCTTGTTTTTTGCCCCTTTTTTGGCCCCTAATTCCTAATATTTTGAGGCAATTACCCCCAAAATCAATCCCAGCATTCCCTGTGTGATATGGAACCTTGTGGTACAATTTCAGAGAGATCCATACACTTGAACACAAGTTATTGTCTGGAAACTAGAAAAATGCTTATTTTTGGCCCCTTTTTGGCCCCTTATTCCTAAATGTTTTGGGTAATTACCCCCAAACTCAATTCCAGCTTTCCCTTTGTGATATGGAACCTTGTAGTACAATTTCAGAAAGATCCATACACTTACACACAAGTTATTGTCATGAAACTAGAAAAATGCTTGTTTTTTGCCCCTTTTTTGGCCCCTTATTCCTAATATTTTAAAGCAATTACCCCCAAAATCAATCCCAGCATTCCATGTGTAATATGGAACCTTGTGGTACAATGTCAGAGAGATCCATACACTAACACACAAGTTATGTCTGGAAGTTACAAAAATGCTTATTTTTGGCCCCTTTTTGGCCCCTAATTCCTTAACTGTTGGTACCATAACCCCCAAAATCAATCCCAACCTTCCTTTTGTGGTATTGAACCTTATGGTAAAATTTCATAGAGATCCATTCACTTAAACTAAAGTTAGAGTGCGAAAACCAATGTGTCTTCGGACGACGACGAGAACGCCAACGTCATACCAATATACGACCGCAAAAATTGCGGTCGTATAAAAAGTGTGGAAAGCTGATTTGCCGAACTGATGGATGGACAGACGGACAGATGGATAGACGGACGGAGTGCAAACCTAAAGTCCCCTTCGACTTTGTCGGTAGGGGACTAAAAATGTACCAGAGCATTCAGTGGCCTTCTTTGCCTTGATGCTGACCTACAAAAATGAATATTTAATGAAGCTTGTTTGATCTTACACCTTATAAAACACTTAATTTCTGAATGTTTGCTATTTGTCCATTATGTCTTATGTTAAAAATTTATTAACATGGTAAAAAGTAATGAAGTGAATGAATTGACCATGACAGCAACTGATCAGGTATTTGTTCACATTTCCTTACCATATAACTTAAATATGAAAGGAATTCATCCTTGTTAAGTGTATATCATTTGCATTTCAATGAATAATACTGTAAGTGACAATGACATGGCTGTTGAGATAATACAATGTACCCCACTCTGTATAACACATGGCTGTTGAAATCATAGAATGTACCTCGCTCTGAATAAGATGACTTGTGAAATACAAGTTTAATAAGGAAACTTTAATAACAGGCACCTTTTTAACTATTAACCAAAATTTTTCAGAGTTTGTACAACAATAAGAAAATACAGTCAAACCTGTAAAAGGTGACTTCTATTAAGGAAAAACCTGCCTTGTCAGGCCACCCTCAGCTTGTTTGAAAATAATACATGTAATATCTACACATTTTGAACCTCAATTCAAAGGTCACCTTTTCTATAAGGTCAGTTTTCTCTGCTCCCAAGGAGACCATTATAAACAGGATTGACTGTAATGGTTAATAATAGTAGCTACCAAATATGCACTGTGAAATATTTGAAGATTTATAGAACTCAAACAAACTTTACACTAGTGAAGGCATTAATGCAATACATACTATCAATCAACAGGAGACAAGTCAACAAACTCAAATTTGATCATAATACACAACCTGAAAGGTAATTCCTATAAAACCTTAAATTCTTGTTTGTTGGGATATAGGATATAAATGGCAGTGTGGTTGTGTCTATGCTTGACCTATACATACCTCATTAGTAAGTCTATTGATAATATCTGTGTGGTGTTTGTTTGAGATACCAGCTTTTATCAAATTTCTCAGATTCCTCAACATTGCCATGAATGGCAACTTTTTATGGTCTGTTTAAAAAACAAACAAATTTATTATATTGATATTCAAATCAGTTACAGAATCTCTACATTTAGCTAACAAAATGCTATAAAAGCTGATGAAATTACTTTTGGGTTGTACCAATTTCTCCTCTTTCAAAGATATTATTAAACATAAGAATATAGATACCTTTTAAAAATATCATGTACAAAGTACTATCATTTATTTATTCATGAAAATTATACATTATTGTAAATGCAGAAATTATTTCATGCATTTATTATTGCGATTTTTGAAGAAAGGACGAAAATGCAAGAGTAATTATTGTGAATCCAGGAAAATCTTCATACAGACATATGTATCAGATATCAGAATACGAGTTCTTATAATTGCGATACCAACCCAGTCGCATTATTCGCATTAATAAAAACCTCGCAATAATTTCTGAACTTACAGTAATCACTACATTGTAACACAAGAATTAAATCCATAACCTTTAAAATGAATATATAGAGAATGTCTGCTACTGAAATTTTAAATACACTGTAACAACACTTTTATAAATGACATCTTGTTCAAACCCAAATCATATAAAAAACAAGAATGTGTCCATAGTACACGGATGCCCCATTCACACTATCATTTTTATGTTCAGTGGACCGTGCAATTGGGGTTAAAACTCTAATTTGGCATTAAAATTAGAAAGATCATATCATAGGGAACATAAATACTAAGATTGGACTTCAACTTCATCAAAAACTACCTTGACCAAAAACTTTAACCTGAAGCGGGACAGATGAACGAATGGACGGAAAAACGAACAGACGCACAGACCGAAAAACATAATGCCCTAGGTGGGGCATAATAAAGATAGTTTTCTATGCTTGATTTTTGGATACAGGTCCTATTTTCCAATCTACCAAGGACCATAACTCCCAAAAGGAAAAACTGAAAATTGTCAATATCAAACCTTGACATCATTTTTTTGTTATACTTTTATGCAACTATTTTTAGGGGAGAAACATTGTAACTCACTCCCAAAAGAAGAAGAATCTATAGGTATCACAATAAAAATAAATAATTAGCCATCAAGAAAGAAAGATAAAATCAAATGAGTGATCATAAAAATACACATACCTATTAAGTCTTCCCATGTTGATGCTTTGTTTCCTTTCAGTGAAACCTGAGTTTCCCAAGTCTCTGGTACAGGAAGTTTCATTCTTTTTCCAGCCTTTTCTTCTTCCCATTGTCCTGGAAGACGACACTTGTAAAAATCCTCTAATGTCTCTGGATACCTATCAAATAATAATTGTGGCTATGATTAAAATGTGTTTCTGTCTGTCAGTTTCAGAGTATATGACGATAAGTGATAGAACACAATAGAAAAGATTACAGGTGATGGTAGCTGCGTTTTAACTCTGCTACACTAGCAACACAATGAGGCAAATGTATTAGGATAATCATTTTGAAGATATATATGTTTGATTAAATTTCATTTATATTTTAACATGCAGTTTTACCAAGGTATTAGCTTCATACAAAGAATGTTTAAATCTCAATTTTCTAGTCAATAGATTTATACTCTTTGGACAAAAACTTGATCAACACACATAGTTTATAAATTCTAATTATTATTTTCAGCAATATAAACAAGTCAGCAGTGGGTTTTCTGTACTATCTGTAAAACACACATTTTATTTTACATGCTTTACACAAGCATGTTATGCTGAGTTTTTGGGTTTTTAGATGTACAGACTAATTCATTTCCTAAGTGTACATACTTTTTACCAATAAGCGCCATGACATGGTACACTGGCTCTGTGATATGTAGTTTTCTGATCAGCTGTTTCAGAGAAAAAGACGTCTTCTCAATCTCTTCTTTTGATTCTTTATCATCATAGACAACATCTGATATCTAAGAATTAAAAACAAATAAATAATGCATGTTATTTAGACATCTACCCATCAACATAGTAACAAACAGACTGCTAGATATCAACATATGGTCTTCAACAATAGACAGGTGTCAATACAATATTTCAAACCCTTAATTGCTCCGAGTCTAAAAAATTGGCGAATAAATTTAATTAACCTGAGATTAATTAATGATCTGCATGAACATCAGATTCCCAAAATGACAAACAACGTCATCTGATGATGTTCCTAACATAAGGTTCAGTATGTTTGAAGATGAAAACTACTTTCATGGTAAAAACATTGAATAAGAAATAGGTAATTATAATACATCTCTCGGAATACTTCAAAATTTTTACATCTTTAATTTTTGTTGCAATGTTATGCCACTGTAGAGTTCAGTATATTGAAAAATAATTGTTTTCATCAATAAGTAAACGGTCTTCATAGGAATAAAGATTTAGATTTTGTAGAATCTATACTACTAAAAGAAAGAACTTGACTGTATGAGCTGTGATTATGTTAAAATGGAAAGGCCTGAATTTCTTTGTTTATATCTTAAAAATTTCAGACCCTTCTAGTGTCTATTTCACTGTTTGTCTTGAAAAAAATGTTTACTTGAAAACCAATAAAATGTAGGTCAAAATAAATAAACATGTTATTCATTTGTAAACAACTTACTATTTGAATGAGTTTAAATGGTTGCATCCTAACTTGTAATTGTTTTGTAAGACAGGCAGATTTTTTTAATTGTCCTAGAAGGTAGACACACAGTTTTCACAAAATTACCTGTCTTTTCACCTTGGATTCTTTTTCCTCATCTGAAGAATCAGAAGAATCTGATGAACTGTCAACTGGTCGTGAGGGTTGAGAACTGCCAAATCTAGCTCCCCTGGTTGCAAAACCACCTCTTCCATATCCTCCTCTAGGCACATTACCTCTACCACGACCTCTACCTCCTCTGCCACCTCTACCTCCTCTCACAGCCGATCCATCATCTTCTTTCTCTTTCTTTTGTCTATCCTTCTTCTTTTTCTTTTTCCTAGAACTTTCTTTATTATACTTAGCTGCAAGTTAAATTAAGAAATAAATCTTTTTCAAAATGCTCCATGCTCATTTTTAGAAGGGTAGATAAAGGCATTACATGAATATTTGTCAAAATCTTTTTATTGAGCATCGTGATATTTAAATATAATTTTATTGACCTTTATAAACTTATATGTATTTCAACAAGATAACAAGACTGAAGTAGGCTCCTCCTTCCCCAACACTCAAAAGCACATAAATACAGAAATTTTGAAGAAATACAAGGCAGCACTGAGCAGCTGAGACATCCAGTATCCAACCCTGTTCATGTATTTTGAATGCTAAAACAATCTTTTTTTTTGCCAAATAAAGTCTTATAGCTATAGCAATTTATAATAACGGAAAAATAGTACATATTGCTAGTACCAGTTGAAGTACCATTGAAATGTTCACAGCAATAGAGCTTTGCCTCCCATTCATTGTATTTCAATTAATTGAATGTCCTTAGCTCAATAACTGACACCATTAAGCAAGATTATGACAGCCCCTCTATTCAACTGTAGCAGTTTTCTCTAAATAAAATATAAATGATCTCCCTTTTCCCCAATTCTCAACCTTCTGAATTAGACAGCTTATTCAAATAGTTTAAGATGTTCCAACCAGTCTAGCATACATATGACATTTTTACAGTCAGACAAAAAAAAATGCTCCGCTGGGCGCAGCTTGATACGACCGCAGAGGTTGAACCCTGAACAGTTGGGGCAAGTATGGACACAACATTCAAGTTTGATACAGCACTGAATTTGGATTGTGATTAAATATTTGACAAAGCATAGGTTTCTGACACAGAATGAATGTGGTCTAAGAACTTAAAAATTTTTTATTTACCTATTCAAACCATATCATTATTATTTGCTTTTATATATAAATCAGAAATAACCAATTTAAAATGGAAAATTTTAACGAAAAAAAAAGGGGAAAAAAATCCCCCCTCTAATTTTTTGAACCCCCTTATGATTCATCACCCCCAAACTCAATCCCAGCCTTGCCTTTGTGTTACAATGTATTGTGCCTTGCAGTACAATTTCAGAGAGATCCGTACACTTGAACACAAGTTATTGTCTGGAAACTAGAAAAACGCTTGTTTTTTTGCCCCTTTTTGGCCCCAAATTCCTAAACATTTAGGGAAATTACCCCCAAACTCAAACCCAGCTTTCCCTTTGTGATATGGAACCTTGTTGTACAATTTAATAAAGATCCATACACTTACACACAAGTGATTGTCCTGAAACTAGAAAAATGCTTGTTTTTTTCCCCCTTTTTGGCCCCTAATTCCTAAAATTTTGGGGCAACTACCCCCAAAATCAATCCCAGCCTTCCCTTTGTAGTATGGTACCTTGCAGTACAATTTCAGAGAGATCCATACACTTGAACACAAGTTATTGTCTGGAAACTAGAAAAATGCTTATTTTTTGCCCCCTTTTGGCCCCTTATTCCTAAATGTTTTGGGCAATTACCCCAAAACTCAATTCCAGCTTTCCCTTTGTGATATGGAACCTTGTAGTACAATTTCAGAAAGATCCATACACTTACACACAAGTTATTGTCATGAAACAAGAAAAATGCTTGTTTTTTGCCCCCTAATTCCTAAAATTTTGATGCAATTACCCCCAAAATCAATCCCAGCATTCCCTTTGTGATATGGAACCTTGTGGTACAATGTCAGAGAGATCCATACACTAACACACAAGTTATGTCTGGAAGTTACAAAAATGCTTATTTTTGGCCCCTAATTCCTTAACTGTTGGTACCATAACCCCCAAAATCAATCCCAACCTTCCTTTTGTGGTATTGAACCTTGTGGTAAAATTTCATAGAGATCCATTCACTTAAACTAAAGTTAGAGTGCGAAAACCAATGTGTCTTCGGATGACGACGCCAGACAACGACAACGCCAACGTCATACCAATATACGGCCACAAAAATTTTTTTGCAGTCGTATAATAAAAGGAAATAACTGACATGGCCTTCTATTGCCATTTGACTTCAAACATAAAATAATGCTCCAAAATATGTTACAGAAATGATGCAATATAAATTCTAAAACCAAAACTTTTTTCTTACCAAGCTGGTATTCATCAAAGTCAGGAAATTTAGTCATCATAACTCTTCTTAGTGCTGAGGGTAATGCCCCTTGTGTCAAATGTCTGTCATGGAAAGCCTGAAGAGATAAAACACATTGCATTTATGGTAAAGACTGTGTAATATGAATTTTGAAATATGATAATATAACAGTAACACAGTTTATATTTTCTGTACATTTAAATTTAAATAAAATGCTTCGCTGGGCGCAGCTTGATACGACCGCAGAGGTCGAACCCTGAACAGTTGGGGCAAGTATGGACACAACATTCAAGCTTGATACAGCTCTGAATTTGGATTGTGATTAAATATTTGACACAGCATAGGTTTCTGACACAGAAAGAATGTGGTCTAAGAACTTCAATTTTTTTAATTTACCTATTATGGTCCAATGTCCAAAATCAAAATACATGGTTAGATTCAGCATATCAAAGAACCCCATATATTCAATTTTTGTTGAAATCAAACAAAGTTTAATTTTGGACCCCAACTTGGACAAACTTGAAAACTGGGCCCATAATCAAAAATCTAAACACATGTTTAGATTCAGCATATCAAAGTACCCCAAGAATTCAATTTTTGTTAAAATCAAACTAAGTTTAATTTTGGACCCTTTGGACCTTAATGTAGACAAATTTAAAAAGCGGGACCCAAAATTAAAAATCTAAAAACACGGTTAGATTTGGCATATCAAAGAACCCCAATAATTCAATTTTTGATGAAATCAAACAAAGTTTAATTTTGGACCCTTTTGACCTCAATATGAACCAATTTGATAGCGGGCCCACAAATAAAAAATCTAAATACATGGTAAGATTCAGCATATCAAAGAACCCCATATATTCAATTTTTGTTGAAATCAAACAAAGTTTAATTTTGGACCCCAATTTGGACCAACTTGAAAACTGGGCCAAAAATCTAAAATCTAAATACATGTTTAGATTTAGCATATCAAAGAACCCGTTATATTCAATTTTTGTTGAAATCAAACAAAGTTTAATTTTGGACCCCAACTTGGACCAACTTGAAAACTGGTCCCATAATCAAAAATCTTAACACATGTTTAGATCTAGCATATCAAAGAACCCCAAAAATTCAATTTTTGTTAAAATCAAACAAAGTTTAATTTTGGACCCCAACTTGGACCAACTTGAAAACTGGTCCCATAATCAAAAATCTTAACACATGTTTAGATCTAGCATATCAAAGAACCCCAAAAATTCAATTTTTGTTAAAATCAAACTAAGTTTAATTTTGGACCCTTTGGACCTTAATGTAGACCAATTTAAAAAACAGGACCCAAAATTAAAAATCTAAATACACGGTTAGATTTGGCATATCAAAGAACCCCAATAATTCAATTTTTGATGAAATCAAACAAAGTTTAATTTTGGACCCTTTTGACCTCAATATGAACCAATTTGATAGCGGGCCCACAAATAAAAAATCTAAATACATGGTAAGATTCAGCATATCAAAGAACCCCATATATTCATTTTTTGTTGAAATCAAACAAAGTTTAATTTTGGACCCCAATTTGGACCAACTTGAAAACTGGGCCAAAAATCTAAAATCTAAATACATGTTTAGATTCAGCATATCAAAGAACCCCATATATTCAATTTTTGTTGAAATCAAACAAAGTTTAATTTTGGACCCAACTTGGACCAACTTGAAAACTGGGCCCATAATCAAAAATCTAAACACATGTTTAGATTCAGCATATCAAAGAACCCCAAGAATTCAATTTTTGATGAAATCAAACAAAGTTAAATTTTGGACCCTTTGGACCTCAATGTGGACCAATTTAAAAACGGGGCCCAAAATCCAAAAACTTAATACAAGGTTAGATTCAGCATATTAAAGAACCCCAAGAATTCAAGAATAAAACCCCATTGAAATTGGTCAAGAAATAAGCAATTTATACAAAGTATCTTCTTTTGCACAATACTGTGCAATTGAATATTTCTTGCTATTGCGCAATACTGTACAATTGACAATTTCTTGCTATTGCGCAATATTGTGCTATTGGATATTTCTTGCTATTGTGCAATACTGTGCAATTGAAGATTTCTTGCTATTGCGCAATACTGTGCAATTGAAGATTTCTTGCTATTGTGCAATACTGTGCAATTGAAAATTTCTTGCTATTGCACAATACTTATTATATAATAATTTACACATCCTGTTTGGTGTGTATCTCCTACCATATCATTATTATTTGCTTTTAAATATAAATCAGAAATAACCAACTTAAAATGGAAAATTTTAAAAGAAAAAAAAAGGAAAAAAAGAAAAAAAAAAAAAAAAAATCCCCCCCCCCCCCCCCAAATTTTTTGAACCCCCTTATGATTCATCACCCCCAAACTCTATCCCAGCCTTCCCTTTGTGGTATGGTACCTTGCAGTACAATTTCAGAGAGATCCATACACTTGAACACAAGTTATTGTCTGGAAACTAGAAAAATGCTTATTTTTGGCCCCTTTTTGGCCCCCAATTCCTAAACGTTTCGGGCAATTACCCCCAAAATCAATTACAGCCTTCCCTTTGTGATATGGAACCTTGTGGTACAATGTCAGAGAGATCCATACACTTACACACAAGTTATTGTCTGAAAGTTACAAAAATGCTTATTTTTGGCCCCTTTTTGGCCCCTAATTCCTTAACTGTTGGTACCATAACCCCCAAAATCAATCCCAACCTTCCTTTCGTGGTATTGAACCTTATGGTGAAATTTCATGGAGATCCATTCACTTAAACTAAAGTTAGAGTGCGAAAACCAATGTGTCTTCGGACGACGCCAGACGACGACGACGACGACGCCAACGTCATACCAATATACGACCAAAAAATTTTTAATTTTTGCGGTCGTATAAAAAATATCAGTGTTTGACTATCAATGTAAGATCACAACTATATCTAATACTATTTACAAAATACAGATTAAACTAAAGATTTGTAAATTCTATATGGTTACGATGTACAGAATATTCAGACATCAGTTCAATTCCATAAAATAAACTTTCATGCATGTCTTTTCTCTAATGATCCTGAGGTCATTTGAAGCATTATGGTAACAATGAGCAAACCTAGAGGTTTAACATTGGGTTTTAGATTTTTTTACAAAATGGCACAGTTGATTTATGTATGTAGTAGAGCAGACTACATCTTCAATTCAATAAATTTATTTATTTCAGTGGAATACTTTTATGGATTTCTTTTGTTTAAACAAACTTATTTCTAACACTGAAAATAAATAATTCAGTGGCAGATTCAGGTGGGACATAAAAGGGTATGCCTATCAGAAAAATGTCATTTTTTGTCATAGATTCCTTCATTTTTTCCCAAAGATGGCAATAACCCCCCACTCGTGAACCTTGGATCAACCGCACGAATTAAATGCATGAACATTTTCTGGTCAATCTTTAACAACTTACAATAATTATCAATTAATTCTGTTCTTGAAACCTGTTCCAGTAGAACATCCAATATTATACCAACATCACAGTAATTTCTAAATGTGTAGTACTTATTGGAATGAAATTATTTGCTTCTTTGATAAAATACAACTGATAGAATAACAAAATTAAGCATCATAAAATATTTACTTACATAATCATGACAATAATTGAGTCCCTTGACTAAATAAGGAATCACTACTCTGATATATTCAAGGTACTACATGTACCTGTAGCCTAAAATTATCTCCCTTAGGTAACCATACCAGTACTAACCTGATATATTTCAGCCACTTCTATCCAGTCTGATGGTAAACTGATAGAGGCACAGTAGTATTTCTTTAAGAATGGTCGGCACAAATCAATATTAGCCGCCATGGCTAACAGAAAGTTTGCTGTTGTTCTTATGTTAAGTTGTTTTCTGGTGTACAGTGCAACCTACAAAAAAAAAATCAAATAAAGGAATGTTGTTGGCTAAAAAAGATGTATTCTGAAATCTTCATGGTTCAATGGTCGACATTTAGTTTTCTTAAAAAGGACAGTTTCTCCGATACCATATGTAATAGGTAACTTTTTCTGTGTATAAAATGATTGTAAGATGTACATGTCAATCTGACCGAGTTCTAAGAAAAACTATAGCTTATTTAAAACCAGTTACTGAAGCAAAAAAATAGTTCAAGGACAATGAACATATGCCTGATGGAAACTTAAGACAGTAAGACATTTGTATATATACAAGATATGTCATACCAACTTAAATAAGAGATTTTATACATCAGCTAGCACTGTCACTGCTCTTGCTTTATCTAGCTTTCTTGGACATTCGTCACAGACAAGAAAAGTAAATTATTCTTTCACAAACTTAGTTAAATCACATTACAATGAATTCAGTCCATGCAATTTTGAATTTATAATAGATTGTCATTCTAATAATTATGAATTAACTCTTAAATAAGTGAGAGAAAAAAACAAGTTTAAGGTGAAAGTAGGATGAGTACCTTTGCAAAAAATAACAAGTAAATGGAAATAAATTAAACTATAAAGTCATATGAGTTTCAATGTTGTATGAGAAATTTTGTCTTCAACAGCAATTATTATATATATAGCTCTTATTGCAATACAGTCATTTTCACTTTTGTTCAGAAGTAAACAAGATGCTTTTCTCAAAATCCAACTTTTTCCAATGCAACAACTTAGATTTCTCATATAATATTTGATGAATTATTCCAACTAAACATTCATCCAAGAAATTCATATTTGCAGCCTCATGAACCATCATTGAAATTCAGTTTTTTTTTAACAAATTATCATAAAAACGTGTAATAGACAGACAGATGGACAATATATAAATAACACATAGCTGAGAGGGTGATAGAGCAGATTGTTACCCAGAGAAAACATTGCAGTGCTCCAGCTAGAAATCAAAAGGGGCAGGGTGCCAGTGGAGGGCAGGGCACTTTTTTATGAATAAGTTGTTGTTTTGATTATTTATTCTATAAAATTTGCATTAGAAAATGTAATTCATACAACATGTTCATAAAACATGTCAATACACATTCATACATCACATCACTATAAACCAATAGAGGCAAATTAACTTACTATTCTCCACCCCCCCCCCCCCCCCCCCCCTTTTTCAAAAAAAAAACAACATAAACTAAACATCTCATAGTTTAGCATACATGTGACAGAGTTGTCTTATTTCAAAATTTTCAGCTAGAGTTTGGCCCTCAAAACTTTTAATCATTGTTTGTGTTAAGGAATTATTTAGTAAAGCTTCATCAAGTTGATGTTATGATAGTTTAACTTCACACTACCCATTTATGTAGGATTGCAGCTTAACATCAACATAACAATTGAACTAATAAATTCCTTAATTGACAATGTATAGAACATGGATTGCTAAAAGTATGATTATCAAAAATATATTGCAATATATTTTTTTTCGTATGTTCAAAGACAGTTAATATCCTTAAGGTAACATTCTTATATAATTTTGTATTCAATTGGTAATTTATTCCTATTTTTAATACTAGATAATATTTTAGGAGCACAAATTTGTAATAAGCTAAAACAGGGGAAGTAACTCCAAAATTAATTTCTAACACGTTTACTGTTTGCTTGTCGCTCACAAGTTGAGATGGACGGCGTTTCTGTGAAGGCAGTATTTTGATGTCTTAAATTCTATTCTAAAGTCATGAAAGTCTTCATTTATACACTCTTCTTGGAGATCGAAAATGCCGACCCAAGCTAAAAACACTCGCTGACACATTCATCAAATTTATGACAAAAAGGTACATTGTCTAAATCAAATTACCTAGTTATTAACACCTTTGAAGTCTTATCCACTGTAATTGATTGTAATGACATGATTAACCTGGGGGCAATCACCTGGTGTCATATATGTAATTTAACTTTGTGATAAGAAATCGATGAAACAAAAGGCAATTTTACCAAAACGTCACAAAGGTTTTTGGGGAAAAGGTGTCAGGGCAGAAGGGCGCGGATGAAGGCACCCAGGGCCCGGCTGAGGGCACCCAGGATGCGGCGCCCTTCTATTTTGGGCTAACGAGACCACTGCATTGTCAACTGAGGCGACTTAGCCAAGGTTGACAATGTCTTTTCGAGGGGTAACAATCTGCTCTATCACCCTCTCAGATATGTGTTATTTAATTTATTATACTGAATATTCTGTTATTACTGTCTATTAAATGTTAAATTCGAAGTAATAAACTATGACGTCGTGTACATAACAATCATCTGTATTTACTAAAGAGCACACTTGAGCGTTTACCATGGGATAGAGTAAATTGTCTCCCTCGTATTAACCAATCAAAATCTGGCATTTTGACATGAAGTATAATAAATCATATTGCCCTATAGCAATACCCTCACTGAGGCTCTGTGGGGGATAAAAAGTTTACCACATATGTAGTTACCTTCAATATAAACTCTGGATCATAAACAACCAAACTCTTTGCCATGTTGGATAGTGTTATTCTAGTATTGTCTACTGAATTTCTAAAATCTGGTTGGCAAATAAGTGAACCACTGACAGCATTGATGAAACCAAGCTAAAATAATAAATTTTAAAATACATGTTAAGCAATGACTTTTTTTCATCACATCAAAAGCACCAGACTATTAGAATTACTTATATATTTCTTTTCCATATGCATTTATAACTATTTCTTTTTACAAAACCAATTTTCTGAATGAACAGTTCATTTCTCAGGCAACTGAAAAGAATTTAAAAACTTTTAAGGGGATTAACTTTATTGAAACATACATACTCAAGTGATTGAGCTGCAACTTCAAAATTGTCTGTTTTAGAGGGTGTAACTCAGTATCCACCAACCCAACCTGACATGAATAGAATCCCTAAACATTTAAGAAAGGGCCAGTGGATGATAATTTCAATCATTCTTTCTGGCAAATGCAAAACAATGCCTAATTTTGACACCAGATATTGTGTAGATATCAATACCTTTATACCATTCACATCATGTAATGGTTTAGAAATAGGTTTCAAACTTGGATCCTGTGCTGGTGATACAAAGTCTGGGATATCAATTCCTTTGTCTTTAATGTCTACTTCCAATTTATACTGTGGTGGTTTGACCTCATATCTAGTTATGGTAGTAACTTTCCCATCATTGTTCATAATCTTCTTTCTTGATTTGACTGCAGAGCGATCATTACTCTTTCTTTTGGTTGTCTCCCTTTTATCTGAGCTCAATTGCCTTGTTAGTGTACTTTGAGTTGAAAAAGCGCTAGAACTGAAGGATGTGACTGGTTCTATTTTTATCGTGACAAGAGGCGAGTTTGACTTCAGTAAATTTGATTGTAAATTTTCCTTAAACACGGAAGAAGTTTGGTCAGTTCTAGTTTCATCACTTCTCAATGAGCTAAGTTTTGATTGGTCAGACTTTGTCAGAAGACTGCTTGTTAATTTGGAGGATGGTCCAAGCCTGCTACTTAAACCTGATGACAAACCAAGTCTACTAGACAAATTGGATGATGTGGTCAAACTGCTAGTCAAATTTGATGACAATCCTGGAGTTCCTGACAATGAAAAACTCGACTTTGTTGGTCCAAGTAATGTATTTTGTAAGGCTGAAGATGTAATCTTTCCACCATTATTTGAAGAATTTTGGTCAAGCCTACTTCTTCCTGAAGTTGTCACAGAAGATGGCTTCTCCATTTTTACCAATCCTGCCGTTAGGCCTAAACCTGAAAAAAAGGTGTATTAATTTATTAGGAAAAGGTAGTGTTGGTCACATTCACACAGAAAAGTTCACATAAATTATTCACTCCTTGTGTAAACAATCATGACCTGAACACACAAAAATATCTTGTTTTTCTTTCAGCTGTAACAGTCAATTTGAGATGAAAAACAGCAATAAAAGCGCTGTTCTTTGATTTTTGTTTTTTTCGCTGTACATATTCTGAATTTGAGCCATAGATGGATACCCCATATCCTTTCTTTTTATTAAGATCTTGTTAGTATTGTTCTTCTGAAATTCTGTCAGCTAAAAATATTTTCTGAATTTTTTAATGCAAGGGATGAGAGGCTTACATACAAATTTAAGTGTCAACACTAAAACATTTTTTTTACGAATAAACAGTAAGCATGTAGAGTTCCTTGAATACAAGACCTGTTCTCTGTCATAATATATGTCTACAACTTCATATATAATACAATGTAACATGATTTTTAATCATCAAATATAATCATATTCAGATTAAAAGAAAAACATTAGCTTAATTATAATACATGTACATAAAATTAGGAACATTGTCATGAAAGAAATTGGTTGTCTTTAATCAAATTCTAATGATTTTGTCCGCTAAAAAATCTGGTGTTATTGCAATTGGCAATCTAGGTTACTCTCGGTTAAACATGGACACAGCTTGTCTTGACTCTGGGCATTTTAGTGCTCAATTTAGAGCTTAAAGAAACAATGTATAGACACTTGACTATGGTTGAAAACAGTGTGTGACTTATTGAGCTTTTGTGTTGTTGGGTTTCTGTATTATTGACTTATATTTCACATACCTTTTTATTCATCTACATGTATAACATTCTAAGGATATTCAGATATTTACGAACAAATTTATGCTGCTTAAATTGGAAATATTTTAATCATTTCCATATTTACAGTATTTTAATTCTTCATGAAAATTACATAATTCAAACTTTTATTGTAAAATTAAAACCAACCAGTTTGGGATGTCAAGTCTGTCTTCAGTGACCATTTCGACATCAATGATGAACTAGTTGATAACATAGACTTATTGTCTCCCATTAGGAGTTTGTTTCTGTCAGTTGACGACATTTCATAATTCTGAAACAGAAAATATGCATATACAAATGTAATTTAGAGTTTTAAAAAATTAATTTATCATGTTTATGCAGATTTTTTATTTGTTCTGTTTTAAATATATAACTGTCAAATACATGTACATGTACTTTACAAACATGTTGCACATATAAAGGCGAAATATAGTTTCGAAGAAAAAACAAAATAACAATAAAACGGACAATCAGGCATCACATCAATGACTCCTTATCATCATGATCAAATAACATCTTTTCTTTACGGATATAAAATGTAACTTTTGTTTGATCTGGTTAGACTTTGTAATCATTTATATTCAAAAGATGTTTATTTAATTATTGTTTACTTAATTGGTACATGTAGTGATTGAGCTATTAGTTATGGTAGATCATGCCTTGGACTAAAATTATCTAGCCCAGATAATGATGTAGAGGGTTTAAAGTCAATAAGGCAATGACGAACAAAGCGTAAAATGCATATTATTCTTTTCCCATTTAGTAGATATTTTTCCAGGTAAGTACTCCAGTATTGCACGATAAAACCAACGAGCTGTGTCCCGCTACGGTGGGGGCATTAAAATATTGATCTTTCCAACAGTGTAAAGTACTAGATGGTTTAACAAACCGTTTATGAAAATATTCATCCCAACTATCATCCATAATTTTCTCTGAAGGAGCAAGTTTTTGACCTTGTTAGTATACATGTTGTTATACATATATTAAAAACAATCTTGTCTCATACCTGTGGTTAAGACAAATAAAGTACATATCAACTTTCTTGACACTAAAGGAGAAGGTCCGGTGAGGGCTAGTTTTGGCCTAAAATTCAAAGTACATCTGATGAAAGATTTTTGACATTTTTTAAACACTTAAGTGTCTACTTCACAGTCTTCACGCTGAACCACAGGCCCAGCAGCCCAGGCTTGTAAAATTGCTCTCGGGCCTGTAAAAATCATCTCTACAGGCCAACAGAATCTAACTAAAATTCTCCAAAAATTAAGTTCCGGGCCTGTAGATTTAAAAGTTCATTGTGAAGACTGACTTCAGTCGATTCAATTAGTTTATGTCAAAGATTTAAAATGAGTTGGTCATTTAAGACGCTCAAATTCAAGCTTTAACATGAAAAATCTATCAATATGCCATGTCACTTATCAGATTGTTTTTGTCTAACATGGAAGTGGCCACATTCGTGTTCAGTCTCAACCCTTATATATGTTATGTATGGTCATCAAATACATATATATTTTAATATAAAGACTGAACACAAATGCGGCCACTTCCATTTTAGACAAAAACCGTCTTAAAATTAGCACAAATGCTAAAATTGTGACAATTCAGGAATTTTGCATGAATTTATGATGCTAGTACCTGATAAATGTGCACTGTATTGTCAGAAACAGCCCATATTTATGGAACATAAGTATTCTACATTCCAATAAATAGCTAAAAGTTTACATTTCAACAAATTTGTAAAAATGCTATATTTTGGGGCCAAAAAGGGGTCTTACCGGGCCTACTCCCTTGTCTCCTTATTGCTTCTTGGTGTTTCTTGATTATAATGTTCAACAAATTTGAAAGCAGATTGTTGTGTTATATTTGTCTTTTAATTATTTTAATACTGGTTAATAAAATCAGAATAGGGTGTACTGGCTGGTCATTATCGTGTATGTTACGTTTTTGTGCATGCCTACTGATCTATTGAATATGCATGACTTGATAGATAAGCATGTGACGTGTAGCCAAAACTGAGTTGTAGATTTGTAGCGTAAATGTATATAAGTAGTTTTGAGAATACAATATAATGGTATAAGGTTGTTCTGGCCCCAAGTCAATTGGGCCCAAGTCGTTCCAGCCCCATAATAAAATAATGTTATTACACCAGTTGAAAAGATTATCAAGATCAATTACAGTCATATGAAAAATTGCTAATTAATGTTGACTAAGGATTGCACCAACTTCTGTTATATTTATTCTGTACATATTCTTCAATTTTGGATCCTCTACGGCATTCAACGCTTTTTGATTTAAGCGACACTGACAAACAAATTTATAACTTCTAATAATATTGAAATCAACATAAATGCTATTCATGCTATATACTGCATTATCACACGTTTTGTACTAATATGTACGTTTTTGCATGGTCAATATTGCCGGAAGTCAAGGTTGGTTATTTGCCCTTGGGACCAATATCGATATTAGCCCTCGAAAATCCATATTGTGCCCCCGACTTTGACTTTCGGTAACCTGTCAATCAATAACTATTTATAAGGTTGGTTATTTGCCTTCGGGGCCAATATCGATATCAGCCCTGGAAAACCCATATCATGCCCCTGAATTCGACTTCCAGTAACCGGTTAATCAAAAACATCATTATCAATTCACTGTGATACATTTTTTAAATTTTTTTCTTCAAATGTTTTTTTGAATTTTTGTTGAAAATATTAAACATTATACATTTATTTCCCCGTGCCAGAGGGAGATATGAAGATTTGTTCACCCAAGAATATTCATATTTCACAAGGGCTCTGCCCGAGGGAAATATGATTTTTCGAGGGTGAGCAAATCTTCATATCTCCCGAGGCAAAGGGAAATGAATGTTTTATTCCACTGCCTATGCTTTGTTTACTATCAATACATTAAATATTATTTTGCATACATTTTTTTTCTTATCCGCTTGTTTTCGTAAGTCAAATTAAACACGACATACCTATTGATAAACAGTATAAGGATCAAAATTTAATTATAAGTCTTTTTGTTTTTGGCGTAACGTCGCACGAAGTAATCCCGACATTTCAGAGGAGAATATGATCTTCAGAATGGAATATGAAGATTTGTTCAATGACACGTGGGATAGTCTCAACCAATCAAATATTGATTAAACTATCAATATGTTTAAACAGTGGAATAAAAACACAAATGCGGCCACTTCCATTTTAGACAAAAACCGTCTTAAAATTAGCACAAATGCTAAAATTGTGACAATTCAGGAATTTTGCATGAATTTATGATGCTAGTACCTGATACATGTGCACTGTATTGTCAGAAACAGCCCATATTTATGGAACATAAGTATTCTACATTCCAATAAATAGCTAAAAGTTTACATTTCAACAAATTTGTAAAAATGCTATATTTTGGGGCCAAAAAGGGGTCTTACCGGGCCTACTCCCTTGTCTCCTTATTGCTTCTTGGTGTTTCTTGATTATAATGTTCAACAAATTTGAAAGCAGATTGTTGTGTTATATTTGTCTTTTAATTATTTTAATACTGGTTAATAAAATCAGAATAGGGTGTACTGGCTGGTCATTATCGTGTATGTTACGTTTTTGTGCATGCCTACTGATCTATTGAATATGCATGACTTGATAGATAAGCATGTGACGTGTAGCCAAAACTGAGTTGTAGATTTGTAGCGTAAATGTATATAAGTTCTGCCCGAGGGAAATATGATTTTTCGAGGGTGAGCAAATCTTCATATCTCCCGAGGCAAAGGGAAATGAATGTTTTATTCCACTGTCTATGCTTTGTTTACTATCAATACATTAAATATTATTTTGCATACATTTTTTTTCTTATCCGCTTGTTTTCGTAAGTCAAATTAAACACGACATACCTATTGATAAACAGTATAAGGATCAAAATTTAATTATAAGTCTTTTTGTTTTTGGCGTAACGTCGCATGAAGTAATCCCGACATTTCAGAGGAGAATATGATCTTCAGAATGGAATATGAAGATTTGTTCAATGACACGTGGGATAGTCTCAACCAATCAAATATTGATTAAACTATCATTATGTTTAAACAGTGGAATAAAATCTGATATATGCTTTCTTTTCTCTCCAGCTTGAAAATATGTGATAAATAGATTATAACATGTCATTTACCATATTGGCCCTGGTATCAGCCCTCGACCTATACCAAGCCCTCGGGATAAAGCCCTCTGGCTTGATAAGGGAGTCTAGGGCTGATACCAGGGCCAATATGGAAAATGCCATGTAATAATCTATAATAATCACCCCTATTCATTCAAGATGATAAATAATTTTAATATACATATTTTACTTTAAAAAATAAAATATTTCAATATGAAATCAGTCTAAATATTTTAAATATTAAAAACAATATTTGAATAAATGTCTCTTCTAATGAAAATTAAATATTTGAGAAGCATCAAAGGCACAATCTTTGATCATCCACCTTTGCTATTGTTTATAAAATTCATTAATATTTATGAAGTATATGTCAAAAGTCTGCACCAAAATCTTTTTCATCTACTAATCGGAAGACCAATATTCAGACATTTTTCTTAAATGTCAAAACAAAGTTTCGTAAATACTTACTAGTCCAAATAAAATTTTACTAGTCTGGGGCATCGGACTAGTGGCTACCGATACAGACTGTGTCAAATACATGTAATTCTTATCCCTTTTTTGAATTTTGGCCAGATCAGCTTTAAAATGTGACCCAAATCGACTTGCGGCCAGATTGACATGAAAGATATATAGTTATATACTTTTATATAATATAGTCAAAAATTATATTAAGCCAAGCATGTAAAACACGGATCTAATAGTTGTCTTATTGACATATATCCACAATTTATTGAATTGAAGATATTCATGCAACTAGGCTGCTTTAAGTCTAATTCGACATCGTTAAATAGTAAAAAAACAAGCAAAACATACTAACCCACCATCAATCAACTGCAAAAATTATAGATAAGATGTGCTTCAGTACTGAGTAGTACGATTTGAAACTAAATTGTTAGAACAACTGCTAACATAAAGAGCAACTTATATTTACCAAGCAAGAAGTATCGAGAAAAATGGTATTTCACAACGATTTCACCACCCGTGCTTGTGCTGACAGGACATTTTCCTAAACCGAAAGTCTGCAGTCTAAACAATCATTCGGGTCACTCAGTTGGGCTTCGTATTTAAGGAACGAGCCACCCGAGAAGCACCGAGTGAACAAACATCGATCAGGACACATTATCAAATACATCATTGCATAGAATTAAATCATATACCGTTTAACTTAATTTTAATAAGAAAATAAAATATAAGTGTTCAAATGAAATATAACGATCAATTTGTCGTTCTTGTCAAATAATTTTGTGGAATACTCCTAGGGTTTGCTGCTTGTGTTTTAGGGTGTCCTTTTAATTCCCGCCATTTCTGATCACATTGTTCCCGTATTTTTGCAGTTTAATTGTCGTTATAATTTTATAGCATATTGAAAGTATGCCTGGTATTGGTGATGATTGGATTAACAACCCATTGGCTATAATACAAAACATCATAGGTAAATCATATATGACATATATTGACAAACACAATTTTATAAAATAGAACATGTAACCATATACTATAGTCTAGATGTATAAACCTTATACATAAATGATGTAACAGTAGTCAGTACATGTTTTGTTTTCTCACAATCACATGCATATACTCGTACTAGGGGTTAGCTGTAGCTCTTCTTGTCCAATTGACATAATTTTTTTTACCATTTTCAGACAATCGAGCTACAGATTATTCCTATGATAAAACGTTCGGAATTGCAACCCATAGGTTTAGGTGTCACTTAATTATTTCCATAAATTCCACTGCTTTTGTTGAATCACCTGTGGATAATTGGTCATTGTATATAGTTCTCCTTGTTAGATAATTTTCTATATCACATAGTCTGCTCCGTTATTAGCTACTAGTCTAATGTCTGACCCTGTGGAATGCTAGAAAAAGCAATAAACAGACTTAACCTTGCTTATGATATTTATTGAAAGAATGATAACAATATTGTATGAAACAAATATATTTTATTGAAATTTCTAGTTTGTTTCTCAAAAAGTCGTGAAATTCCAAAGCCTTTTCACATCAATCTACACTGATCTGATCCAGATTGTTCATTAGCCATTTTCTTCCATTTAGAGCCAGGGTAAATCTGATATCCACGATGTCTGAAATTCTCACTTCCGTTTATTTTTAGGCAGTTAAGCTGCCTTATGCTAGCACCCTAGATTTGTGTTCTTACTAACGAATGCTGAAAAAAGTGCCATTGTTGTAATCTAGCAGGCTAATATGTTATTTATAACTAATTGGACATTTTGTTCATTCTTTTAATTCTGGAATACAAAAAATATGACCAGAATAACCTTAAATGATCGTCGAACGACGCATAATATTTGAAGTTGCACATAGGAAATAGTGCTCAATAGAAATCTGTACGTAGTTTATTATCCCCTGTGCTTTTGGCTAAGATGGCAAAGAACAATTGTATGAAATATTTCATCGCCGAAAATCTGTAATTACAAGTCGTTTATATTTCCCAAATGGCAAAATGCGCAGGAATATTGTTCATGTACACCAAATCTCTATGATAGAGGGAATAAAGTTATATATAGTACACATGTAGTCTAAGTTGGCGGTAATTTTAACTTACAGGAAACGTAAGTTCGTTTGATTCTGATGATATAAAGTCCGATTAAGCGAAAGTACTCTTAATCATGATATTCTTTTAGTTTAAGAAGATTGTGATTATTTAATTGATTTCAATTAAATGTATGCACATTTAAATTCCTTTCTTTTATTAAATTATTCCGTTTATCACTGAACTTGTTGTTATTTTATGAATGAAAAACCGGAAATCGACGTAATCAATGTCGACCAATCAGGTCGATGTTTAAAGAAATGCAGAATAACTCGTCCCAGAGACAAGTCGGACCGTCTAAGAAAACAACTCGGACCCCTTGTCAGATTAACTTAGGGTTTCATAAAATGTAAGACTAACATGTCTAGCGGAGCCATCAATCTTTCGTTTGTGCATTGGGAACTATTTAGGGGTATTTTGAGGGGCCTAAAGAAGGGAGGGGTTTACTGTAGAACCCTATGGGATTTTATTTTCAAATGACTATTTATACTCGAAAACAGTAAGTGATAGACACGCGTGGTCTTCAGTAATGAGAACAGGACAATGAAACAAATCAAATAAAATATAGGGTGAGTCCCTGGGGGTCATCCCACCCCCCTTCAATTTGAAAATGTTCTTTTATCTTGTAAACGGTCGCGATCCCCACCCCTAAACCATATATATACTTGTATGGGACAATAAAACAAATCAAATGAAAATTTGGGGGAATCCCTGGCGTCACCCCACCCCCTTCTGTTTCAGAACTTGTAAACGTTCGATATCCCCACCCCTAAACCATATATATTCATGTATGGGACAATATAACAAATTAAATGAAATATAGGGGGAGTCCCTGGGGTCACCCCACCCCCTCCTGTTTGAGAACTTGGAAACGGTCGAGATCCCCACCCCTAAACCATATATATTAATGTATGGGACAATATAACAAATCAAATGAAATATAGGAGGAGTCCCTGGGGTCACCCCACCCCCTATTGTTTGAGAACTTGTAAACGGTTGAAATCCCCACTCCTAAACCATATATATTGATGTATGGGACAATATAAAAAATCAAATGAAATATAGGGGGAGTCCCTGGGGTCAACCCACCCCCTCCTGTTTGAGAACTTGTAAACGGTCCCCACTCCTAAACCATATTTATTCCTGTTTGTCATTTCAAAATAATTTGAATGATATACAGGGTCAATCTCCTAGGCGTCACATTATGTGACATATGCATATCACTTTACTAGACCAAACCAATGTGTACTGGACTTTGCCCAATGTCAGGCGACCATGGGAATGACGAATTATGGGAGCTTTGTTTGGGAGACTTCGTAACAGCATCCTGTTACAATTATTTCTTGTTTATTATAAAATTTTATTGATGCAAAAAATGAGTCTAGGTAAATTGAATTTACTTTAATTATTTTTTGAATTATTTCTGGGCCTATAAAAATTTTCATTTATGGCTCATTTTAAAGATAACATATAAATCTTTCAAGCAGTGTAAAGCCCAAGAATGTTTGACCAATTGTTTTATTTGACCGGAGAACCTGAGATCACCCCCAGTTTTTGGTGGGGTTCGTGTTGCTTAGTCTTCAGTTTTCTATGTTGTGTCATCTGTACTATTATTTGTCTGTTTGTCTTTTTATTTTTGGCCATGGCGTTGTCAGTTTGTTTTCGATCTATGAGTTTGACTGTCCCTCTGGTATCTTTCGTCCCTCTTTTATAATCACCTGTGATTTTATTCCAGACTTGGTATGGAGTGATATCACGGACTTGTGGTGAAGGGGGGGGTCATTTACATTTACTATGGTCAGGGCAGTCAGACCTCACCTTTGATCCCTGTAGTAGTAAACATTTGTCTGATTTGTGTCTCATAACTTTTGTACTGTAGAACCCAAACACAGTGTTCCTTCCAGGGAAGCAAGTCCATTCATACAATTACGTCAACTTGTACCACTAAAAGTCAACTGGTACCAACGTTAACTACCAACTAAAACACCTGCAATCATTGCGAACTTGTACCACTGCAGACTCACCATTAAAAATATACATTGATATATGCGTTGCTTTAGAAAACCTTGATAAAATATTAATTAATTTGCCTTAATAATCAATTCATTAAATAAACATAAATGTACAATATACGAATGTTTAATGTTTGTTCTTTCAAATCTGAAAAAAAAATTTGAAGCAACACTGCCACAGTTTTCATAATGATTACGTTTGCCTTGGTTTTTGGTTAACTGCCTGCAGCGCTTACAGTGCTTTGATTTATACTCCTTGTCCTTCGCCTGCGTTTTACGTTTTTTACTTGACTCTCCCCTCTTTTTGTCTCGATTGCCTGGTGTTTTTATTAAGTAGTAGTACAAAATGTATTTAGCCATCTAGATACATAATCTAAATAACACTTCCGTTAAATGATGGATAAAACCTAATAGACGTTCCCGGGTCAATGGACAAAGATGACGAAAGGTTTAAATGACCCAGGTTCGCATAATTATTTTTTTAATTTGGTTATCGATCTATTTCCGCTGTTATTTAATATTTATCGTCATGAACATTGATGTTTTGACTTAGATATATGTTTTTTACTTGCTGGGCAACCCAGACAAAAAAATTACTTGTGGGGGAATTCAAATAAATGAGTCGGGCATAGCATTTCCACACCACTGTCAAAGGACATATTAGTTGCTTTTCCCCATTAAGATGTTGACATGGTATAAAATGACCAATGGTTATGTGGCTGGTTATGACATTAGTTAAGAACATGAAAAGGTGTAGCAAAAACAATGCACCTTCTTTGTGGTAAATTACTTTAAATTTTGCTGCACAAATTTAATCAAGCTACTTATCATGCTTATTTAAGGACCTTGACTTGGCTTGAGCTGTAATTGTTTATATTCCTAAAAATCCTTGGATTTGAAATTACATACATACATATGGTATAAAATCTGATTTGAATCTTGTCAAAATGAGGCATTATAAAAATTGCTTGATGTAATTAACCATATTGTAAGTCATATTTAAATGTTTTTTCTCCAAGATAAGATGCATGATTGTATGTCAACCCAGGGTATAAAGATTACCATTTCCCGTTTCCCGGGGAAAGTAAATTATTATACGGAAAAGTGACATTGCAGTTGCTAATATCCCGTCGGGAAAGTCGTTTTCCGGTAAATAAATAAAATAATTTGTCCCTATTACTTGTTTAAATGTCAAAATACTTCTGTAAGATCATCTGAGCGTCAAATTTCCATGATTTCATCACATTTTTACGCGATTTACATGTGTGCCTTTTGGTATTTAGTTAGATCGTTAGTGGACTGGTTTAAATTTACGATATCTGGTTTGTAGCACGGGAACCAGTTTGTAAAGATAAGATACATGATTGTATGTCAACCAAGGGTATAAAGATTACCATTTCCGGTTTCCCGGGGAAAGTAAATTATTACACGGGAAAGTGACATTGCAGTTGCTAATATCCCGTCGGGAAAGTCGTTTTCCGGTAAATAAATAAAATAATTTGTCCCCATTACTTGTTTAAATGTCAAAATACTTCTGTAAGATCATCCGAGCGTCAACTTTCCATGATTTCATCATTTTTTACGCGATTTACACGTGTGCCTTTTGGTTTGTAGCACGGGAACCAGTTTGTAAATATTGCGGACGCTCAGAAAATGAGCTTGCATAAATACTTTTACATTTCAATCACTAAAAGAAAAACAGAATACGATGTCTATTGCTTATAGTATATAAATTTTAAAAAGTCACACAAAATTATCATAATCAGTTGACATGTTAAACCCTTAAAAGTATGCTCAGATTGCAGGATTTTGCATCTTAAATTTCAAAAATTTCTTGGGGGGGAATGCCCCTAAACCCCCTAACAAATTCGATCCGCTTCGCGGGTCTCAACCGGGGAATGTGGATTTGCACACGGTAAGTGAATTTTTTTTTATCACTTTCCCTTGGGTAAGTGGCCTGCCAAAAAATTCTTTATGCCCTTCAACCTCCAGCATGGTCTAGGTGTCTTGATCAATTTTGTGATGGGTATGTATCGAATGGAAATATACCCCACCTATGCATATTCATAAGTCTAGAGCTACTGCAATATAATAATGTATGCCTAAAATATGGGGTTTTATAAAAACTGTTGGCAATCATACCACATCTAATTTTTTATATCAATAGATTTTATATACAGTGTATTGACATGTAACAAGTTATTATTTTTGACTAACAATTTATCCAGACTCCATTTTGTATACTTTCAGATAACAAACAAAATGATAATGGTGTTAAAGATTACTTCAGCAGTAAGATGCAAACAAACTATGCCATGAGTTGGGTAAGTTAGGGAGGTTAAATTTTTTATCATGAGTTGGGTTAGTTAAGTGGTGAAATCTTTTTGCCTTGAGTTGGGTATTTTTAAGGAGGTTGAAACCAGAGCTTCCAAAACGGTCATATTTTCCGGACTTGTCCGATAAATTATATAAATGACTTGTTGTGTCAAAGCTGAAACGAACATTTTAATAACATATTTCAGAAAAATAATTTGAAGTTCATGCAATCTTCTCAGTTTTGACCTCAACTTTTGCCTTTAAACAGACACACATTTCCGGTCATAAAAGTGACATGATGAATAGTTACTATCAAAACACACCCTTCTTAAATACCCTCTCATTACAATCAAGGCTAATTAGTTCCCTGACAGCTTAATTTACCTGTTCAGGCGACAGGTAAACTATTTAGTACCGGACATTGATCAGTCTAATAAAAGTTATTTTCTTAAATTTCAGCGGTTTGCATCTAAATATCATTGTCAACAAGATTCATGTTACCAGAAAACATATATAAATATTATTTGATGAAAATTTAAAAAGGTAGTTGTAAAGGTTTTAAGTGAAAAATCGTCAGAACCACGTTGTTTAAACTAGTACATTTGTGCGCAGGTGCGAGATTTATTTATGCATCCGATTTTTATTTTGCGGTCGTATATTGGTATGACGTTGGCGTCGTCGTCCGAAGACACATTGGTTTTTGCACTCTAACTTTAGTTTAAGTGAATGGATCTCTATGAAATTTCACCATAAGGTTCAATACCACAAAAGGAAGGTTGGGATTGATTTTGGGGGTTATGGTACCAACAGTTAAGAAATTAGGGGCCAATAAGGGGCCAAAAATAAGCATTTTTGTAACTTCCAGACATAACTTGTGTGTTAGTGTATGGATCTCTCTGACATTGTACCACAAGGTTCCATATCACAAAGGGAATGCTGGGATTGATTTTGGGGGTAATTGCCTCCAAATTCTAGGAATTAGGGGCCAAAAAAGGGGCAAAAAACAAGCATTTTTCTAGTTTCATGACAATAACTTGTGTGTAAGTGTATGGATCTTTATGAAATTGTACTACAAGGTTCCATATCACAAAGGGAAAGCTGAAATTGAGTTTGGGGGTAATTGCCCTAAACGTTTAGGAATAAGGGGCCAAAAATAAGCATTTTTCTAGTTTCCAGACAATAACTTGTGTTCAAGTGTATGGATCTCTCTGAAATTGTACTGCAAGGTACCATACCACAAAGAGAAGGCTGGGATTGATTTTGGGGGTAATTGCCTTAAAATTTTAGGAAAAAGGGGCAAAAAACAAGCATTTTCTAGTTTCAGGACAATAACTTGTGTGTAAGTGTATGGATCTTTATGAAATTGTACTACAAGGTTCCATATCACAAAGGGAAAGCTGAAATTAAGTTTGGGGGTAATTGCCCTAAACGTTTAGGAATAAGGGGCCAAAAATTAGCATTTTTCTAGTTTCCAGACAATAACTTGTGTTCAAGTGTTAGGATCTCTCTGAAATTGTACAGCAAGGTACCATACCACAAAGGGAAGGATGGGATTGATTTTGGGGGTAATTGCCTTAAAATTTTAGGAAAAAGGGGCAAAAAACAAGCATTTTTCTAGTTTCAGGACAATAACTTGTGTGTAAGTGTATGGATCTTTATGAAATTGTACTACAAGGTTCCATATCTCAAAGGGAAAGCTGGGTTTCAGCAGACCAACCCAAACATCGTCGGACCGCAGGTCATGCATGACCTGTAAAAAACTTGAAGGTCCGCCACCATCCTGTGAACTACAGGACCTCCTGTCCTGTACATTTTTTGCAGCATACAGTTTTAAAATTGGGAAAAATGTGTTGCTATATTAAACACAAAATATTGTTTTTCTCCCGAGATCAATGAAAAACAATTAATTAATTAAATATTAATAAGGATCGCGGACATACCCTAGTCATATTTATAGATATATATGGGCAGCACAAATAGTAAACCAATGAGAATGCAATAATATGAAAAGCAGCCAATGAAATCACGCTTCTATTGACACACGGCGAGATTTTCTTGTCAACTATTTTATGCATTCCCTGAAAATCGTCATTTCTAATGTGACTTCTTTTTTTAAAAAAACATTATCAGTCAGACGATTTTAAGGCTCACTGGCTTGTCCCCTACTGCCTAAATAAAGGCAACAGTAGTATACCGCTTTTCGAAACTCGTAAATCGATAGAGATAAAAACAAATCCGGGTTACAAACTAAAACTGAGGGAAACGCATCAAATATAAGAGGAGAACAACGACACAACAAAAACACAACATTAAAATGTAACACACACAGAAACGAACTATAATATAACAATGGCCATTTTCCTGACTTGGTACAGGACATTTTAAGAATAAAATGGTGGGTTGAACCTGGTTTTGTGGCATTCAATTTGAATATTTTGAAGATTTTGTATCTCGATTGTCATGTCCTTTGTGTCAGTTTCCGGCATTTCTTTTTTCCCTGGTTCATTACACATGCGCCCGAAACACATGTTGTAAACAATAACATGAGTTTCCTCCATTTTTATGATAAGACTGTGCCTGGTCAAAAAACAGAAGGCCGATGATCAAAGTACAGCACACCAAAAAAAGTTGAGACAAACTCAAATAAAATACTAGATTATGCCAAAGAGGAATAAATCTAAATAAAGTCTTAAAAAATGAAGTTTTATGCAATGTGATTAAACATGCAAAAGTGTAGTACGAGATAGTAGTTTTGGTTATTTCATTTATCATAGTCAAAGCACTCAGAATGAAGGATTTTGCATCTAATTTTTCAAAATTATTCAGGGTGGCATGCTCCGGGACATCCCTAGCAAGTTTGCAGCGCGAAGCGCTGTTCACCTGTAATGATTAGTAGGTCCTGTAACAGGAAGGAAGGTCCAGTAAAAAATAGTTGTTACTGGACCTCCTGACCTGTTAAAACAATTTAAGTTTGGCTAGGTCTGAAACAGTTTGAGTTTGAGTGTAATTGCCCTAAACATTTAGGAATTTGGGGCCAAAAAGGGGCCAAAAAATAAGCATTTTTCTAGTTTCCAGACAATAACTTGTGTTCAAGTGTATGGATCGCTCTGAAATTGTACTGCAAGGTACCATACCACAAAGGGAAAGCTGAGATTGAGTTTGGGGGTGATGAATCATAAGGGGGTTCAAAAAATTTTTTCCTTTTTTTTCTTTAAAATTTTCCATTTTAAATTGGTTATTTCTGATTTATATATAAAAGCAAATAATAATGATATGGTTTAAATAGGTAAATTAAAAAAATTTAAGTTCTTAGACCACATTCATTCTGTGTCAGAAACCTATGCTGTGTCAAATATTTAATTACAATCCAAATTCAGTGCTGTATCAAGCTTGAATGATGTGTCCATACTTGCCCCAACTGTTCAGGGTTCAACCTCTGCAGTCGTATCAAGCTGCACCCAGCGGAGCATTTTATTCAAAAATGCTAAAAATATCATTGATACCTTTATCTAACATTAATTTCGAGTTTTTCCTATAGATATAATATGGAAAGAGATACTTGAATAACTCAATCGTGCTTTGAAAGGTACACGGATTTTACGTATCCGTCTCTGGTCTGTGTTTTACCATTGTCAAGTCAACATCCGGTATGAGGAAAATGTACTTTTCAAAAACTAAAGTGAAGTTATGACAGCGTTATTTTGCACAAATAAAGAGTCTTAGGCAGATATTAAGTAGCTGATGTTGCACACTTCTAATGGTGCACTGTAGATATAACAGTTTACATCAGAACATCGAAATTTATATTAAAAAAATCAAGTCAAATACCGTTTTTGTGTCAATCATAATTCATATGATGCTGAACTGATTACTATGGTTTTCTTTTGTTACTAAGTCTTAAGGGATAAAAATCGGGATGAGACAAAAAAAATGTCCGGCTGGCTCAAATATTTTTTGGAAGCCCTGGTTGAAACTTTGAATGTAATATTAGAATTATGCCTGCAAACATTTTATTATGGTGAGAAAATGTACATTGCATGAGTTGTTAAGGTGTGACGGCATGAGTTACATGAATTTACAGTAAAATTGGGTTATAAAGTACAAATGTATTTAAAAAGGACAGATAACCTGATTTTCAATATGATTTGTCAGGTATGAATGAATTATCCAATTGATGACAAGCATCATGGACCTTCTTCATGGGTAGAATTGTTGCATAAAAGAATATTATTAAATTTTCAGGTACCAAGTCTGAATGATACTCCCCTACATACACTGAAACCAAACTCTTTAGTAAGATTTAGATGTATGGTACAGGATATATACGATCCAGAATTCTACCTTGGACTCTATCAGGTGAAGGATTTAGAAACATCGACAGTAACACAGAAATCAGGGATGTATAAAGACATTGCAGACTGTTCTGTAAGTAGGTGAATAGATATAAGAAGATGTGGTATGAGTGCCAATGAGACAACTCTCCATCCAAGTCAAAATTTATAAAAGTAAACCAATATAGGTCAAAGTATGGTCTTCAACACAGAGCCTTGGCTCACACCGAACAGCAAGCTGTAAAGGGCCCCAAAAATTACTAGTGTAAAACCATTCAAACGTGAAAACCAATGGACTAATCTATATAAAAAACGAGGAAACACTTATGAACGACAACTACTGAACATCAGATTCCTGACTTAGGACAGGAAGGCTGTAATGTTGTATTCCTTAAAATTCATAACATTCTCCACTATAAAAAAATATCATAATGTTATTATTATGAGAAGATCTTGGTGGCCATCCCCTCTTTATACATATTGATCTGGAGCCTTTAGCAGTAGAGATTCCTGTTATTTGTCAATATCTAGAATTTGGACAAATATGGTGTCTTAAAATTTTACAATTTCTTGCTGTTATTGAACTATCTCGGCATAAATTTTAAAAGTTTGCAGTTAAGCTGAATTTGCTTTTACATACCTTTAATTAAAGAAAATGTAGAACAAGACCTACTTCTGGTTTCAATAGTGTTGCATGCAGCTCAGTGCACATTCATGCTTATATGTATATATGCTTTACTAAAGAAGCAAAACAAATAAATAAAATACCTCGGAATTTTTACAGTGAAAATGAATAAACCAGCTAACAGCAGATAAAATTGTGACTTGTTTTGAATCAATTGTTTAGCTAAAATGTGGTCAGCATGGTGACATTATAATTCTTTTATATATGTATCTTTACCATTTTTGCAGAAATCACAACAGATAGATGTAGAATCCAGTGACAATGTTACTATGGACAGACAAACAATATATTGTGTACCAATACCAGGGGAGACAACATGGGTAAAAGAGGTAGGGTTTTAAAATAAAGTGGTAACAGGCATTATGATCCTTATGAAATGCATTTTAGACTTTCCTGAAATAACATATATTATAATTTTCCTTAATGCAAAATATATGTTATTGGATGATATTTTGGAACTGCATCTGTATTTATCAGTATACAATCACATGTTCAAATTGCAGATTAATAAAGCCTTTGATAATATTACATGTGCTTTTGCCTCAATACTCTGGATCTAAAAATTGACAACTGGTACGATTTGAAGGCTCCTTTTTTTGCCTGAAAGGACTGAAGATATGTAAAGCAGGACTTTGATGCATATTTCTCAAACACAAAAATTGATGTCATGTAAAAAAAAAAGTTTTACACCCCTTTCCCCGTTTGATGTCCCATATCTTCTACATGCAAGCTTGTTGAAATCCTACAATTTATCCCGACTCGGATGTTGGATTTTTAATGAAAAACAACGTTGTTTTATCAACAATTCAATTTATAGGAGCAACAGAATGTGTTTTCTTAGTGGTAAGCACTAGACCACGATATAGTTTTACATGAAATAGTAAATGAACCATCTCATTGGTGGGGGTGTCCATTTTTATCTCACCTGACCTGAAAGGTCAAGTGAGCTTTTCTCATCACTTTGCGTCCGTCGTCCGTAAACTTTTACAAAAATCTTCTCCTCTGAAACTACTGGGCCAAATTTGACCAAACTTGGCCACAATCATTATTGGGGTATCTAGTTTAAAAAATATGTCCGGTGACCCGGCCAACCAACCAAGATGGCCGCCATGGCTAAAAATAGAACATAGGGGTAAAATGTAGATTTTGGCTTATATCTCTGAAACCAAAGCATTTAGAGCAAATCTGACATGGGGGTAAAATTGTTTATCAGGTCAAGATCTATCTGCCCTGAAATTTTCAGATGAATCGGACAACCCGTTGTTGGGTTGCTGCCCCTGAATTGGTAATTTTAAGGAAATTTTGCAGTTTTTGGTTATCTTGAATATTATTATAGATAGAGGTAAACTGTAAACAGCAATAATGTTCAGCAAAGTAAGATCTACAAATAAGTCAACTTGACCAAAATGGTCAGTTGACCCCTTAAGGAGTTATTGCCCTTTATAGTCAATTTTTAACCATTTTTCGTAAACTTTTGTAATCTTTTACAAAAATCTTCTCCTATGAAACTACTAAGACAAATTTAACCAAACTTGTCCACAATCATCATTAGGGTATCTTGTTTAAAAAATGTGTCCAATGACCCTGCCCGCGAACCAAGATGGCCGACATGGCTAAAAAATATACATAGGGTAAAATGCAGTTTTTGGCTCATATCTCTGAAACCAAAGCATTTAGAGCAAATCTGATGAGTATAAAATTGTTCATTAGGTCAAGATCTATCTGCCCTGAAATTTTCAGACCAATCAGGCAACCCGTTGTTGGGTTGCTGCCCCTGAATTGGTGATTTTAAGGAAATTTTGCCGTTTTTGGTTATTATCTTGAATATTATTATAGATAGAGATAAACTGTAAACAGCAATAATGTTCAGCAAAGTAAGATCTACAAATAAGGCAACATGACCAAAATCGTCAATTGACCCCTTAAGGAGTTATTGCCCTTTATAGTCAATTTTTTACAATTTTCATAAATTTTGTAAATTTTTGTAAATTTTTATAAGTATTTTCCACTGTAACTACCGGGCCAAGTTCATTATAGATAGAGATAATAGTAAGGAGCAAGAATATTCAGTAAAGTAAGATCTACAAACACATCACCATCACCAAAACACAATTTTGTCATGAATCCATCTGTGTCCTTTGTTTAATATGCACATAGACCAAGGTGAGCGACACAGGCTCTTTAGAGCCTCTAGTTTAAATGAAACGAAAAAAAGTTTTGACTCTTATAACTGTCAATTGTATATATAACCATGCTTATAGTATCTAAGTTTTAAGTAAACAATTTTTACACTTTTGAAAAATATTTCAACTGAATTTGTTCATTATAGACATATGCTGACAAAGCAGGTGTCAAAGTTCAACCATCAATGTCACATGTTCCAGTAAGAAATAAACGTTCATTGGATGAAGAATCAGAAGATGTTGCTATGGAGACTTCAGAACCAAGTGCAAATACAGAATCCTGTGATGCAGCAGAATCAAAGAGGACGAGAACAGAAAACACACAAGGTATTTCTACACTGGAATGTAGGGGTTATGTGAACACCAATTGTTTTGCATATGAAATTGTTAAAAAAAAACAGAAATTTTCTTTCCAAATTATGTTTATGTTCATGAAAATTGAATTGTGGTGATATAATCTGGTCACTTTAGTGTAGAAATGTCTTTTTTGATGTCGCTGCAAAATCACAAACATCTGGAAATAGACCTAAATGGCAATTTTTAGCATACCGTAGAAAGGCTTGTATAGTCCGCGGTTTTATTCTCCAAAATTGGACCTTCCAGACGGGGTGCGGACTATAGAGTACAATAAGCAAGAAATAAGAGAAAAATTTCAATTTCGCGGGCGAGGTGGTTTGTTTACGTTCCGCCATCTTTGTTATTATAATTGTAGAGGGCGCTCTTATCATTTTTCAAACTAATAATTTTAACTCATCCATATTAATAAGTTATTTCTATTCAATATCAAATTAATACTGATAAATATAAAAACTAAACCTTTCATTACAAATTTCTCGTTTCTTTTCAATGCATTGGTTGAAATAAACTGGTATCTGCTTGATTGAAACGATACAAACATAGTGAAAAAGACAACCGTAAACCAGCTTAGAATTTGTAAACTACAAAACGTAATCGGTTATTGTTTGTTCCGTTTTGGTGTTTCATACTGACTAATATGGTTTGTATTAGCTTAAGACCCTTCAAACATTAATGTGATAGATATATTAAAGACTGTTTTACAAAAGGATGGAACTGTTTTACTTTCAAAGTCGTATTATAGTGATATCTGTTATGTACGGATTTCGACTCTCACCGGTTAGTTTCTTCTTTTACACGTGCTTTTTAAGCTTCTGTTTGATGATGGAAAACAGGTTTTTCCAAGAAAATACTGCAAACGACCGCACAGGATTTGAAATTACCGGAGTTTCATTAGACCTTTTCTAACAGTTACAAAAAGTTTTTTTACCTAAAATTTCGTGGGGAGAAGGGGGTGCGGACTATGTACCAGTGCGAACTATACAAGCCTTTCTACGGTAGTTTTTTGTAAAATTAATTATGATCAACAGCCTACCTCAAAAAGATATTTTACTCACTATGCATGTTTGAAAGAGATCATTTGGCCAAATATTTTATTGGAGGAGACTGTTGCTTATATCTAAATATGAATAACAAGATCTCAGATGAGACAAACACAAAAAGTTTAAACACCTAAAGCATATGCAAGGCTCAAGTCCAAAAATATATCTGCTAATATGTGACAGACCTATGTTTTGAAAAAATTTGGAGGGTGTTAGTTGATATTTTAATTTCTTTTGATAGAAGTGATATAGATTTGATTGACTTATCCAGCTTTTGTTTATGAAAAAATGAGAATTTGTGTTACATGAACTTCTGAGAAGAATCTACTTTAAAAGCTCCAAGAACAATTATTTTATCAGGTCATACAATGTTTTCAATTGAAAAGGCTACAATTTTAAATCCTGTTATGTATGTAACTTAGACATGTCATGGTATAGCCTTTACTTGTGTTGTTTTTATACGACCGCAAAAAAATTTTGTGGTCGTATATTGGTATGACGTTGGCGTCGTCGTCGTCGTCGTCGTCGTCCGGCGTCGTCGTCGTCCGGCGTCGTCGTCCGAATACACAATGGTTTTCGCACTCTAACTTTAGTTTAAGTGAATGGATCTCTATGAAATTTTACCATAAGGTTCAATACCACAATAGGAAGGTGGGGATTGATTTTGGGGGTTATGGTACCAACAGTTAAATAATTAGGGGCCAAAAAGGGGCCGAAAATAAGCATTTTTGTAACTTCCAGACATAACTTGTGTGTTATTGTATGGATCTCTTTGACATTGTACTACAAGATTCCATATCACAAAGGGTCGATGATGGGATTGATTTTGGGGTTAATTTCCTCGAAATTTTAGGAATAAGGGGCCAAAAGGGGGCAAAAAACAAGCATTTTTCTAGTTTCATGACAATAACTTGTGTGTAAGTGTATGGATCTTTCTGAAATTTTACTACAAGGTTCCATTTCGCAAAGGGAAAGCTGGAAATGAGTTTTGTGGTAATTGCCCAAAACGTTTAGTAATAAGGGGCCTAAAAAGGGGTAAAAAATAAGCATTTTTTAGTTTCTAGACAATAACTTGTGTTCAAGTGTATGGATCTCTCTAAAATTGTATTACAAGGTACCATACCACAAAGGCAAGGCTGTTATTGAGCTTGGTTTGGGGGGGGGGAATGGGGGTGATGAATCATAGGGGGGGGGGGGGTCAAAAAAGGGGTAATTATTTTTTTTCGTTTAAGGAATAAGGGGAAAAAAGGTTAAAAAACTAGGGTTTCCATTTTAATAGACAAATAATTGAGTAAAGAACATTATTTAAAAGCAGTGTAAGGTTGGTAATTCAAACTCATTTAAATATCTCACCTGCACTATGTTTGAATTATGTAAATTGGAAATTTGCCAATTATTTTAGTATAATAAACTTCATTGGAAATTTGCCAATTTTATATTGGAAATTTACCAATAGTTTGTTTATTTTTAGCTATGACTATGATGTCATTTTCTATTTAATTTTAAGGTTACAAATTAATTTCAGTTTTAAATATTATTGTAAAATGTTTGCCCAAAACATTTATTAATAAGTGGCCAAAAAAGGGGGCAAAAATAAGCATTTTTTTAGTTTCCAGACATTAACTTGTGTTCAAGTGTATGGATTTCTCTGAAATTGTACTTAAAGGTACCATACCACAAAGGGAAGTGGGTCAAAAAATTTGGGGGGGGGGGGGGATTTTTTTTCCTTTTTTTTTTCTTTAAAATTTTCCATTTTAAGTTGGTTAATTCTGATCACAAAGAGAAAGTTGGAATTGAGTTTGGGGGATAATTGCTCAAATGTTTAGGAATAAGGGGCTAAAAAAGGGGTTAAAAATAAGCATTTTTTTTTAGTTTCCAACAATTAATTGTGTTTAAGTAATTGGATCTCTGTGAAATTGTACTGCAAGGTACCATACCACAAACTGAAGGCTGGGATTGAGTTTGGGGGGGCGTGATGTGTGAAAATTTTCCACTTAAAGTTGGTTAATTATTTCTGATTTAGATATAAAAGCAAATAATAATGATGTGGTTTGATTTTATCAAAAACTTAAATTGAAGTTATGTATATTGTAAATTTAGGTTACATTGGAATTTAAGAATTGGCTTTGGGGTAGGGTTATGGCTCAAACCTTTAAATAATAAGGGAAAAAAAGGTGAAAAAACAAGGGTTTCCAGGTTAATAGACAAATAAGTACAAAACATTATTTAAAAGCAGTGTAAGGTTGGTAATTCAAACTCATTTAAATATCTCACTTACACTGCTTTTAAATTATGTAAATTGGAAATTTGCCAATAACTTTATTGTTAATAAATGCATTGGAAATTTGCCAACAATTTTAGTATAATAAACTTCATTGGAAATTTGCCAATATAAAATTTTGCTGATGAAGGTTTTTTGTTTACCTTTAGCCTTGACTATGAAGTCATTTTCTATTTTTATAGCCTTATGATGTAGTTGAATTATTTAATACTTTTATGATGTGTTTAAATGGGGTTTTATGGTTGCAAATTTATTGTTTTAGTTTAATAAACTCCATTTAAAATTTGGTAATAAAAAAAATTTTTGTTTATTTTTAGCTATGATTATGATGTCATTTTCTATTTTACTTTTATGGTTGCAAAGAAATTTTTATTTTTAGATATTACTGTTAAATGATGCTGATTAAGGTTTTTGCTATGTTTAGCCATGACTATGATGTCATTTTCTATTTTAATATCTGTCATGATGTATTTAAATGGGCTTTTATGGTTACAAAGGAATTTTATTTTTAGATATTACTGTAAAATGTTGCTGATTAAGGATTTTGTTTATTTTTAGCCATGACTATGTCATTTTCTATTTTAATACCTTTATTATGTAATTTCCCTTTTTAGATATTACTGTTAAATGATGCTGATTGAGGGTTTGAATGCTGGGATTGATTTTGGGGGTAATTGCCTCCAAATTTTAGGAATTATGGGGGCAAAAAACAAGCATTTTTCTAGTTTCATGACAATAACTTGTGTGTAAGTGTATGGATATTTATGAAATTGTACTACAAGGTTCCATATCACAAAGGGAAAGCTGGAATTGAGTTTGGGGGTACTTGCCCAAAACGTTTAGGAATAAGGGGCCAAAAATAAGCATTTTTCTAGTTTCCAGACAATAACTTGTGTTCAAGTGTATGGATCTCTCTGAAATTGTACTGCAAGGTACCATACCACAAAGGGAAGGCTGGGATTGTTTTTGGGGGTAATTGTCTCAAAATGTTAGGAATTAGGGGCCATAAAGGGGCAAAAAAACAAGCATTTTTCTAGTTTCATGACAATAACTTGTGTGTAAGTGTATGGATCTTTATGAAATTGTACTGCAAGGTTCCATATCACAAAGGGAAAGCTTGGTTTGAGTTTGGGGGTAATTGCCCTAAACTTTTAGGAATTGGGGGCCAAAAAGGTGCAAAAAACCCAAGCATTTTTCTAGTTTCCAGACAATAATTTGTGTTCTAGTGTATGGATCTCTCTGAAATTGTACTGCAAGGTACCATACCACAAAGGGAAGGCTGGGATTGAGTTTGGGGGTGATGAATCATAAGGGGGTTTCAAAAAATTTGGGGGGGGGATTTTTTTTCCCTTTTTTTTCTTTAAAATTTTCCATTTTAAATTGGTTATTTCTGATTTATATATAAAAGCAAATAATAATGATATGGTTTGAATAGGTAAATTAAAAAAATTTAAGTTCTTAGACTACTTTCATTCTGTGTGAGAAACCTATGCTGTGTCAAATATTTAATTACAATCCAAATTCAGTGCTGTATCAAGCTTGAATGTTGTGTCCATACTTGCCCCAACTGTTCAGGGTTCGACCTCTGCGGTCGTATTAAGCTGCGCCCCAGCGGAGCATTTTATTGCATATAGAATGCAGTCCAATAAAAGTTTCTTTTTTTCTGGCTTTTTATTTGCTTCAATAATCAACATATAGTTTCCACTGTAAATTAAAACTTTTATGAAATTGCATAAAGGAAAAGGGAAATTATAGTCAGTTATTTTATGTTTCAGCTCAGCCTCCAAATGTGGGTCATGATTTAAACTTCCCTTTGCAAGGAGAAAAAGGTACAGCTTGTTTGGTCAAGGCAAGTACAGTACATGTATTCTAGATAATGTTTAGTTAAGGGAAGAATGGTACATCTGCATGTTTGATCAAAATCAGGATGATACAGTGAAACGCACCTAAAATGAACCTCTTGGGTAGACCAGTGATAAAATTTACAGCTTCAAAATGTATTGACGTTGGTATAAATTAACTTTTGAATCAATCATGTTCAGACAGGTTTCGAGTTTCGTTTGTTATATTAAGACTGCTTATCTGTAGACTAATTCTCTTAGCATATTTTTTGTGAACTTTTTTTTCAAGGTAAGTTATTCAACCTTTCAGAGATATGTAACATGTAGTTAGTCTGAACTGACTTTTAGCCAAGTTGTGATGAAGTTGAACTTGATAAATGATATGCTGAACGCCACCAGGCTCTTCAGACAAAGTCTTTTGAATGAAAAAGAAATATCTTTTCAACACTTTGCTTGATAAATGGGTGAGGAAGAAGCCTTTTGATTTTAGTGTCAATAATTCAAGGTAACAGCTATTAATAGATTGACATTTTGGTGTCTGGATGTTATCATTTGAACCAGATGTCCAACTTTTACCAAACTTGACTATAAAACCATTTTAGGTGAGGTTTGGGGTTCAAAAGTAGAGGTCACAGCATTTATTGATGGACTGAAATTTTAATTTCTGAATGTTTTCATTTGAACCAAACTTTTACTAAACATGAGATGACAAAGAAACCATATTGATTTTGAGGTAACATGGGAAAGGTCAAGGTCACCTGCAGTCATTGATAGGTTGAAATTGGAGCAAACATTTCGTATTTGGATGATAACTCTGAACCAAATGTCAAACATTCACCAAGCTTAGCTGGAGAATACCCCTTTGAAAGGACAGAACCTTTAATGATTTTAGGCCACCTCTTCCTTTTGCAGTAGCTAAGGAATATGTAAAGTGCACTATTCTGATAAACCTGTCTTCCTGTGCATGCCTTATTGATGCAACTTCTTGTAATTTCAGATTTATGATGATATTGACAAGTTTAAAGTGAACGATATGGTAGAATTCATTGGAATATTATCTGTGGATCCAGCCTTAGCACAATTTAATCCTGAAAAGTAAGTGCATTGTTAATTTGAAACATATTTACATTGTTAAAAAATGTGAAATTTATTTGTAAAAGCTTAACATACAGGAAGAAAAGTAGTCTCATCAAGCTTTCCTCCTGTTTCTTATGGATCATTTATATTTTTTTTTATATTTTGAGACAATAAGTGAAGAAGGAAATTTTAACGAGGGGATTATTTTCCCTAATTTTGAGATTGAAATAGAATTGTGAAAATCGTGATATTGAAACGCTGCAAAAATAAACCACTGTAAAGTAAATAAAATGTTTTTACCCTGCAATTTAACATTTTTGATATTGCTGTTCACTCACAATTGAAAAAATACGAGGAGACCTGCAGTTTTGTATACCTGTATTTGTTAAGTGAAGAGACCATATACTGATAGATCTAACTTTCTCTCATTATTTTATATTGAGTTTCAAAGATAGTAAATACAGATTGAAAAATATGACAAATATTAAAAGGCATGTGGTGCTAATGCTCTCAGACCAACATCAAATTTAATTCCAAAATTAAAACAAGTTGCAAGGAGCACACTAAACCATGGGAGTCACTGAAAAATTGTCGATTGTAAGAAAAAACTATCATTTCAGATTTATTTCAATTAATTTTCAACTTTGATTGTAATTGATTCTTAAACTGTAACAGATTCATTGTATATTAAAAATAATCATTACCTATCATTAAATGCTGTAATTTATCTTGAACATTCAAATAATTTTCTTAAATTTTACAAATTGTTATTCAATTGATTTGCATATTTGACCAGTAAATATTTATGAAAATTAAACCAAATAATTTTGTAATATTTTAGTCAACCGGAAGAATTTGGTATAGAAGGATATCAGCCACCTGTAGAAGAGATAAATGCTCATGCCCCGCCCCCTTCATTGGTACCAAGATTACATGCTGTTTTGTGTAACAAACTGACACACAATAACCCACTACTGCCACAGATACCAGACACAGATGAATATAAAGCCAGTAAGTGGAAACACATAGATTGCAGCTTTAATCATAGACTACTAAAACCAATTTATTATGAAGGAAAAAAAACCTTTTTTTTCTAAACACCTTCACATATTGAGCTGAGTTTTAGTATGTGAGTCTACCATGATGAGTAACAGTTCAAGTTTACGTTTGGTTCCGCTCCGCTGATTTTTGACAAAATTACGTGCTTTGGACTTTGAAAAATATGTGAAAATAACAGTTATACAGACTTTTTTTCTAAATGCTTTCACATATTGAGCTGATTTTTAGTATGTGAATCTATTATAATGAGTTACAGATTGTGTTTATGTTTCGTTCCGCTCTGATGAATTTTGTTGAAATAACAGGCTTTGGACTTTGAAAATTTCCACTCCTAAAAATGGCTTCAAGCTTTTTTAGTGCATGGGGCCATTTGTGTCATTCTGACACATCTAGTTTTTAAATACATAACAAATATTTGATTGCTCTAAGAAAACACTTGTATGAGTTCAGTTTAAACCTTAATAGTTTTATTACATGTTCAAAATATGTTATAATAGTGTCCTCAAAGTGATAACCTGTGAATTTTATTTAATGAAAACAGTGCATGTGTAAAGAAATTGAAAAGATATTTGTTGTAACTCTTTTATTTGTACTATAAAAATGAAGCATTATACTTTTCCAACTTAAAAGTGATAGTTCTGACAAAGTTTCCAAATTTTTGTTATTTGATTTAGGGCTGTTCCATAAAAACATACATGGGACCCAGGGAAGGCACTTTCAAATCTCAACTATGGGAGGGTGTCATCTGTTTTTGCATAGTGGAAATGTAAAGTGAAATTTAATTTGCCCCCATAGGTGGTTAACCCATTTTTAAAGTGCCTTCCCTGAGTACCATGTATGTTTTAATGGAACAGCCCTTAGATATTAAGTAATAAATCTCTACTTTGAATTTATTCTTATACCCTTTATTGTCAGTGTATGTATTAATGCAATTTTTTTCAGAATTTCAGCAAATTGAACAAGAGATAGATACTTTGAGAGGGAGAATAATGGAATTATTGGAACATGCTCTACTTGGGGACAGTTTAGCGGCAGAGTTTTTTCTATTGCATCTATTATCATCTGTGTTAGTATTCAATTATCATAATAACATCATGTTTGGGTACTGATTTCAGCAGGGGTATCATAGCAAACAATAGCATACAGTCCATTTTTTTGCCCTATGATAATTGGGAAATACTTACCAAAATTCTGCTTTTTAGATGTGTGAGGCTGAACTAGCATACTACATGTAGTATTTTGTACTTGTGAAAAAGAAAGCAAGTTCTGCATCATTGATTTTATGCACGACCTAAAATTTGTTGGCTTTGGGAGTTCCTTTTGAAGCTAATAGCTTAAACTGAACCATAGCAATTGATTTTAAACTTTAAAAAAATTGATTTTCAGGTATGGCAGAGCCGATGTGATGCCTCTAGGAAAGTTTAGTCTAAACCTTAGTCATTGCCCAGTAACGCCAAAATATGGTCAGCTATTACAAGTGTTCATGGCAGGACTGCTTTCACAGGTATAACTTAATCAAAAGCAATACAAGTACTTTATTTCTTAGCTTTTATGCCCTGATTACAGTATATAGTAGGGGCATAATGTTTTCTTGGATGGGCATCTGACTGACCATTAATCCGTATCAGGTTAAAGGTTTGGGTTAATGTAGCTAACTATGATGATGTGGTCAATTCAACTTGAAACTTAGTACTCATGTTCATTAGACCAAAATTAATAAATTGTGTGTTTCCTATTTCACCTCCAAAAAAATTAGGTAGGGTAGGTAGGTAAAACATTTTATTTTATGAAAACAGTTTTTTCTCTCTATTGATGACATCAGAAAAAGGTTCCAAATCAAATCGTTTGATGTGCCTGCTCCTTTGATATCTAGAATAGTACTTTAATCTACAGCTCTTTTAATTTTCTGTTTTAGTTCTGTGTCCATACCTGCCAACAAAGAATCATAAAAGGATGGCAATTAAAAGATTTTGTATGCCTTAAGACAAAAAAAATAATTATATTTTAAAAATCACTTAAAAGATCTATACTTCTATTCAATGTTTATATTGAAATTTATAAGGTGTGTATTGAACCATATTCAGAGAACTTTATAAGAGCACATACATAATGCACAATCTGTAAGAACATAATTGCTCTCTTTTAACATAAATACGAAAGAAACAAACAACACATCTTCTGTAGAATATAACCATATTAAAAGAAACAAAAGTATATCTATTAACTCTTATATGTGTTTCGTAGATTAATAAATAAACATGTCATATATTTCACTTGAAAATGTTGTTTGCACAAAATCTCCCCCTCAGCTGTCATAGCTGAGAGGGAAATCTCCCTCTTTGAAGGTTTCAGAGCTTGGCAGGTATGTGTGTCAGAAATATGGAAATAAACTTTAATGCAAATTTTATGCATTTCATGGGTCGTAATAGGAATATGTTCTTGCCGATTGATTATCTTAAACCAAAAATGGCAGGGAAAAATCCAGCATGGTATGTTATGTTGGGCCTCGTTGAACCTAACAATGTAATGAATGACTCACAGGGTATACATGTTGAAGCAGATTAGTACAACTTAAAAACACTGAACCGATGCTAAGCAGCAAATTGATAATGATTTTTTCGATACTCTACCCTTGCACCCTCTTTATTTAATATACAGATGTGGTTTAATGGTTGACAGAATGTGATCTTGAAGAGTGGGTGGTTCTGACAATATTAAAATTCCAGGTTTTGAGAAGCGTGAGAGTGCTAAATCTTTGTCTTTACCTACTGGTCAAATAAATTGCAGATATAAATATGACATGATTTTTTTTTTTCTTTTCTTGTATAAATTGTTATGGGACCAGCCAGAGAAAATATAAAAGAATAAAAGTAGACATGGTGCTGGGGCAGATTCATTTATAAATGAACATGAATCATACACCATGTCTGCCTTCTGGGGAAAGCTTTTTTTCCTCTTTCTTGTACACCGTTGTCTTCCCCCCTTGCCGTCATTAACTCAAAAGCTAAAAAGCATTAACAGTCGTTTATGTTGCGTCATGTCAGAGCACAATTCTGTACAACATTGGTAAGAGAGTTTTTACAACAAAAGCTGGATTGATTTTAGGAGTAAATTGAACTCATTTTACTCTAAAATTGTTTGTCAATTAACAGACATATACAGTCTGTCCATCCTGAAAAGATTCTGACTTTTGGTCCAAAGAAGCACAGGTACACGACAAGATTTTGTTAATATATGTATATATACTGAATACACTTTTCATTATATATACAAATATTTTTAAAAACCTCATCTCGTACCTGTGCAAAAAAGTTGAGCAAAATGCGTCAACTTCATATTTTTTTTTTTGTCTTTATGTCAATCATGATGTACTTCATAAATTTTCATCACATTGTAATTATCCGGAATCAATGTCATTATATTTTGAGTCCATGTGATCACATTTCGCATATTTAACAGCTAAATTATACGCTACACGGTTGTCGAAAAACCATACTTGTTTATTTAAAATCTTGGTCATTGTAACGCTTTACTTATCCATATTGGTCGTTATTATCAAACGTTTTGAAGATCTGTAAAATTCTAAAGGAATAATCAGATCCGGAAAGACCAAAAAATCAGGATTTTTAATATTTAAAAAAAATACTGTCAATAAAATGTATAAGGTTGGCGTCGGAAACGGAGGTAGGGTCAGGAAACCAGAAACACACATTTTTTTTTTTATTTTGGCCTTATGATGTGAACTTTTTAATATATGCCAAATCTAGGTTTTGACCAATACTTTGTAGGCAATGGAACATGAAAATGTGATAGTGTGAATAGAGTATCAGATGTGAATATTTTAATGGAATTCCGATAGTTATTGTCGCTATGTTAGAACAGATAAAACCTCTATTAAGCATGCACAGCAGAAAATTTGTAACAGTTAAAAAATGTATCTTTTTTTGTTAGAATTGTTCATACATGTGTGTATATATATATATATATATATATATAGATTGCATCAAGAGTTAACTTTCCTACATTTGATTTTCATTATCAGAACTACAGATATATGTGTTTTATTAAACTATGTTCAAATGTTTTAATATAATTCCTCAGTGAGTAGATGAAGGCTTGCTCATAACCTAATCTTCCCCATTTACTTTCTTGGGGGTCACTCAGCTGTTTCACACCTGACTTTTCGGACCCTTTCGAAATTGACCACTGGTCTAATTTCTCATTTCCCCCAAGTCATTAAATGTAATACATCTACATGCATTTCTCTCTCCACCGTCAATCTAACCCCCTTTTATCGTAGCCACCTGCTGCGAGATGGAGCAACGCTTCATCCCCTTATAGGAACTCATCTTGTTCCGGTTGGTTGACGGAGTGTCCATGTCCATGGGGCTTGGTCAATCTATTCTAGTGTCATCGACAGGGCCTGGAGCTAAATTTCCCTTCCCTGAGTAACTGACTCCCAAGGGCCAAAATCAATTTATATTTTATGAATAAATTTAGAAAATATATATGAATCATCTTGTTGTCAGCAGCAAACTCATTGAGATATACTATTCGGTTTATTCAGAAGTGACGGGTTCAATGATATGTCTTTCGGTATGTCTTTAGTCTGATGGTCATGTATATATTGTCAAGGTTGTTTAGTTCCCCCTTTTGTTGCTTGGATTGGTGTATTGGTTCCATAGAGTGACATAAAAATATGTACTGTATGTCTAAAGGTCTAGTCATTTCATTCAAGTAGTTGGGCAACACCGTAGAACTATGCTAAGAATAATGATTCAAGTACAGATTTGGTGGAAATAAATCATCACATACATCTAAATAAGAGAACTTCAAATACAGGGTTTTAAAAGATCACATGGAACACCTAAACAAGAGAGCTACAAATACAAGGTCTAAAAGAATCTCAAACAACACCTAGATATAAAAGCTCTAACAACATGATCATGAGTCAAATAATCATGAGGAACACCTTAAAACACGAATCAACTAAAATAAAGTATATAAATAATTATTGGTAAACCAGAAAGATAGAATGAGACTTTACAATGGGTTAAAGCCATCACTTGCTGCATCTGTCCTATCGTCATCTCATAGTAGTTATGGCATAAGTTGTCAAATACAGTTATATCTCCTATGTCCCTTACGTCATTTGAGTCAAAGAATAAATCAATGTGTAGCATCATGTATATTGGGGTTTTCTGATTTTGCAAGACTTCTCAGCTAATGTACCAGATAAATTATTTTGTCAGATTATTGTAAACCACATGTTGTATTATTTTTAACCATGTCTTTTTCTTGTTAAGTCAAAAAGACATTTTCCCAATCAAATCACGATTTTTGAGTGCATACTTATAACAATCACTTTTTATTTTCAGTCGCATTTACTCCCCTTGTCGATAGAAAACATGAATTCTTTACGATTATGTCCAGAAAAAGACTACACAGCAAACCGTTTAAAATCTGGAGTCTTGCAACTACCTGAAAGGACATCATTAGTCATAGATGAAACAGTACTACAACCTGGTCAACTTGAAGCTGGTGGTATGTTGGGTATAATATTTATCTTATCAAGCTCTGTTCATGTATATTATATCACTTCTTGCCTTTTAAGAGAATTCAGCAAAATCGGAAAAAAATTCAAGATTTGTAAAATTAATAGAGTTTTCCTTTGAATTATATAAATATAAAAAAAAAGATATGTTATGAATACCAACTTTACACCAAAGACGAAATGATGTAGATATAGGTAACTATCTTATGTTCACCATACAGACTCACACAGTGAGCATCACCCATACCGTATAGTAAGTTATAAAAGGCCCATGACATGAGACAATATAAAACAATTCAAATGATAGAAGACCAACTGCCTGATATATGTACATAACAAATAGCAAACAAATATGATAGACAGCAACCAACAACAACCACTGAAGTAGATAGCACATACAGTATGTGGTGGGGTTAAACATGTTTTCAAGCACTCCACCCTCTGTCTAACCTGGGATAGTTGTTTAACAGGACAACATATGAACCGACTGTGAAAACCAGTTGAAAAAACTTGACTCATCAGATCACCACAAAGCAAAAACAGCAACTAAAAAATATACCTATGACACGAAGTACAGATCTAAGGGTTCTCAGTTATAGAAGGTAGTTCAAGGCCTATTTGATAAAACTTCAAAATAAATCATGTCTCTCAGACAAATCAATCAGTACACATCCACTGGATTTAGTTAAAGACTTCATAAACAGGCTGAGAAAAACATGACATTGTACAATGCCAAACTATAAGTATCCAACGGATGTGTTTGTGCTTCTCTGCATGAGTATACAAATTTGAGATTTGGGTTTGTAAATATGGAGAAAAATATGTATGTTTAGCCATGTCAATAATTTGCTGCGCATGTAGAATGTATTTGATAAACAATTTAGATATTGACCATCAAATCACTTCAATATAAAAATAAGGAAATGTGGTATGATTGCCAGTGAGACAACTATCATCATAAGACCAAAGAACAAAAATGTAAGCAACTACTCACTGAATGCTTTGAACAGGTACATTTAAAATGTTAGAAACTTAATCATACACCGTGGAAAATAATTTTGTAATGCAAGTTTTGATTGGTGAATTTCATTGCTCTATTTTCTGTGCATACTCTTTAGGGAAGAGTTTTGTAATAAATGCAACATGTTTATTTTAAATGGTAAGCTATACATGTGTATTGTACTGTAATTTTGGTGATCTTCTTGTCTTTCCAGGTGTTAAGAACATGACAGCATTAGGAAACCTGATTAGCTGGCAGAAAGTAGAGTATGATTTCAGTTACCATAGACAAGATTTCATGGCAAACGTTGCTGTAATGATTCTGTCTGAGGCAAAATCTATATTACCTGTAAGTATGCTGCTACTAATGGGGCTCCAGTAGGGCACCCACATTAGGTCTCCAGGTCATGTTTAAAAACTGCCTTAGGTCACCACATCACTTTTAAGCAAAAAATATTTTTTTTATTAGAGTTTACAGATTCAAGTTAAGTCACTTAATTTTTCTCTTCTATTTTTAACTTGCTTGGTCCAAAGGTTCCGATTTAACCATCTATTGGTATTCGTCATTCATTAAGTTTTCAAAATTCTTCTCTTAAACAGTAATGTTGGGGATATGGGGAATCCCTTATCCCTTTTTCTGAATGCTGTTTCAAAGGGCCATTATCTGTACTTTCTGGACTTTTATGAAGTTGCAGATAACATAAATTTTCTTCATTTGTTTCTCAGCAGTTTCATTAGATAAAAGACTTTTAATAAATGGGAAATAACTATGAAAAAGCTTCTTAGGGCTGTCACAAAAAAAAACATACATTGGACACAGGGAATGCTCTTAGAAATCACAGCTATGAGTGAGTGTTTTTGTACAGTGAAAGGGTAAGAGTAAAACTTAAATTATCTCTCTCGATAGTTACCCCTTTTTGCTCAGTGCCTGCCCTGGGTACCATGAATGTTTAAGTGGATTAGCCCTCATTTGAAATCTCACTCAGTTCACTTTAAACTTGACCCTTACATTATTCATGGTAACCAAGGCAATGGGTAATTATGCCCGAGCCGTAGCGGAGGGGGCATTAAGTTTTATCCTTGTCCGACTGTAGTCCCAAAATCGGTTTCTGTTCTCTAACTTGAGTTTGCCTCAACCAAATGTTAAGAAACTTACACACAATGCTAATTAACACAAAACACAGGTCAAGTTTGAATTTTGGTGGCGTCACTTTAACTGTTCTATAGTTATGCCCCTTTATAAATGGAAAAATTGCAAAATTTTTAGTTTCCATGCTCTAACTTAAGTTTGCCTTAACCAAATGTTATGAAACTTATACACAATGCTTATTACCACAAAATACAGATCAAGATTGAATTTTGGTAGCATCACTCTAACTGTTCTAGAGTTATGCCCTTCATAAATGGAAAAATTGCAAAATTTTTAGTTGCCGTTCTCTAATTTTAGTTTGCCTCAACCAAATGTTATGAAACTTATACACAATGCTTTTTACCACAAAACACAGATCAAGTTGAATTTTGGTATCGTCACTTTAATCATTATCGAGTTATGCCCTTTTATAAATGGAAAAATTGCAAAATTTTTAGTTTCCGTTCTGTAACTTAAGTTTGCCCCAACCAAACATTATGAAACCTATACACAATACTTATTACCTTAAAACTCAGATCAAGTACAAATTTGGGTAGCGTCACTTTTATTGTTCTTGAGTTATGTCCCTTTATAATGTATATATGCAAGTGGGGGCATCATCTGTGTCCATGGGGTCACATTCTCCATTTATTTGAAAGTGAATGATTCTAGCTCATGACAACATCTTCTGAAGTACTGGAATTCAGTATAATTCATTACTGAATTGACAGTTTAACAGTCTTCTCCTTGATGCACCTTACAGCACAAGGAATAGGCAGAGTTGTCTCAGTAGTTTACCTACTGTACAACTAGCCTGTCAACACTGACGTGAGTTGAAACCCCACATGTGGCAGGTGCATTCCAATCTTAATTCACAAGGATTGTCAGTTTTCCAGCAGAAGGTCTGTGGTTCTTTCTGGGCACTCTGGCCTCCTTCACCAATAAAATCTTACTGCCACATGCTTGATATAGCCAATTGTAATGAAAGTGGCATAAAACACCAACAATCAATCAGTCAATACATGAAATATATATCAGACAGGAAACTATTATATTGATTGCTATTTGAATCTTGGAGGGTTTTTTCAGAGTGATTGTTTACTACCATTACAAGCCAAAATAATGCCAGAAGATTGGATAGCACATTTTAACATGTTAGAAAAAGGAATGACAGCAGAATTGTTGACCAAGATTCGCACATACATCACACTGGCCAAACAGATTAATTACTCATTAACAGATGAATTGCAAAAGGTATGTTCATGAACAGGAAATAAAACTGATTATTATCTTTATTTTTTAGAGCTATTCCTGAAAAAAATTAGAAAGGGGTTGTAAGACAATTTATATAACAACCCAAGGACAATGGGTTCAGAACAGTGTTCACAATAAATACACAGTGCTCTCATCATAAAGTATGTGAATCAGATGTATCTACCTACACTAGGATGTGATTACGAAATTCTAAATTAACAGTTAGTCCAATGATTTTAAATTATTCTCCACACTTTACAAGTACATGTACAAGTTTTCTTCATTCTAAACATAAAATAATGATGTTCTTATTTTTCATAATTTTTGGAACTTTTATCGATGCCCCTAAATGACTTTTTTTGTAAGTATTGAGTTTTTGCCTATTGTCTAGAAAACTATAATAGAAAGGTATAAACTGTAAAAGGCAAAAATTATCAACAATACAATTAAATCATTTTGACTGAAATGTTGACTCCTTATGGGAGTTATTGCCTGTAAATGACTATCTTAACCCACTTTGTTATCTTGAAAAGTAAAGAAGACAGAAAAAATTATCACCAAGTAGGTCATAAGACTAAGATGTACAAAGGTCACGCATGACCAAATTCATTTACTGATACCTTTAAGAATTTTTACCCATATTTTGCTATGATTTTCCATTTTCCAAACAAGAATAGATCTATAATTAATTGATATATCAAACTTGATCTTATTATTCCTAGGGTGTACAATGAGTGATTCAGGCTCCTGGGAGCCTCTAGCTGATAAGAGGAACCAGTCTCACATTGTAGACAATTTTAGTTTTTCAAATAAGATTCCAACTTTTATGTTTATATAAAAAGGGGACCCTGAAATCAGCTTTTAGTAGCTAAGGAAGAGCTGAATATTTCTTTGTTGTCTAAAGATAAAAAATATTTCTTTTAGATAATCCAAGATGACTTTGTAGAGATAAGAAAAGTTGATAGTAAAAGCATGACAGTTGATGACTTCCATTCTCTGTTGAGTATAGTTCGGTAAGTAGAGATTACAAGAAGCTAGTTGCTCATCATGTCCATAGGGCTGTATAATCAATTGATGTCACTTTGCATCAATCATTTTGTATTCAACTCCAGGGCTGACTTGATTATAGAAATAGGTTCACATGGACTTTTCTCTTCGAATCTATTATAAAGATATGTGTCAATTTAGCTGTGCTGGATGTTTGAAATGCAGCTACCTCCAGTAGGAAAAGGGACATTGAAGCAGAGTTTGTTTTTTTATGATATAGATTGAAATATTCAGTAAAAACCTGTGTCTATTGTTTAAGAAACATTCAGCACGACCTGGCCATTTGAGTCTTTGGTCCATTTTTAGCTCACCTGACCTGAAAGGTCAAGTGAGCTTTTCTCATCACTTTGCGTCCGTCGTCCGTAAACTTTTAAAAAAATCTTCTCCTCTGAAACTACTGGGCCAAATGCACCCAAACTTAAACACAATCATCATTCAAGTATCTAGTTTAAAAAATGTGTCCGATGACCCCGCCAACCTACCAAGATTGTCGCCATGGCTAAAAATAGAACATAGGGGTAAAATGTAGATTTTGGCTTATATCTCCGAAACCAAAGCTTTTAGAGCAAATCTGACATGGGGTAAAATTGTTAATCAGGTCAAGATCTATCTGCCCTGAAATTTTCAGATGAATCGGACAACCCGTTGTTGGGTTGCTGCCCCTGAATTGGTAATTTTAAGGAAATTTTGCTGTTTTTGGTTATTATCTTAAATATTATTATAGATAGAGATAAACTGTAAACAGCAATAATGTTCAGCAAAGTAAGATCTACAAATAAGTCAACCTGACCAAAATGGTCAGTTGACCCCTTAAGGAGTTATTGCCCTTTATAGTCAATTTTTAACCATTTTTCGTAAATTTTTGTTATCTTTTACAAAAATCTTCTCCTCTGAAACTACTAAGACAAATTTAACCAAACTTTTACACAATCATCATTAGGGTATATAGTTTAAAAAATGTGTCTGATGACCCCGCCCGCGAACCAAGATGGCCGACATGGCTAAAAATAGAACATAGGGGTAAAATGTAGATTTTGGCTTATATCTCTGAAACCAAAGCATTTAGAGTAAATCTGACGAAGGGTAAAACTGATTATCAGGTCAAGATCTATCTGCCCTGAAATTTTCAGACCAATCAGGCAACACGTTGTTGGGTTGCTGCCCCTGAATTGGTAATTTTAAGAAAATTTTGCAGCTTTTGGTTATTATCTTGAATATTATTATAGATAGAGATAAACTGTAAACAGCAATAATGTACAGCAAAGTAAGATCTACAAATAAGTCAACATGACCAAAATTGTCAATTGACCCCTTAAGGAGTTGTTGCCCTTTATAGTCAATTTTTTACAATTTTTTCATAAATTTTGTAAATTTTTGTAAATTTTTACAAAATATTTTCCACTGTAACTACTGGGCCTAGTTCATTATAGATAGAGATAATTGTAAGCAGTAAGAATGTTCAGTAAAGTAAGATCTACAAACACATCACCATCACCAAAACACAATTATGTCATGAATCCATCTTTGTCCTTTGTTTAATATGCACATATACCAAGGTGAGCGACACAGGCTCTTTAGAGCCTCTAGTTAAGACAGTGATTATTTTCTTATTATTTGGCCTTCATTGTCACCTAAGTAAGAGTTTTTTGCAGAAACTTGGTAGATAGAGAGAACTTGTAAATAGCAAATGTTAGCAGCGAAATAAGATCTACAAATATGTCAAATGACTGAAACCATCAGTGGAATCCTTGATGGCTGATTTTTACCCATTTTTGGGTTTTTTGTCAAAACTTTATGAATAATTAGGGCCCTGCCGAATGGCAGACGCCCTATAGTGATCAGTCTGTGTCTGTCTGTCCGTCCGTCATTCCATAACAAGTTGTGTCTGCTCTATATCTCGAGAACCATTATGATGTCAAAGTTTATACTTGACATGTATATTAACCAACACCAGAGGGTGTGTCATAATGTATGTACAACTTCCTAGGTCAAAGGTCAAGGTCAAAAACTGGTTTTAGTTGACAACCCCATGTCCTATGGTAAAGATCGTGTCTGCTCTAAATCTTGAGAACCGTTATGATTTCAAAATTTATACTCGACATGTATATAAACCAACACCAGAGGGTGTGTCATAATTTATGTACAACTTCTTAGGTCAAAGGTCAAGGTCAAAAACTTTGGTTTCAGTTGACAACCCCATGTCCAATGATAAAGATACAAATTTTTTACCACACATTATTCACAGCGGGGTCCACACAGATGGCTCACATCTCAATGATATCTATTTCTTATTACATTGTATAAGCTTTATGCAGATGTGCTATGTTAGCAATACTGGAGCCTTTAGTTTATGTTATTTGCAGAATCTATAGCTGATACAGATAAACTTTTAAAAACTAAAAACTTAGGATTAATTGCCCTTGAATGACAATTTTAATCAAAATTATATATCAATACATATATATTTCAGATTGCTATCACTCAGCTACTTGAAATCAACACCTACACAAACTTTATGGAGAAGGGCCAAAAACATGGATTCAGAAAGGAAGAGGAGAATTAGTTCAAACTAAACATATATTTGATGAACAAAACAAACAAGACCCAGAATCAGAAAAAATAAAAATGTACAAATACACAAATTTATATGCAAGGAAAATTGTATTTGTCAATGTTTGGCACCAAAGAACACATTTTGCCATTGTTAACTAAATCGAAGGTTTACATTTGTTAACCACAAATACTAAATTGTAAGAACATTTTTAGTGATTTTTGTCTTGCCTGCAATGTAAATCTCAAAATGCAAGACAGACATGACAAACCGATGCTAAATAGTTATTTATGTTTCAGAAGGTAAAACAGCTGGATTATTCATATCTGATATACAGATGCCTTATTAGTCCCCTATCGACGAAGTCAAAGGGGACTGACTATAGGTTTGCACTTCGTCCGTCCGTCTGTCTGTCCATCAGTCAGTCCAACAAATCAGTTTTCCACTTTTTTTCTTCGTGCTTGAAGATATTGTTTTGATATTTGGTATTTAGTTTTGTCATGACCAGTTGCAGATCATGTTTAAATTTTGTTCCGGTCTGATGGTTTTGTGCAGAGTTATGGTCCTTGGACTTCAAAATTCACGCCAAGTAATCAGTTGTCCGCACTTTGTCGTCATGCTTAGATATTGATTTGATGTTTGGTATTTAGTTTTACCATTACAGATCAAGTTCGAATTATATTCAGTCCCGATGATTATTTTGCAGAGTTAAAGTTCTCAGACTTCGAAAATTCATGCAAGAAATCAGTTTTCCACACTTTTTTCGTCATGCTTTAAATAAAGATATTGATTTGATTTTAGTATGTAATTTGACCATGACAAGTTATAGGTCCGGTTTGAATTTTGTTCCAGTATGATGATTTTGTGCAGAGATTATGGTTCTTGGAAAATTCATGCAAATAATTAGTTTTCCACTCTTTCTTTCCTTATACTTGAAAATATTGATTTCTTATATAGTTTACACCATGACAATTCATAGATCAAGTTAAAATTTTGTTCCAGTAGAATGATTTGTTTTGTTCGGTAGAGGACTATGTATTGCCATTAATACTCTCAGAATGCTTGTGGTGTGTTGTTCTGTCTGGCATCTTTATGTGATTTTGGATCTAGATAGATCAACCAAGACGGCCACTAAGGCCAATAATAGAAAATAAGGTGCAAACTGCAGTTTTTTAGCTAATATATCGAAAACTATTAAAAGAATTTAGAGAAAAACTAACAAGTAAAAATAGCCATCACAACAAGGTCTTACTGAAAATGTCCCAAAAATCTATTGGACTATTTTAAAGTTACTGCCCATGAAATTTTGATTTCAAGTCTTATTCAATCCCTAACCTGCTGGCTATTGTTTCTTAATTTGAACTATTTGGAATTTCCTGGAGTGCTAACATAACCCTTTCTGTGTTTTACACATTCAAAGCATCATCTGGACACTGACATGAACACATGATCTGTTTAACGTTTATAAAAAAGCATGTGCATCATGTTATAAAACAAAAGACAGGAAAATGAATATAAGAATACAAATAGAGACATCCAAAATGTCCACTTACACCAAAACTGTTGGACGAATCCTTGTACGAGGCATTACTCTTAGAAGACTATTTTTGCCTATTATCTTGAAAAGTATAATAGGTAGAGAGAGACTTCAAATGGCAAAAATGATCAGCAAGACAAGATCTACAAATAAGTCAAACATGACCGAAATCCTAGGTAGACTGTTATTGCCCCATAATGATGATTTTTTACCAATATTTTGTTTTTTTGCTATTACCTTGAAAACTAGAAGACATGTTTAGGGTTAATAGAACTTGCAACATTGATCATGTTTGCTAAAAAAAAAAAGAGGTGAAAGATAACACAGGAACAATTAAAAAAAAACACAAGTTGGAAGAGAATGTAACAAAGAGCAAGGAATCAAAAACACAAAAAACAAAAATTGCCCACAAAGCACTTCAAAGACAACTTAAGATTGAGCAAACCAACCTCCTAGGTACTACCCATATTGCTCATGGTAAGTAAAAACCTGTTGGTCAGTCTAATTTTGTGATGTCACAAACAAGAAAAAGAGAACAGGATTGTGGCTACAACAAATTGATTATTTTGGTTATCATTAGTGACACAGACATTTCATAACGGTCAACCAACTCATGATGGCATCCATGAAACTTTCTTAGCAGCAACCCTCTATCAATGGTATGGAATGCAAGCTCTAGCTTATTGTATCATCAGGTAGAGAGATAATCCATATTCAGAAGCTGTTGGGATGTTGCTACCTAGAAATTGATAGAAAGCTGAAATCCACTCGTTTGTCATAAGGCTTTGTTCTAAACCAACTTTCATTGTCAATTTCTTGATTTAAGCCAAGATATGAGGTAGATTTGACTATCTGTGATATTTATTTCAAGTTCGATAGGATAAATGTGTTAAAAATGTTCATACAACTATCTTTAATTATTTAGTGAGGGGATATCTATAAAGTGTGACGTGAAGTTAAACGATACTGCTATTTTCTTTCAATTTACAGAAGCTTCTGTATGAACTTGAAAACTGTGCAAGACCCTCATGGGAAGTCAAAAATTTAAAAACAGATATGGATTAATTGCAAATGAGATAACTATCCACCAGAGTCGAAAAGACATTGATGTAAGCACTGCAAGGCCATAAATAATAATCAAAATCCAAACTGTATTATAGTCCTCTATATAAAAAGGCCCAAACATGATAAAATGGGGGAAAAAATTCATACAGGAAAACCAACAGATTGATTTAGGGCAAAACAACAACGAAAATCAAGTTTGACAGACAACCACTGAATCCCATTTTGGAGATATTGCCTTTGTGCTATCTATTTTGGGATGTTATTAGCTATATTTCCATGGTTCATTTGAATTGCAATTTACATAATGTGCATTGTTAAGGGACGACCATTCATTTCGGGGGGAGGGATGAAAACGAATAACTTGGCAAAATTAAGCATATATGTTTAAATGGAGAGCGCTAACTAAAAGTTAAATTGCCGTTGACCTCCGTCTTCATGTGCAGTGAAGGTACCTTTTCAATCAACTGTTGACATGGGCCTTAATGGTCTTCATACACAAACCTTTGTGCTATTTCTTGTACTATTTCAATTTTTTTTTAATTCTCACTACAGAAATGCCGTGCCAAAGGTAAGAGATTGAAATTCCTCAAAATAAATGTGTAGACTTTATAGTTAGCTTGCTTAGCTTGTTCAAATACGTTTCCAAACGTTTTAGAATATTTTGTTGCTGAGATGCCTTCCTTCCTGAGTATTGAACTTATATGAGAATCAAAATGCCAAGAAGTTTAACAGTTGATTCACATGAAAGATAAGCACTTTAGATACGTATACATGGTTTTTGTTATACGTCTTTTTCCCAACTGCTAAAACCTGAAATTTGCCTGCATTTTATTTTGAACCACTCAATAAGTTAAATTATTCTTATTCTAAAGAAGAAATTAAAACATAATCCGAGTAACAGTAAGATGAAATATTGTCATCTGCATAAGTATACAGAGGGTCATTTTTATAAACAGAATAAATCATAGGACAGTAAGAGATCGAGTATAGGACCCTGAGGAACCCCTTATGAATGTCAACCCAACTGCTAAGAATACTATTTATTTTAATATACCTTTGACCGTTTGACCAAGGATTTGTACTATACAAATCCTTGGTTTGACAAAAAGATTGTTTATGAGAAGAGCTACCCTATGCTGATAATTTTTTAGAGACAAAATTTCAAAAAATTGAAACGTCAATTAGATTGCAGCTTTATACTGGTTATTATCTAATGCTGCACTCCAATCCAGGGACAGTCTTTACTAGTATAGAAAGTCCCTGTTCAATCTAAGAAGTATTAACAGTGTGGTCTGACATCCATGGCCACGTCTAAATGCATAGAGATAACATAACGGAAGACATATCTCTTCATACACAATTCATTTCGATCTGAACACGTCCATTAAATCCTTCGTGTTCATTTTGTCAATAAACTTTCAGACTTATCCACTGTGGGAAATTCGGTACTATTTAGACACATCACTTGGAGTCAATTAAGATATGCTCATTCTATTTTCAGACTGTTCATTCTATTTCCAGATTGTTCAGTAGTATTTATTTACCTTTTTTCAAATTCAACAAAGTACTGAAAGATCTGAAAAACTAATGAACAAAACTGGATTGACCTGCTAGCGAACTGTCTGAACAGTTTTGAAATTACAATAAGAAATTATCTGAAAAAAAAAACTTTAGGGTTTTCCTATGCATTATATAAAATTATTATAGAAACAAATTCCACCACAATGTCTTGTGTTATTCTTATATTTTCCCACTCTTTAAAATATATTTTTGAAGAGTCTTGTTTAAAATTTAAAAAAAAAATTGGAGAAAAAGTGTATCTCTCTCGATGCGAATAAAGAGACTACTGGTATATGCATTACCAGATGAAAGTGCAATAAGACAAAACAAAAACCTTACTTAAGATAGTCATTTCGAATATATTCAAATTCTAGTATGAGTTAATACCCTTCTATTCAACTACTTTTCAATTTTGACTTTCGAGTGAAATAGATACCAGACAAATAGGCCCTATCTTGTTGGTCAATGATAGAATTGCTTTATCAATTGTTATATTTGTTTCCAATTGAGACAAACATTCAATGTAGGTCAATATAGAAAAGGGTGTTGAATGGCAAAGATATTTAATAACAGGCCCAAATACACGAAGACCACATTTGAACCTGTAACGATGTTCGATACGTGTACACTGTGTATTGATCGGGTCAAAACAAAAACTAAAGACGACGCGTTCATACGTACTTTTTTCTGTTTACACCAATACTATTGTTTACATGCCGGCTTTAAATTCAAATTTGTTTTGTAATGTCTATTAATCTTCATGTATTGGTTTATGTATTCAGGTTTTGACTTCCCAGAGTTAATTTGCTAACAAACAGCTCGAGACAAATATAATATATATATATAATTGAACTTTAATTTCAAATTCAATTAGATAACACATATTTTCTTCATGGTACATACATGTATGTTCTTGGAAATACTATACATTGAAATAACTTAAAGC